TCATTACACCAATTAACGGGTGATACTCGTAAAATATCTGTTCCATATATTTAATTGACCGTCGACGAGTCCAACTCGGCGCACGTCCTGGTAGGTTGTAAACCTACAATACACCAACTGTATGTAAAAACTATACCTGGAAGAGTCTTGGAGTGTTACTTGATGAATCTCTCAACATGGAAAGGCAAATTAACAACGTTAGGAAGAACTGTTCCTGGACAATGAATAATCTAAGAACTATCAGAAAGTATCTAAATGAGAGAGTTAAGCTCATGCTGGTCAAACAACTGATCATATCAAAGCTGGACTATTGTAATGTGACAGCCTTATCATCTCTGTTCATTTGAACCAACTCTTGGAGGTACATTGTACAATCTTTCAAAGACATTCACTCTAGTCTTTGAAAGATTCATGTAAAGGGCATAACAATAGTCCAGCTTTGATATGATCAGTTGTTTGACCAGCATGAGCTTAACTCTCTCATCTAGATACTTTCTGATAGTTCTTAGATTATTCATTGTCCAGGAACAGTTCTTCCTTGTAGCGCGATGCACTACTGGGTCGCGCGCGCATCAAATAATGCTTCTCGCAACCACTTAAGCAGATCGGCGAGATGCGAAGGATTGACATCGTCAAGCAAGGAATTCTCTCCCTCTTAATGTCCGTAACATCGATAATATTGTCTCTTTTAAGGGTAAGTTAAAGAACTATTTGTATGATCAGCTATAGCCTGGTTAAGCTATTTTTTGTGGCTTTGGCTAGAGAATACTTTCTTGAATATTTTCGATAGTTTTTAATATTGGTAATATTAATGAATTGTAATTGATTGATATGTAATATTTAGGCCCGTGGCCAGTTTTTACATTTTTTGTGGCTTAGTCTTTTTTTGTGTTTTTTTTTCTTTTTTTTTTGAGTATCCACTTCTTGTTTTTTTGGTTTTTATCGGTGTGTCAATAAAATCAATTATGTAATATGTATACTTTAACCATTTTTTGCGACAGTTAATCTGATATTATCTCTTGAACATTATTTAGTATTTTTTGATTTATGATACCCGTGTTTTGTTTTTAACTTTCTGCTCCGAGGAGGAGAGAAAGTTATTTGAGGAGAGCCGCTCAGACATGGGCAGTGGGCACCGTATTGTGTAAATTATTTAATTATCTTTATACAATATCTTTGTCGCATAGTAGCAGGGTAGTAAATACAGCGTTTCGTTTCGTTTCGTATAACATTATGCGCTCCTGCTAAATTGCTTGCCCAAATTTTAAGAAAAGTCTTGTGAAAAGGGCAAAAGGCCCTTTGAGTGTGAAATTGATCTGAATCGATGTATTTTTGGACGCTGATTCCGAATCACCCCCATGACGTAGGGTAAAATTGTTTCCACGGAGAGTTGTGGGCAAAAAACCGTTTTGGTCACGTGACAGGCTAGTAAAACATGAATTCGATTGTTTAGGCCGGCTCGGGTTAGGGTTAGGGTTGTGGTAAGGGTTATTGTTAAGTTAGCTTAGGAGTTATGGTTGTGGTTAGGGTTGGGATTAGGGTTGATTGACGATGTCAACCTATCGAAATCGTTGCGAAGCAAGAATGCTAGTTTCCAATTGCAATTATTATCATCACTGTTTTCTTAAAAGTGGTGATTGACCTTTAGCTTTGTTATTGTTTGATGTTGGTTAAATTATGACCACTTTGTAGATAGTATATTACCAGTGCTAGTAGTAGCTTAAAAATAGTTGGTGGTTTGTTTATCAATTAAAAAATTTTCATACATGTCTGACCTGTAAATTTGGGTTCAACTTCTTCAATTTTCTGCCGTAATTAGCTGTGTCCACTTTATCTAGCTCTCTCAACTTGCTTATTTGGACACGTTCATTGAAGTTTGAGGAAATTGGTAAATTTATAAAACAGCGTTTTTGACGATAGTGGTTTAATTTTAACATATATGAATCTAGCGTGTTCATAAGTTCTGAACATTAGCCACGTGACCCATACTCCCATATGCACTGCTCAGAAATAAAATGTATTGCTTTTAGGCACTATTATGTAAAAAATGTCACATTTTTGTGACATTGTTTACCATAGCTGCCCAATTAGCATTTTTTGGTCTAAAATATAGTAGATTAGGTCAATCTAACAATTATGATACAATGTAGGCCTAAAGGGCAGTGATCGAACGGCTTTAAGGCAACATTTCGTAAACTTTGTCACACTCAGAATACGAGACCTCTTTTCTACTGTGAGGTGTCCTCAAAACCCTTTCAACTCATTATTTGATAGTTCTTCTGCCAATCATAGCCCTAAAATATGTTGTTTTGAAAAGTTAACAAATACATGCACTTGGCTATTGGGAAATGATGTAAATTCTGTCACATTATATGGAATTTGAAATTCTGGGTGAATTTCCGATATCATTTATATTTGATTTTGGTTTGGAAGGCGGGAAAACTCTATATGAGGACGATACACGGATACAGTTGATTGAAGTATAGGGCAGTTGATGTAAACATCGTCACAAAATGATACGAAATCGTAAGTGGACACGTTCATGTTGAAGTTTAAGGATATTGGTAAACCAAAAAAAATAGCGTGTTCAGAAGTTCTGGACATTAGCCACGTGACCCATACTTCCATATACACGGCTCAGAAATACAATTTATTGTTTTTAGGCACTAAAATGTAAAAAATGTCACATTTTTGTGACTGTGTTAACCATAGCTGTCCAATTAGCATTTTTTGGTTTAAAATATAGTAGATTAGGTCATTCTAACAATTATGATACAACATTTGGCTAAAGGGCAGGGATCGAACGGTTTTAAGGCAATATTTCGTAAACTTTGTCACACTCAGAATACGATACCTCTTTTCTACTGTGAGGTGTCCTCAAAACCCTTTCAACTCATTATTTGATGGTTCTTCTACCAATCATAGCCCTAAAATATGTTGTTTTGAAAAGTTAGCAAATACATGCACTTATTGGGAAATGATGTAAATTCTGTCACATTATATGGAATTTAAAATTTTGGGTGAATTGCCGAAATCATTTATATCTGATTTAGGTTTGGAAGGCGGGAAAACTGTATATAATAAGTACGATGCACGGATAGAGCTGATTCAAGTTAAGGGCAGTTGATGTAAAAATTGTCACAATAATGATAAGGGCAGTTGATATGAAAGAAAATCTATCTAACTAATGCAATGGCTGATGTGACGAAATTTACATTTCTTGACCCTATTTTGAAGAAGCATGCCTCGATTAGAATTCAATATTCTTCCAGGAATTATTAGTAGGTTATTATTCAGCAAATCAGAACTCAAGTTTAACAATTCTGAGTTTAATTTTACTAAGTTACCGAAATGTGACGAAATTCACTTTTCCTGCCCCAACAGTATAATTTCAATGTGATGAAAAATGGGCATGGGTTTCATATTTCCTTTATCTCTGAATTAATCATTTCAAACTATAATTAGGACTGTTGATGTGAAAGAAAATGTATCTAAATTTTACAATGACGCATGTGACGAAATTTACATTTCTTGACCCTATTTTGAAGAACCATACCCCAATTAGAATTCAATACTCTTCCAGGAATTATTGGTAGGTTATTTTTCAGCAAATCAGAACTCAAGTTTAACAATGCTGAGTTTGATATCACTAATTTACCGAAATGTGATGAAATTTACTTTTCCTGCCCCAACAGTATAATTTCAATGTGATGAAAAATGTGCATGGGTTTCTATATTTCCTGTATAAATCCATTCCAACTATAATAAGGGCAGTTGATATGGAAGAAAATCTATTTAACTAATGCAATGGCTGATGTGACGAAATTTACATTTCTTGCCCCTATTTTGAAGAATCATACCTCAATTATATTAGTATATAATGTTACTTTATCACCATCACTATGTCGATAAATTAGTTATTTTGCCAACACGGAGCAAATAAAGTTATAATATTTTTTTTGTGACGAAATTTACAAATTTTTACCCTGTTCAGGTGTTGAAATTTATCCAATGTTAACATATCACTGCCATATAATAATTTATATGACCGGCGTATGGTTGAAATATTGTTAAGTGATCCATAGTACGTAATATAGGGTGTTTAAGTTGGTATACTAATATTTACTCAATTTCACACATGTTGAGATATCATACAAATTTATGTGACTAAATTTACCTATTTCTGCCTTCTGTATTTGTATTTGCTTATAACAATGAAATATGTAAATAATTCCAAACACATTCAGCTCACAAAATAATGCTAGACTATTCGGCATTTCTTGTCTGGATGTCATAAACATCCCTCATATAAATTTCTTAAATGTGTGACGGAGTTTACATGGTGCTACCATTTAAGGAAAAAAGTCGCTAAATATATAGATAATAGTCATACACAGCTATTCTATGAATTGGAAATTCGAAAATTTGGTCAAACACGGCAACAAGGGGTCCATATAAACTCCGTCACGTTTTTATAGTGTGACAAAGTTTACAACTCACTGCCGGCCGCATTTAAGCGATATCTTATCGTCTGATAAAGATATCGTTATGCGACAAAGTTTATCTAGAGGATGAAACGATTATCTTAGGGTTAGAGGGTTTATATAGTTTCATAGTGTGACACATTTTACATCATCGTGCCATTCAGTAGGGTTACTAATATTTACCAATATCCTCAAACTTCAATGAACCTGTCCATTTAGTATTGTTTAAGATTTCTGAGTGTACCTAAATAGTAGCCAAAATGTGTCTTTGAAAATGTTTGTTTTTCTCTATTTACTGTATCACTCTGGCGGTTCATTCGAAATAACATGTTTATCTGCCTTTACATCGTCAATAATAATGTAAAATCCGGATTGGAATATTATTTATGAGTCGCATAGTTGAAATGTTTTCTTGGGTAAATTTCTATTGATCCCGTTTGATGTGAAAAGGAAAAGGCTCTTATTAGGAAGGGAATTATTCAACGTTTCAATGTGACAAAATCGTATTCATGATCTCAAATTATTTGTTATATAATAGTAGTTTTGAAAGTATTAAATGATATACCATATTTTCTTGATAAATGTCATTTATATGTTTTATTTATAATTTATTTGTGTTTGATTGAGCAGCCCTTTCACAAAAATACCGCCAGACCATCAACCTACTCGACCTATTGTTGTGGCACTGTTTGACTTATTGACTTACGACCTTATACCATTTCTCGACTAGGAAATCTGACTGATAGTGAAATACCAAGATTGTTTTATTTTCTTCTAAATTTCTGAATTCTTGACCTAACAGAATGTCTGTCGAAGCCCAGTTCTGTACATTGATTAGTATAGGTTTGTTCAGTGTTACTATCTTTTAATTCAAAGAGAACTGGAACATTCAAGTGTTGGCATTTGTTAATTTTTTGCCCACCCTGTCGTAGGTAACAAAAATTCTTAACTCTATTTTGAAGAAACACTTTCTCAATTATTCAATAACAATACCCATCATCCAGGACATGTGATGTTGGAATCTTTAAAGACTGTCATCAACGATGCCTACGAGGGAAGCCTACGCTTAATCCTCTCAACTTTGATTAATCGGAAGAATGTTTACATGTACATTCCAGAGGTTGACGGCCAAGCTCTTGTACAGGATCGAATCATATCAGAACTTGATGCAACAATTAAGTTTTTTGAACATAAGAAGTTTGAGATCTTCAAAGAGAAAGCAAGAAAAAATTCAAAAGTTGACTACACATGGCTCATTAGTGTACCCTATAGACAATATAAGATGCCACCATTAGAAAGAATGGAGATCGAAACTCTAGCATATCAAATCAGGCCAGAGCACGTAGGTCAGTGTGTCAGACAATTTAAAACTTTGATAACTGGTTCAACCAAAGTTGCAGATATTCCGTCTCTTATGAAACAAACGTTACGGAAACTATTGGGGGACTACGAAATAGAACTTTATAAAGCTGAGATATCGAGGGGGAATATATTGAAACGCATGAGATCTGAGCAGAAAGTATATCCATTAGGAGACATATTTGAATTGAAAGATGCGGGTGTGATCTCGAATTGTAGCACGGACAACTTCAATATTCAATTAGCGTAACCAGATTCATTTTCTTAAAATTTTTATTTGAGTGATTTCTTGATAAACCGCATGACCAGTTAATTTCGTTTTTGATACGTTTAATTTTGATAAAGAAAAGTGAAACAGTTTATATCAGATTTATGTAAAGCCAAAACTGTTTGCTACAGATAAACCTTCGGGACAGAGCGTATAAAATCGTCAGATAACATCTTTTCTAACACATGATAGCCATTGCTTGGCAAATTAAATTAAATGTAACAAGATACGATTTAATTCAACATCAGTGTAAACTGCCCAGCAATCGCTATGTGTTATGTTAATTAATCATGATTATTAATGGGAGATATAGTTCGAGGCAACGTGAATGTTTCCAATTCTACATGCTACTAGGACCTAAAAATCAAAATTTATTTTCGTCAAATACAATCAAATTTCTTTTCCTAAACCAGCTCTACGGTTTACTTTCTGTAAAATTTCGTGATCAGAAAGGATAAATCGGGATTCTGCCCAACGAACAATATCTCAAAGATAAATTACATTCTTCTTAAATTCTTCATTTGATCTAACCTAACCCTTGATAATATACAGTGACATCTTTACACCCAAATATATCGATAATTACCACTGAGTTAAATAATTAAACATACAATTTCTCGTTACATTAATCTAATATTATATACATTGAAGCAGTGATATCGGTATGGGATTGAAGTGTACATATAAATTCTGTAAATATAAACACTATAAAGAAGTACTCAATTTAGATTTGCCCTCCGTGAATAACAGATCGTTTTACTAAGAGTCCGGTACTTTTAGGTCTGGAAAGTCTTTTGCTGTCAGTGGAGGTAGTGTTGAGGCGTCTTGATCTGCCTCCCATGGTTGTGTTGGGTCGAGGAGTGAAGGGTGCAGGACTCGGGGACATCATCACTGAGTCGTAGTCGTTCAACTGCAAAATTGTCAGGATAAGAAGAACAAATAAAGAGTATCCTGCATTTAACTGCAGAAACATTTGACCCTTAAATAGGAGTTATCTAAACAGCACATAGTGAAAGTTAACATACCAAAACTCTGTTAACAAAGCTATTCATAAGACTTATTAACTAAAATAAATAACCTGATCAGTAAGTTCCTCCACCCTGGTGAAGGCCTCCTTTTTGAGAGAAGTAGCTTTGTTGAGCTGGTAGTTGATCTTCTTGATCAGTTTCTCTCTTTTGCTGCTCTCCTGGTCGTGTATTCTGTCGTTGTACACCTGCTCACTTTCAAGTACCCGTAATTTCTGTTCCTTGGTAGCCAGTTCGCTGAGAAATTATCACATTAATATTCTTGACATGAAGGAGGAAATTTTATCCCCGTCCAATCTTCAAACTAAGAATTTTGCGAAGAAGATGAGTTCTAATCATGCTCAGAAAATCAATTTTCTAAGAAATTCTCACCCAATTATCATATCATAGTTGGCAGGTTTTCTAGCCTCAACTCTTAGATTCTCTATTTCTTTGTTCAGTAATTCTACCTTGCGTTCTGATTCTCTTTTCTTGTCATCTAATTGCCTGTAATAAAATTGAATTAGATTATAAGATTACGAATAGTATTTGACACGTTTAGTACAGTTTTTTGTAGCATCAAGTAAGTAACGATAAGTCCGCATACAGCCGACAACCGTGTCGAAATCTGATAAAGACAAATAAAAACAGATGTACTTTTTCAAAGCTTTGATTTCCCGTTCAGTACTAAGAGCAGCGGTTTTCTTGGCCTCATTATCCTGCCTCAAATTAACCAGATCTTGCTCGTGTTTCAGCTGAAGTTCCAGCTTTTCTCGCTCTGATTTTACAAGCTGATCTCGCAATGCTCCTTCTTTCTTAGAGTAACACGTTCTCATTCCTGCTTTCTTCCAGGTCGAGATTGTTCTCAGTTTGTACAATAATTTGTTCAAATCACTGTTCTCTTCCTGAAATAACATATATGATGGTTTAGAGTGAATATGGCATTATATTATGAAGCTAGTCTGATCCAGTCGCAATGTATAGCGTACCAAAATACCGGTACAAAATCTAAAAGATTGACAAAATAAAGTTGCTCTAGCCTCGGATAACATCGAGCTAGGGGGATTTGTCTCGTTATTGACTGGAAAACCTACCTCGAGATCCCCCATATTTTTAGCATGGGAAGCGTACTCTTCTAGTCTGTCTTCAGTACCGTTCATAGTCTGTCTTCTTACCACTCTCATCTTGTCTATCGCTGACATTTTCACATTCTTAACATTGTCCCGGCATTCCTGAACTAGCTGCTCTCTAAGGGAGAATGTGAGCGTAAATTGGAGCTGGGTTACAAATGAATCGCGTTTGCCGCAGCTGTAACTTTCATAAATTAATGAACTTGACTTTTTAATGGCGGGGAGGTGGTGCCAATCCTGTGTTTTACTAGTAATTGGCCCTCATTATTTGTTGCAATATATTAATATTTATCTCGAAGAATCCTATAATTTGCCACCACTCACCTGAACTCGTCGAATCTGTGTCGGAGAGTATCACAAGTACTGAACATGTTGTGAACAAGCTCGTTATACTCTGTTCTAAGTTTACCCCTCATGTTTCCTTCCTGCGGAGAAATAATTTGTAAGTCTACAGTTTCTAGAGTGTAGACGATCAGAGCAACAAGACAACTGCAGTACAGTCTAGTTCCTCTAATTTGGACACTAATTACTTAATTAAGATTCCACCGAAAAAAGCTCCCCACAAATTGATCACTAACAGTCAGTAAAGGATTGCACGATAATACTGATAACAAAAAAGAAGTGCCCCTTATTCCCTCTCACCAGATACGAGCTCTCCTCCCTCATCTCACTAATCTTAGCTCTCAGAGCAGTCAGCTCAATGATCAGCTCGTCCACCCTCTCAGCTAGGATAGTTTGTAGACTTGTGTCCGTCATGTTCTTGCAGAGTGCCAGCTCCTGCTCCGACTGTGTCACCTGACAAAGGGAGGGTTAGAGGTCACGTGATCTAGCGGTGGAAGTCACGTGATATGGTGCATATTGGCAAGTTGCCCATACTGGAATTTATCGGGATCCTGAGTAATTACTTGCCATAATTTGATGGTCCTGACAATGGAGGAGTTCTATTAATAGAGTTTTATGGATGGTAAGTGCTCAAAATATCGATATTGCCGACAAAAAGTGTTAACTTAGCAATGAAATGTTTTATCATAAAAGCATAAAGGTTCTTTGTCGACACTTCAATAGGAAAGGATGACTCTGGTGTCGATTTTAATGAATAAGGAATGATCTAGGCGGAGGGCAGCAATATTAATTTATTTGAATTATGAATTTAGAGGAATTTGGAGGATTTTAGAGAAATCTCACCACTGAAACTCTCAAAGGTTGTTCGTAAATAAAAACTGTTCCACATTTTTTTTGGCACAGACAGATAATTCAAAATATCTACTCTCCGTCGATTCAGCGGTCTACCACATTATATAATTGAATTCTTTGCGTAACACGATAGTTTGATATTATGTGCATACCAGTTAGTAATTATATAAATTATGTGCATATATTATGCAGGGAGACAATTCAAATGTCACCAAAATCGATAATTTGTGCTTCATGGTGGATTTAGTCATCGAGAAACGAGCTATAGCTGAAATTTACAATATTCACTGTCCAGAGAGGACTTTGGAGAAACACAATATAGAAACATTGGATATGTCTGCCGATCTTAAGTAATGAAATAGAAGTAATAACATTAAATTCTATATTCAAATTCGATTTAATAGAGAATACAACGGAGAGAGCGTAGTCATAAAAACCGTGTCCTTTCTTTCTTAGCGAGGGAATAACATCAAATAGCTGGGTTAAACCCAGAGTAATTTGGATTCCAAAGCGAAAGTCAAATAGTTAAGATAAAATGATCTCACCTCCCTCTCCTTCAATACGATGGTCTGTTCCTTGTGTCTGAGGAGGTTCTCGTAAAAACTAGAGTAAGTTTGGAAGTTCAGTTTCTCGTGCTGCATGAAGGTGCTTCCGAGGTTGTTCAGACATTCTTCCACCCAGTCCTGGAATGTTTATAATTTAAGTCCGGGTGTTTGAGTAAGGATGCCGGGAAGGGCCGGGATTAGATAGACAGATTAACCTCCTGACGATATTCCTGTATAAGATAGACTGCAATGTTTTGTAATCTGTAACCATCTGGCTCCTTTGAAAAGAATACTATACTTAGAAATTTCCCGCCGAAGTCTTTCTGACTAAAGCCTGATGGAACTTGGGTCATTGGTCCCTCTTACAGTAGGTACTTGAGAAATTGAGAGTTATCAAAATTCGGGACCTTTTATAATTACAGATTTGAAGGTGATTACGCCCGAACTAATTAAAACATGGCTCATGGGAATAATCTTCCCGACTAATGATTTGTCTGAACCTTAACATTCTGAGGATCATTTACGTTGCTTCTTATTAAGTACCGTCAAATTAAAGCTCTGTAGAGTATAGGTCCCTTTACATCAAACATTTACAAGTTGATAAATATTCAACTTTTAAGATTCCATTTTCTCTCTAGATTAAATTCTCAGCCCTCATTTAAATTGACTAGTTGTTGGATTATACTGGTAACCTTGGTTACAAGTTGGTGGAACTTTAACATTACATCACAACTTAAAATAGTTAAATACGTAGTTTCTCTCCATAATAACCTGAAAGTGATGAAAATGTACAACACAATGATCAGGGTCCCTGTAGTTTCCTGGTAACATCATCCCAGTGATATCATCTAAATTACACTAACTATAAGTATAGACTGTTACAACACCCTAATAATCCACCTAAATTACTGAAATTTCACTGACCTTGTCGATAGTGAAAGTCTGTGCATCCTCGTTGAGCTCTGCTTTGTGGAGGAGCTGGTTAGCAAAGTGTTGGATTATATCAGATCTAGGGAGGGAGATAGTATCTTTAGCTGACTGAGTCTTCCACAGATCCAGCGGTAGACTACCATCTTCTCGGAGCTGCGGTGAGTGGTTCATTTGCACGACATATAGAGTGGTGTACAGTTAAAAGGGGTTCATTAATTCCAATGTCCAAAATATTCTCGAGGCTTGAACCCAGAGGTGGCTGGTTGGTGTTATACCATCTCACTGCACTCTAAGTAATGAATACATCTCGGTATAATTATACCATTTCAGTCGAATGTCCCCCGGTAGTGACTAGTGAGTACTGTTACTATACTGTTTAGTACTGTTTACTATGTATAAATACACCACCTTCACTTTTAATCAGCCACACTAAAGTTTAAGAGTTTGGCAAGCTCAGTAATGTCTATAAGTGCAGTAAGTCTCTTGTGCCCAGGTGCAAATGACGCACTATAACTATTTGAATAAGTCATTAGAAGGTGACAAATATGACAACTTAAGTTCGGGGGAACGTTTAAAGTCAGGTTTAGAGTTGCGCAAAGGTTCCAGTAATTCCAGCACTGACCTTCTCCGCCTTGATGAGGGTCAGGTCCCGAACGATCCGGTTACTGGTCTCCCTGATCATGAAACTCTCCAGGTTCTCCAACATTACCGCTAGCTGGGTCTCTCGAGCGTCGTACTCTGATAACAGCCCCAACTTCCTGTCCGGACTCATATCACGGACTCCCTCTTCTGAGAAACCTGGAATGTTGCCTGGGTGAGTGGAATTTTGGGCGTTTGCCAAATTTGGGAAGATTAGAGCTGGAGACGAATATTTGTGTGAAGTTCGGGATTGAAATTAAAATCAGGTATTTATCATCATTACTCGCTAATATAATTTGTGCTAGGTGATAATTTGAGCGCCCTTCTCGGTAAGGTCAGCCGTACAGACTACAGACTGATTTGCCGTACCGTAGAAAATTGTTAGCCCTTATTCTAACGATTTTTTATGGCATCAAGAAGCACTCAATTTTCTTTACATCATTTGTAGATACCAAAGTGCTGAAGTGACAGACGTGTTTGCTCACATGATGACATTGACAAATGCAGCTCAGGCGTAAACAGACTACAGTAATTCTCAAACATCAGTTGATGCCGTCAATAACAATCAGCAATCTGTTACGTTTCGAATCATGCTTATATCTTTATATGGACTAACATTATAAGTTGTAGATATTAATAATAGTCTAGAGAAAGAGATAATATGATCTGCTGTCTCTATGACAAAAGTAGTTGTAAGGATTGATATTGACAACTGTAATCGGAATCGTAATGGCATACATTATTAATATTTATAGACGGGGCATTTGCTGACGTTCAGAAGTTATAGGTAAGATTTATTGGCAAAAGTGATAAGTAGTGCTTTTAAATGTACCGAATTGATATGAATTTGATAACAGTAAACTCTTACTATTAAGTCAACTTATCAAATCTTGTCAATGTCTTGGACACCAACTTCTCAAAATCCAGCTCACCTTTAGTCCTGATGACATGGGAGACAAGGTTGAGGGCCGGTTCGAGGACCTGTTGAAGGTAGGCTAGCTCCACTGTGTGGTACTGTTTAGAATCTGATACTCGGGGCAGGTTCAGATACCGGCAGGACCAGTCTGCTTTTAGCTGTTTAACCCGTACTGACATCAACAGGAACTCGTGCAGGAACTGCAGGGCGGAGATAGGTTCCTGGGAGATTGGGGAGACGTTAGTTCTGGGATCTAGCTATAGATCCTAGGTTCTAGGTATAGTACAGTACACATTGTACATTGTACATTGTACATTGTATGTCGTGTACTGTTCAGGTTCGAGTTTAATTAGTGTCACGTGAGATTCCATCATGATACGGATGTTCCTGCGTGAAGTTTACGTAGCCTCTTATCCGGTTTCAGTGATGTCAATTTTATGTCCCGGAAGGTTTCAAATTTAAAACAATTGCAACTGTAGCAGAGTCATGTGGATTACACCGCCAAGTGTCAAGTAAAAATACCACGTACAAATAACATATGTTAGAGTTGCTAGACACCTTGTACATTTTATGATATTATGATAATAAGCTGTTAAATGTCACTGCTGACAGTGATGTGCGTTAAGTTGACTCGCTGATAGTCGGAAGAATAACCAGCTTATGATTCTATAATTTGATAATTCTACCAGACTTTAATCGTTTGATTTCAACTTTTTTCGTTTTATATTTTTAACAATTTGTATATACGGCAGAAGCAGAATCAAGCTTGTGAAAATCAAAATTACTGACTATTCAGATGTGACCAGTCAGACTTCAGTATTCACCAACAAATTTGTAATATGCAGGCTTAACCACAATTGCGTGAAATTAAATCAGAAGAAAACACATTAAAACCACAGAACTATGTGACCATTAAAAATAATAACTGTTAAACACCTTTAAATAGTTGATCTCGTCTTGAAGAAGTGGCTCCTGGTCGACTAGCGACATGTAGTTGTCGTTCAGGAAGCTGATGTCAATGTCTTCTCCTGCAACTACACTGCCAACTGCACTTTGTACTCTAGAGGAGGAGGCAGAGGCTGAGCCGTGCATTCCTGGGGAAATGAGGGGTTACAGAGGGGGAATGGGGGGTTACAGAGGGGGAAATGAGGGGTTACAGAGGGGGAAATGGGGGGTTACAGAGGGGGAAGGGCGGTGCAAGGGTATGTTACAGGATTAAGGCAGGGATTAGGGGTTACATGTGAACCAATGTTTCATAATGTTTTCACAATAAATTTGTAAGACCTGCCTTATACTCACTCAATTTAGGAGATTTAAGTTTGCTGAAAGGATTAACAATGTTGCTGTAATGTTCAGTTGGTTCCACCAGAGGGTTGGTCGCTAAATGTTTGTCCTGTTTTGCTCGACCCTGATGTAGCACGTCCTCCAAAAGAAGGGACACCCCCACCACTTCACCGTTAGCTACGTCTCTGAAGGGTGAGGTAATGTTAATCTCCAGGTAACCTCCAGGCAAGCTGATCTTGACTAATAATAATCCTAAAAGGGTGGTCCAACTTTAGCAGATATTACATGTGATATTGACTGGAGTATCGGACCTACAGCTGGTTTAATCACATTGCTTCCGGCTTTAATGATCACCTAAATACGTGTACCCACTGTATGCTGTACAGTCCGCAACTTAAACAGCAGAATGTTTTCTTTTGGAACTCGCCCTAGCATGCAGAGACTGGGTGGGCGAGTGGTGGACCATTTGCAAGCATGCAATTACCGTTCCACCAACTGGGGGCTAGTCAGCAGTTTTACAAAGGAACGTGATTTAATAATTTAATTAAGTGAAGGATATTGTTATTTCCTTGAAAGTCTAGGGGTAAAGGTTGTTCAATGGTCAATGCAAGTTAGGCTGCTGCCAATGCTCTAAAAACATTAAAGCAATTAGACAAATTCTTGCTCTCAGAGTTACTGTAGCAACTGGTGTTACCGTAGCTCCATTGGCATTAAACTGTCATAGCTAAACAGCGAAATTGCTAATTATTAGATTTTAGGAAGGCGTGTATAATTAAAACGAGGGCGCAAGATTTAATTTGTAGGGTTTCAACTTGTAATTTTGTAAAATTAAAGAAACAATGTTTCAGAATACTTTCTGTTTGCCACTGTATCTGGGTAGAATTGCAACTTGAAACCCCTCCCCAAAATGTTTACCTGTGACCACGTGTCCATTTTAATTGGCTACACTAAAACGTTTGTATGATGCGAGCCCCGTTTCCCCACCGTAATCCACTTCACACATAGCCATTGTGTAGAAATAACACTAGCGTAAGCTACTCCAAAACCCCTCCCCACTACGTAACATCTTCCAACGACCACGGTGTGACGGTGAGTAAAAACGCAGTAAATAGCAGACCTGTTGAACTCGTTCAGTTGGGACAGTCCGACAGTAAGGAGAGAGGATATCTGTTCGCACTGCCACTGAGAAGTGACGAAGGGACCGTGTTGAGCCGCAAACGATCTGAAGAAGTGTGATTAAATAGAGATAGTATTAAATCTAGATAGTATCAGGTGAGAAAGTGGTATTGTATCAGACTTCCAGATTAATTGGAATACTTTCATCCACTGATACTAGGCTGTTAGATAATAACCTTTTGAGGAATTATCTACTGAAATATTCACTGATATTGAGGACCGACTAATACGGTATAATTAAAGGTGATGCCACTAGTGAATGCAGATATAACACAGTCCCTGAAACAGAACGAGTTGGATACAGTACAAATCAGTACATAGTGTGTACACTGTACCTGTAGGGGAGAATGGTGGCAGCCTGGTGAGGATACATCTCGCCTCGTGTGTGGGGGAGGAGAGACCGGAGACATCGCTGTGGCAGGTCACTCACGTCTCTCACTGTCTGTTCTAAGACCCGGACACTGCCTGGAGGGTGGTTTTAGGTTAGGTTGGTGGAGGATGATGTTTACCCCCTTCCCCTTTCCCAAGCTTACAGATACTCGATATCTTTTTTTCTCGCTTGTGAGTCGATCATATTCGATTATTTGGGACAAAATGAGAGTACCTAATATTTGATTTATTACACTGAGTGGAGACTCTCATTTTTTCCCATATAAGCTTACAGATATTCAGTGCAGACTCCGTGTTCTATAACAGACAAGAACATATAAGATGAAGGACTAAACATAACATTGACGTGAATCAGCTCCCTGAAATAGAGTGTCCTTCAGTCTGGTAAAGGGTTTTACTAGCTGGTGGGTGGTGTGAGGGTAGGGGTCGGGTGGTAGGTACAAGTTAGCACATTGCTCATATGGAACCCGGACATTGGACAATATATTTGCCAAGATTTTGCAGGGTTTCGCCTCTACCCTAGAGTACTTATAAATCTAGTGACCACTCTTGGAGGAATATAATTATGGGGGAAACACCTTTTTTGAGCCTTCACTGATATTCGAAGAATATTTTCAGCCACAAACTACAAAATAAATTAAAATCCCTTAAAGACAAAGTTGTCAGCTTCAGTTTTCAATCAAACTTTTGATTAATTCTTGCTTTCTTTGGTAATAGAGGGCTGGTTGGAAGCTTTGATGGCAGCAATAATTAAAGCCATTGTCTGATAAAATTAAGGTCAGTATCTGATAAAATTAAGGTCAGTATCTGATAAAATTAAGGTCAGTATCTGATAAGCCACTTCACCACGTGACACACGAGACAGCTCGCTTCAGCACGTGCCAATTAATCCGCCAAATCAACTAACACGGCACGTCTGCTTATCTAGGACCCTCACGTAGATCTAAATAATAACTCGGATCACGTGACGAGCTATTAGCCCTCTCAGTGGTCGGCTGGGATTAGTCGCTGAAAATTATTAATTCGGATACAGATGTGTTTGAGAACTTGAATAGTCTGATTTATAGTGGTTGTGCTGGTAGGCAGCCAGTGCAGGCGATACTATATGGGCCTATGAATAGGCTGATACATAACATTCAGACACACTGCTGGCGAGCAAATAGCTTGCTGCTACGTCTACAGTCTTCAAGAGAGATATTAATAAACCACGCAATCGTCTCAGAAGAGTTCATTTCATGATACGTGTAAATGTTTCGTCTGGTAAAGAGTTCTATGAATAAGATTCGTAAGTATCTCAATGGTAAAGGATTCTATAAATAAGTCATGATGATGACTTTTAAATTATGATATTTGATAGGATATGCAAACACTGAATCCTGACACCTGTTTTGTGATGACTACTTAGCATTCTTTACCAAATAGGCATAATCTGTATTCAGCTTTATTCATTAGATCTAAACAATCCCATAGTTGCAAACATTTTCCATCAAATAATACTTACGAAGAATGCCTTTTCGTTTCCTTTGGCAAGGAATGTCTCTGGGATGCAGTGGGAGATCGTGAAGTAGAATTCCAGGAAAAACACTTTTCTTTTACATTCAAAATATTCTAAAATCTGAAATTTTCAAATTAAATCATGTTACCACTACGACTACAACTTGCTATATTAAATGAACTTTCAAAACACCAATAAAAAAGCTTAGAGCTAAAATTAATTGATCAAATAAATGTATTAAAGTATGATTTGATTTTTAGATTTAGACAACACTAATGAAAACCACAAAAAACCAATCTCGGTAATTGTCCCCCCTCACACCCCTCACAAAACCTACCTCTTGAGGGTCAGTAGGGCTGCTCAGATGGCTGAGTTGGAGTTGGATCTCAGTCAGCTCGTGGGATATAGCTTCAGGACCTCCCCAGTCAGCCCCAACTGCCACGTTGGAGGGCATGTTGGATCCTAACTTGGCTTTACTCGCGCCCATGTTTACGTAGGCCACCATGTACGCAACCATGTCATGTATACCTGGATGATTTGAAGTTGGCTTCGAAACAAGATTAACTTATAGTCCAGATTTATCCTACTCGTTAAAAATAAAGAAAATGTAAAAAGTTAACTTATTGTCACAATTCTGACGTTGTACATGATATGAATGTCCGTTATATTAATATAGTTATAGACTGATTAAGTGAACAACCGTAATATATTATTTTAATATGTATAATATTATCATAATAACCACTATACCTGACATGATACCGAGTACAGTTTGTAGAGCACTTCTCCTCTCCGGTGCCTCCAGATCATTGAACATGCCCAGAACTTCAAACTGGTGGGGAATGTAGAATGAGTTGATCACCTGACTTCCGTCGTTTGATAGCAACTTCCGGGGTCGTACCTTGAAGTAGCTGAGGGAGAATTTTAATTAAATGTTTAATTTTCTGAAGAATTTGGTAAATAACTGCGAATTTTAAAAGCAAACTCGTGCGTAGTGATAGGGATCTAGGGAGAGGCCTCGTCTCCTTTCGCCTCCTAAGAAGGAGAGTTGGTTCCAGATTGTGTTGTATACACTGTATTACAGTTGTATCATAATATTATATATAAGTAACATGCTTACTTCTTATCAACAGGAAGGAATGGTTTGTCGTCGTCCGTAGCATGCTCATCGCTCAGAGATCCAATCTTGAAGTGTGCGTCCCTGTGAAGTGTGTAACGTTGAAACTTCATAATCATATGATTTGATTGATTTCATAGGTATGCGCAACTGCAAATATGCACATACGCTCAGTTTTGGAGTACTCATCACACATTTTTATATCATAAGCATTCATTTTCTGGCACTGGTAAAGAATGGCGAGATGATATTATAAATCAAGAGGCTTGCATATAATGAACATATTGACACGGGTGCAGAGTTGAGGCTGGGGTATCTCCAGTAACACATACACTCTCACAAAGGTACACTCTTACATAGGACCATTGTAACGGTCGAGTAAACACTAATTAAAAACAGTGGGCAGGGTCGCAGTTTAATCAATCTGCCCGCATCAGTACATCATGATAAAGTAATTGCAATATACTCGGTGAGGGAAAACTGGCAACACCGAGCACCATTGCGCTTCGGAGCCGTGCTCCTTATCATATTATGTGGTACGTGTTAATCACAGACTGCTTATGTTACATTGTACTTTTAAGGGGATATACAGTTTTTTTCGAATGGATGAGGCACAGCCAGCGTGTTTTTCATCACGTCATACTTTTCTGATAAGACTATTCAATTTCATATAATGTATAATAACGTGTCAAGTTGTTAATGTTTCATGAGACCCCCACCAACCCTGCTGCTACAATTGATAGAAACAAATTTGTATGTTGTCAGGAAACTGACCATGTGAGGGCATAGTTTGGTTATTGATAAAGAAAGCTGAGAAATGTCATGTTTTCAGTATTAATAAGGGGTAAAAGTAAAAGTTTTATTTCTATCTGCAGCTAAGCTCACTCCACAATGATATATATCCGGATGTTAACTTAAACAGAGTTATTTTTACTTTTGAAGTTTATGGAGATTACGCACCCTGGCTCTCGCTTCAGGATTAAATGGTTCATTTGAATTCATCGTTTGGTAAAATGACGCGATATCGCGTTTTTCGTCACAGACAAATTTGAATCGGGGGCTTGAGGACGCTGTGGCGAAAAATTAATTTTAGATATTATAGTTTAATTTTACTTATAACTCTCCAAAACTCGGGAGCATTTTTTCTTTTTGAGTGATACTATCTTTCAGCACACATAAACAGGATAAAGAGGATCTCACCTGATCTCTGGAAACTTGTTGAGAGCTGTCTTGAGTGACTTAACATTCCTGTTGATCTGGACCCGTAATGAGTACACTGACATGGCATCGTGTAAGTTCTGACAATACTGACCAACACTCTCCTGCTTCTGAGCTATCACCTTCTCTCTTTCTCTCCCGATCTTCACTGACGCTCTCACGAAATCTTTTACCATGTTGTCGCGGATCACGTTCTGTGGTGGTATCAAGCTACAGATTAATCATATATTGGACGGTAATTTGAGTAGCTTTAACAGACCAGTATCCGGGTAGTTTGTAGGCTGTTATGCTGTGTTATGGGGATTCTCTAGCCTCTAGCCTCTAGGCAATTTCAGATTATAAGTATTCTCCTGAATACTTCAAGTTCAGGTAGGTTTAATCTGGAATATTTCAGATGAGTTCAATCCACGAAATTTCAGCTGAGTTCGGTCAATAAGGGATCGACTATAAGCGATAGCATTACCTGGGCAAGTTGCAAGGAAAGGAAGTAGTCGCTGGTTTTTACTGCTTTACTGGAGGGTGGGCGGCCGGAACCGGGCATAGAACTTTTTCTGAGGAAATCGGAAATGAGATTAGGCGTGGGAAAACACATGAAGGTGAAATGAGAAGTCAATCTAATGACTATATTATTGAGTAACACTGACAGTGCAACTAACACTGGAGCGGGTGTGCAGATAGCGTTGTGACCCACAGCTATAACCAGGTTGTTCCTCTGGACCAGCTGGGTCTTCAGAGCCAGTCTAACGTTACTCAGTCCGTGTAAAATCAACATCTGTAACACACATTTGTAGTGAGGCTACTTTTGTATTTTAGAGAAGATATTGTAAATTTTGGCAAAAAAATCCCAATAATAAGGCTAGACCGTGTTCATTTAATAAGAGTTTCTACGATGGTTCTTCTTTAATACAATAATTGGGGTTGGGGGGCTCCTACCTTGATGATACTGTCCTTGGTGTGGAAAACAATCGTTCCCAAGTCCTTCTCATCAAGTTCTTGTATCGCCAGAATGTTGTTGCTAGGCACATACCTGATAATGGGAGATTATACGTCAATGTAGCTCAAACATTCCTAAAAACCTGGGACTTGTAGTTAAGACTTTATATGGACCTTGAAAGGGACGTTAGGGTCAGTTATTACAATCAGCAAAACTGCTTTGTCAGTCCATTATGCCAACAGGGATAAGCATTAAACCTCATAATATTTATTGCACTTCTACATCATCGGCTGAATAGTGGGTTCCAGCTTAACGTCTAATTTATCTGTTTTACTCTTCCATATAAAATAGTATTTGCAAATTAAGACAGGTTCTTTACAGATTTAGTGAAATCATCCATTTCATTACGTCAAACAAATAATCACAATCACTGATCATGACAGTTCAACATACCAGCAAACATGCACACCTTGTCTGACATGTCACGTGGTGTTTGTAAAGACTAGATAACAGCAGACACTAGACAACATGATATCAGAGCCGCCTCACGACCCCCCGAGATAAGGTGGTCATCTCTCCCTTGATTAGAAGAGTATGATTGCATGAGAGCAGGCTCCGCAAGCTCCAACTCTACTTCTCATGGAGGGTGGAATGTTTCCGACCGGTGGGGTGGAGGTGGTGTGATCATGCGATACAAGCTTACAGTAATTGTGAGGACGCTGTAGTATGTTGATACAGCTTGAGGGGGGGTGAGTGAGGGATGTGTTTATTGGCGCTACAACTGGGAATTAGGATCTGACCATCTGAAGGTTAGACTAACAGTACGGTAACATATGACACAAGCCAGCACGACTGCTGCTGTGGCCCCCTATTCCCAGAGGTAGATTTGAGGTGCCAATTTTACAACAGTTTACACGGTACACTAACTCATTGTCATACAAACTTACAAAAACGTACATAAAAGTACATGTTTTACACCACTGAATTTACCTATCAGCACAAGCTAGCAATCTCTCCCTGGTGCAATATCAGTTAAAACCTGACATTAAGCCAGATTTGTCTGTAAGTAAGGGACACACTGACGGACTACAGTTCATTCCGTCAAACTAAATTCATTGTTAAGAAAATGTTCATTAGACAAGGTACTAGTGGTACCAATGTGAGGGTGGAGTACCACTTAGGGGTACCACATGGGGGCACCACTTAGGGGTACCACATGGGGGCACCACTTGGGGGTACCACATGGGGCACCACTTGGGGATGGTATTTACCTGTCCAGAGCTACATCATCGTCCCCACTAAAGGTGGTCTTGGCCTCAGAAGTGGTCCCACTCTCAAATGCCACAGGTCTGATGTGAGCGTGGTGTTGCTCGAACCCGAGCTCCCTAGCCTGGGACTTGTACAGCTTTATCAGCAGGTCCGTTTCTATTACAGTTTGTTGCAACCGTTCCTTTATCAGTAGCATCTGAGGAGCAGAGAATTAGCTCTGAATTTGTTGGATGGTAACAGCATTGTTTTACAATTCATTTTGATTTTTTAATCAGTCGCTTTGTACGTGTGATCGTCACGGAGTCGGTCCGTAATATGAATTTTCGTGATTAGAATGTTCGTAATTTAGAAAACAATGCAATCTCATTTCGCAGAATTTTTCTTGAAGTCAGTGTAATTTTCGTGACACAACGGTACACCAACACAGAAAATATATTCAGTAGCTGGGGAAGCTTAGAATGCTGTATGAGAGAAAATTGAATACAAGTAGTGTTACTTGACATGCAATCTTGATGAGATTAATCTGGTCTAAACCATGGCCTTATCTCAATACTGAGCAAATTAATAGAACGATCACAAACAATGTGGCTGTGTGAAGGTATAGTACAGTCTGAGTGATAAATTTCGAGATTGTCGTCATATCAGATTAAGCTATTAAGTTGGCCCCTGAGATCACTACAAATATGACACAATTTCTGGTTTTTATGTTTATTTCACCATCCCTATTCATCGCGTCTATTTATATATATAACAATATCAGGATCCCTGCTAACCTCCATAACAGTGCCCAAGGGGCTGACCCACTGTGCGTGAATAGCAGAGCGGGAGGGGTGACGTGACTAACCTCCATGACAGTGCCCCAGGCGCTGACCCGCTGTGCGTGAATAGCAGAGCGGGAGGGGTGGCGTGACTGGGTATTCAGCTGAGCTACCATGTTCTTCTCGTGCTGAGAGGCGATCACGTGCAGGTGGGCGGGAGAGTGGGTCACGTGGCTGGACAGCACCTGATATAATAATAGTATTATGACAACTGCCTCAAACCCTAATACATCTCTACGCCGTTCCATTTCACACGATAGTGATATTAAATTAAGTTTACATTTAGCACAAGTGTTGGTTAACTTGAGAGGAAGGGTTTAAATGTGAAGGAGAAATGGATGATAAATTATTTCCATTAATTGATTCTGCTCAAATATAAAGTGAAAATCACATAGAGCTCGCGTACCTGATGGTGGACGGTTTGAGAGTAGCTGTTTCCCCACGTGTCCAGTTTAACCCACTCGACTTTGCAGGCCTCCAATAGCTGCCTGTGAAGGGACAGTAACTGGCCGGTCGTTCCCGGCTGCTCTGCGAACACTAACTCCTGAAATATGAGGCAAGTTGTCTGTTAACCGGTTATGTAGGGGGACCTAGTTCTAGGGACCATGTGTAGGTGGGTGGGTGGGTAACCTGCTGTAATTTTAAACTGTGAGACAGCATGACCGGGCTTATCTTTCTAGCACTAGAATATTAATATGTAAATAATTTAATTCAATTACGTAACTTAATTTTTAATGAAGTTTCGATATTCAGGTTGCAGGAAGATATGTGTCAAATTTAGCCAGGTAAACCGATGAAGACCAATCATAGCTAGTACAATGACATGTGATAACGATAACAGACGATAAAATACACACGAAAAGTTTATTTATTTCTTCTACAAAGTCATGATTATACTTGGTCGGAGAACCCATTAAAACATTATTGAAAATAGTTTAAATATTATTGATAGATTCTCTGTCGAGATGTAATCCTACATACCTGTAGAGCATGATCAATAGCAGCGGGCACATCTGCTACCTTAGCCAAACCGTTACAAAACTCCAGAAAGTAGCTGGTTTGTAGAGTCGTGCTCGCGTGAGTCACGGAGATCGGCTGTTTCTTAATCAGTTGGAACGGTAATCCTCCCGTCACTGAAATAGGATTGTTAAGATTTCAATCGGTTCCTCGGAAATTTACCAGCTCAATTGTGAAGGTTTTTTAGATTTTACTACAATTGTGTAGGGTAGTATGTATTGATTACACTTGGTCGGACAAACAACGAGAAATTGGACCCGTAATTAAGAAATGACTATTAGATAACTTAATTATAATTCTACCGATAGTTACTTTTCGGGCCCACTTCCATTTAATTTGTACAGCAATCTTATCAGAGCCTTCGCGAATCGAATCAATAATAAACTGCGCGGCTATTGGGTAGTATTGTATCGAAACTAATCAATGGTATTAATATAATCTCAGTTTGATGGTAAAATAAATGGTTACTTATCGAAAGTTATTTATCCCTTGAGATTTACAGTTTAGTGGCCCAACCAAAACTAAAGTCAACAATAAGATAGGTCAACATCATTTTGGTGAGCAGTAATTTTTGGCAAAATTGGGACTTAATTTTGATAGACTACACATTTGGTTGTTAAGGTCCATCATGTTCCTGCTGCTAGTGCACCACCCCTATAAAGTATAATGATTCTAAGGTGACTGGGTGACGGTATAACTTGTATAGAGAGAATAAAGCACTGAATAGTGGAGCTATCTATCTGCGGAAAGTTTATCATTTAATAATTGAATTGTAAGAACTTACAGCCGTTCAGTTCATGTTGTGATATACTGTCTCCGAACGCACGTTCTGTATCAAACTGAAGGTAAAGCCATTGTTCAGAGTTACAATATTATACAGATTATCAATAAGAGTCAGAATATGGTTCAAACTTTGAACACACTCATGAAGCTCAATTAAGCGGTTGTATCCATTCGCAAAAACTGTTAATTACTTTCAAATGATACAAATTTCAACTCTTACCGTCATGTTAGCCATTTCTTGAGTTAGTGCGGTCCACTGAGCCATAATCTGACTTTCGTTGATGTATGTTCTGATAAAATATGGGGCTTCCACGTCATATCTTGGTCTTCTGTACATTACAGACACCATCACCTGATGTGAAATCATGAATAAGATAATCAATCATACAAATTTCAGCTTGATAATCATGAATTTAATAATAGATCGTGCCCAGATTAGAGTAGAGGGCATGACAAAAGCCATATTATGTGGGAAAAACAGACACCTCTGACTGCTGATCCGTCTGCTCTTCTCACGCCGATATGGCTTTTACGATACCCAACATAGTCAGTAGTCACCCATGATGTATAAGATCATCATCGGTCTACTGTACAAGGGAAGAGCTGGCTGCAGCAGTCTCGTTAGAGATTTGCGCGCACACGCGGATATATAATTTGTATATAAAGTTGCGTTTCATTGCTCAGTGTGTTTGAAAGCCGCGCGCGCTAAGGCGGCGGCATTAATTGATCGCATGTCTCAGTTACCTGGGCCAATTTTCTCTTTTCTTCCAACGACCAAACGTGGTTGTAAATTTCCATGTAGCAATCTATCAACTGAAAGTAGTTTGGTAAGTACTCAAAGATGATGTACTTAAAAATAGAGGTATTAACAAATTAAAATGAAATGTCTGCTCTCGGATATAAACTCTTTAAAATATTATCAGACATCGCTTGATAAACATGATTTATCTGTGAAAGCAAGCGAACTGCGAAGGCAGAAAAAACCTTTTTCTTGTTTTTCTGGAAGGCGATTTCCTGGCTCCAGATGTCCAAAAGTACCGCGGTTCTATCAATCTGCACGTGTGAGTAGGCAACCAGATCTACTACTAACGGTGGGTGTTTCTGAAGTAAAAATAGATATAGTAAATCAAGATCAAATACCCCTTTCTAGTTCAATATCATCATTTGAAGCAGTGGAAACGAAAGTTGTCCTAATAAATATTTTCAGTCCAAATTGCGACCACGTGTCTCACCAGTAGTTTTGAAGTAGTGAAAGCAGAGTTCCGTCTGGGTAATGGGTTCTGGGACTCATCATCTGAAAATCTGTTGTCTTTGTCTTTGGAAATGTAGTGAGTACAGACCAGCAGCAACTCATCTTCCAATTCTCTAAAATAGGTTAAATAGTGTTAACAGTATAGAATTGTTATTGATAAAGACATTCCTCAACCCTCTCCTGGTATTTCTAACAGCTTGTTTACATATCGTAACTTATTGAACTGTCCTATCAACCTCAATAAAATCTTGAAGATCTGCTCTGTCCAGAATTCAAAATAGCGTAAAAAAGCTGAAACACTAAGACTTGTCTCACTTGAGTTGGTCCAGAGCAGATTGGTACATTACAAAGAATCCAGAACTGTCCTGAGCGTGTGTTATACCATCGTCCTCCGTGTAGAAATCATCCACATTTTCTATATCCCCACTCTCGAAGTATTCGTACATCTTCTGACTGAAGATTAACCGATGTTTTAGGGAGTACGGGGTCTTTTAGAAGCATCATTTTAAAAACATTCTCGCCAAAACTTGATAGAAAGATTTATAGAATGGTTAATAAACGAACATGTGCTCTATTCGAGTGTTGTGGAGGAAAGAGGAATCAGATCGTCCAACGTCGCCGTCTTTCTTCTTATCCCAGTTACCCACTAAGTCCAGATTTATTGTTCGCTCAACAGACTTGAAGTAGTTTATTATACCCAGACACTGAAGACATTACGTAAATTAGGATCATGAACCCAAAGATCAGAAATCTCATTTGTTTATACTCATGGAAACGAGTCGCAAATAAAACATGTGCTCAGAACAATTTCCGGAATTGAAATTCTAAATTATGGTTTCAGGTTACAGGATTTATATGAAATAGCTGTTCATTTAAGGACGATCTTCCTGAAATGTCGTATGGTACGCAGGATCATTAGCTTGAAAGCAATTTAAACATGAGTAAACTTGCTTTAATTGCTAAACTTTTTGAAATGTCACACTAATACTTGACGGTGATTACTTGCTATAGAAAATTATTTATGCGCGTGACAAAAACAACTTTTTGCCAATGCACAGCACGCGCGCATCTGTTGCCATCTTGCAGTTGGGCAATCTCTGCACTGCAAACTTGCATGCAACTTGTCCAGAAAGTGACAGTATAAATGTATGTGCATGCTTCCTATTTTCACGTCAAACAATTACTCACCGATCGTCGTATATGCCGTAACTTGAGATGTCTCAACATGAGATAAGCCATATGGGCATCTTTACCACTAGATGTTTTACCAGTGTGCCCAAATCCCAAGTTTCCGGGGGTGAAAGAGAAAGCACCGTGGACACCATTAGACTGGGGCCCTCTTCCTGATAAGGCTCCCAATACACCGTCATCTTCACCGTTCACATCGCTTATCGAGTCTTTGTCATCTGCGTCGTCACTAAAAGTTTAATTTTATACAGTTTTCAGTACAATTTGAGACAGATAAAACAATCTATCTAAGAACAAAATAACTCTAACAATACTCGTAAACATGAATTGAGTAACTTACTTCTGGCTGTCTCCAAGATGGATCCGTTTCCACATAGCTTGGGTGTCTTTGCCAGCAGGATGAGAGGCTACAGAGTGCGGTCGTACTGGACCTGGCAACTCCTTCAAGTTTGCAACGTAGTTCTTCAGTGACTTAGAAACGTCCTGTTATATTAATGTAATGTTTAAAAGCGTTATTTGTTAGTGGTATATAATTCGTTTTTAAAATTAGAAAGTCTTCAAAAAAAGGGGACTGTATTGATGTCTCCCAGTACCTGCAAGCTATCATTTTCAAGAAAAGCAGCAGAACTTTTCAGCAGCTCATCTACAGTGTTCCTCTGTTTAATATGAGATATAGCAGCTTGTCGAGCTGCGTCTAGTTTAGGGTATAGTTGGCGGTGGGGTTCCCAGGATGACGGCTTCAGGAATGTGTTCATTACGAGAGTCGGGTCTATATCGTCCTGAAGTGAGAATAGATATTAGATAATATCTTATATCTATCTAATAGATATGGTAACCAGATAAGAGAGCTGATATTTAAAAGAGCTTACTAAAAGTTAAATTGCCAGGTTTTATCAACAGGACCTCATATTCAGCTATTTAACAAATTCTACCGACAAAGTGATGAGCGATAATGGCTACAATAGTCATAATGAAAATGGATGGTTTGGAAATAATGGACACCATCTTTAAGTTAATGAGTTGTCATCATGACACGTGACCTCTCTGTCAATGACATATTCGACAACCAACACATCTCCACCATCGTCAACTTTGCAAACCACACTAAACGCTTAATGGTGCCAGAGGAGTTGGACCAGACCAGTGTAACATAGCGACTACTCAAACGTCGTCTTAGTTCGCCTCTCTCTTCCACACTCAACCACCACTTAAGCGCTCATCTATGACACACCCCACAACACTTACCATCGTCCTTGATTACACATCTTGATTCCACCGGCATCCTCCCACAGGACTGCCATACCCCAGAGGTAGGCAAAGCATCCATATGCTATCCTCTCGTGGGCCAACAGGCACAGCCTCTCTTTTTAAAAAATTTTTAAAACGTGACACATGACACGTGACCCACCTCAGAAAGAGAACCCGTCACAGGGAACCTCATCATCTGGGTTTGTTTGGAGAGTATGTTTTTGAGACGTCTGTGAGCTTGGTAGTACAGTTCTAACTCATCTGCTGGACTCAGGGCCTCTAGGTCCTGAAGAGGGATGTTTAGGGAGACTAGTAGAGTTTCAGAGACAGCTTGTTATTTTGTTAAATAGTTAGGATACCATGTATCAATGGCAAAAATGATAAAGTCATAAATTGATATGCTGTAGTAAGACAAAACATTTCAGAGTTCATCAAGAAGAATTGGGGTACAAATTGTCTATCACTTGCTACTGAAAGACTTACGATTGATATAGCGTAAGAGTCTAGTAAGTTCTGCAGTCTATGTTTGTAAGTGTCCAGTCTCGCGGAAGCTACTGGCATTCCATAGTCCTCTCGTCCTGACTCAAAACACGCTTCTGCCGATACTACCTGAATTTTTTACATCATCAAAAGAAATTCGCCAAATATGCCAGTAATAAATTGACAGTACCTTATTCTTTTCGTCGATGATATGAATGAAAATGAAATATGACGATTGAAAAATATGTTTTGATGAAAAATGTGTTACGCCTAGGCCGAGCATAGCTGTTGTGTTTCTTCGTCTTCTCCTATTATCAACGTTACAAAAGCTTGGGGGATTGATCTTCTTAGTCCATTTCTTCATCCATTGCTTCCTTGCCTTGACATTATGAATTCATGAAAATCATAATGACGTATGAGAAGGCATGTGATAAATGTATAATAACGTTCGTAGATTCGTAGGTACAGATGGGGAGTGTGAATAGTGACAACAGCAGTCTTATGAAAACAGCAGTCTTATGAAGACAGAAATTGGCGCTGTCGTATGTGAAATGAACACGTGATCAAAATAAACTAACACAATTAAAACTAACCCGTGCGTTTATCAAAGCTTTGGACTCCTGAGGTTCAGTACTAGAACTACTGCTCTGTTTATTGAACCTGGAGCTGATCCTACTCTGCGAAGTCTCGGGCAGCTTGTTCAACTTGTCCCTTCTTCTCCAACCGGAAGTGTAATACACCTCGTCTTTTGGGTCGTTTAACCACTGAAGTATAGCTGTGAGTGGCGGGATTGGAACACGTGACACGTTTACCAACTATCAAGCAGTGTGGACACCACATTCTTACAATATCAGGATACTCAAAATATGCTTGTCATAATCAGAGCTAGAGGTCAATTTTTTTTCATTTAATCATCTTTAGCAATCTCGGCGGTGAGAAAACGAGACATTATTTGTGTACACATGTCTATAAAATTATAGATTCGTCTGGGTTTCTGAATGAGAATTAGTGGAACGGCTGAGATTGGAGATAGACACCCGGTCTTATCTATAATTCATAGACACTTCCCACAAACCATCTATTTAAGGGGACATACACCATCAGGGACAAAAGGATTTCGCGATTATTTTGGCCAAAAATCGCGATACCGCGAATTTTAACAGACTATACCTTAAACTATACATAAAATTTGCCGCAAATAATGGGAAAAATCGCGATTCCGTACATGCCGCGATTTCCTTTTGTCCCTGTACACCATCACTCGGGTGCTGTCTATCAGATAGATCCCGCTTCGCCGGGCCTATCTGAGATAGATACGTTTGCGTGTCGTGTCTATATAATATATTATAACATTATAGTCTACCACAGCAGCAGAAATCACTACATAGCTCAGTGACAAGATGCTCGTTTATAGAATTATAATGTCTAGAAGAGCGATTAGTTAGCTGGGAATTAGCAACATACATTAGTAGCATTAATAATTACCAACAACAGCATCTTTAAACGGCACTGGAATCTGTGATTTTACAAAAGAAAAGTTAACCATGCAAGAGGAGAGTTTGAAAGAATCTTAGATTATAATAGTGCAGTTCAATTACTTCTTATATTGCGAAGAAAATACTAATATATAAATATACACACGATATTAATTAACCTAAAATTAATCATGCAAAGAAGAGTTTGAAAGGTTTTCAGATTATAGAAGTGTGGTTCTGGTATAATATCAAGAGAAAGACAGTGCTGAAACCTACCTTCTCCCATTTGAAGGCTGTGGTGTCCTCCTCCAAAGTATCAGGGATAGCTATTCTGGATTTGTGGAGCGACACAATGTGAGATATCACCTGATCAATGAAACTTGAGGTTAGTTGTAATCTTTGGCTGAGTGTCAAATACGATGAAAATTGATTTAGTAAATTTCACACTATTAAAAACACAAAATACGATGAATGTTAATTGTTAATTATGTAAATTTCATATTTAACACATTATAACAAACCATGAGATAATTGTTGATCTTCTCAGTTGAGCTGAATTTCCAGCACATCCAGTTGAGATACAAACACATGTCCTCGTTAGTGACCAGGTGGATTGGAGCGGGTTTGCCGCCCAGATAGGCTCTGTGGGCGGGTTCAAGTCTGTGGGCACGGTGCCAGAAATCTTTATACTGCTCCATTATCTCCCTGTACACAGGAAGGTTGTCGTAATAGTTCATTAGATCAGTTAATTATATTAGCTAATTTTTAATTAATTATAAGTTGATTATAATATAATTATCATTTATCTTTGATTAAACAACAAGTATATTACCTGACTCGGTCCTGGAATACCTGGTGAAGGTCTGTAACAACCACACCGTGCCTACAGAACCTACTCCACCGTGACAAGTGCATCTTCTTCAGCAGCAGTAGATCCTCGCATTGTGTCAGGAAAAACTGAACAATAAATCTGTTATTCTTTACAAATGTTGTTCAATAAACTTGAAATTATGACTATTAAATGGAAATTTGATAAATCTTAAAATGGCATACAATTTCGGAAACCATCGGGGGAATAGCCAACCTGATGTAGAATGAAAGGAATGGAATCTGCAGAATGTTCTGGATTATCACAGGTGCTCAGCTCAGCTGCCAGTATTTTATCATGACTATCCAGTGGTCTCATGTCAGGTACAGACAGAATCCTCTTGATGGATTCCAGTCTTTCTACTTCTGCGTCCTCTGTGTCTTGTGGATGTGCTACTGAACTAAGATAGAGATAAGATAATCATTTTGTCGTTATACTCGACACATTAACATTACTATAGAACAAATTTTAATTTGGGATGCGTTTAAAAAATACGGTTTTACATCTTATAAGTAAAATCATACCTCAAATTTTTAGACTTCCCATAGCCAATCTCTTGAGCTCAGCCTTGAGATCCCCAATGTTGCGATCAAGTTCCTCATTGAGCGCTCTGGTACGTGCTCCCAGTGACACAAGGCTTTCTAACTCCATGTTACAATCTTCCCTCGATCTATGTCTCCCCCGGACTCAGTCTCTTTTTGTTACATAGTTAGTCTGCTACAAATGAGGATATGCCTTGTTACTCAAACATGATACCTAAAATTGGCTGATTGACGGTTGGCTGCGCTAAGAGAAAAGCCTAAGATTATTACACTGACTAACTGCATATAAGTTGGGGTGATTTGGCCATTTCAAGCTGATTTGCAGAGGGAATTTCATGACAAGGTAGGAAAATGCGCGTCATCCTGTGCCCAGTGTGTATAATGTATAATGTAATGTATTATTTCACGAGAATTAGTTATTGGAGGCTGGTATAGAGTATTAATGAAACGGCAGGATACTTGATAAAATAAACGCATATTACAATATTAATAAGCTGAAATGAACCAAAACCAATTACATGAATCCAAATAGAACGCGTAGCAAAATTAATGCAAGACATGATTCATCATTATATAATGTGCATAACTTATGCACATTGATAAAATATCACAAATTATTATCTTCCTTAGTAGTGGCTAACCGAGGCCACATCGCTGTCAAAGCATGACAAAAAAACAGTCTCTCAGAGGCAGGACTCCTTCATTATGGTCTGTGTTATTTCTATATAGTTAAAAATAATCGCCTCAGCTCCACTGAGTTCAAATAACATGTCCTCGGATCAATACACAATACTCATTTAAAAGATTCTGAAAGTAAGCTAAGAAAACACAGATCAGTCCGGTAAAGATTTAATGAATGGACTCAAAACACCGACTATGACTCTATGTCTGTACGGATCACAAAGATAAATACTTCCGTCAAATTCCTTGACGACGATGCTGGTTATAGAGTGGAACCCGCCCAGCTCCTCACCGATCATAATAAGAATAAGCTCGCCTGTAGGGTACATGACAGAGATCCGTCCCTCCGCCGTCCCCACTAGTAGCACTCCGTCGGGGGCCACTGTAATGGAGATAGGGACACCAGGGATGGGAATCCTGCGTACCAACTCCCCATCAAGTGACCACACGTGGACGCATGAGTTCGATTTGTCGCAAACGTAAATCTCTTCCGTAACGGCGCTTCCTGCTATCGAGACAGCGTTGGTGTCGTGTCGGAGTTTCTTTGTGCATTCCAAGACTACTTTAGTGTCGTCCTCACTGTTGAAGGACAGCTTCCAGATCTCAACAACGGATACCTTGCAAAGGTAGATGTTGTTGCTGATGAAGGTGCAGTCCAGGACCCCCTCCCAAATGTTACGGATGGTGTACCACTGTTGGTTGTCGCCGGTTTGTAACCGGTAACTCAGCAACCGATCCTGAGCAATGAAGTCCCGGACGGGAGTACCCGCTGACCACATCCCCACCACGCGCCCAACATTTCCTTTAAACATCTTAGTGTGGAGGAAGGTTTTACCGTCCTCATTTCCAGTGGGGTAAGATACCCGCACTACCGAGTCTGAATCGTAAATCAGGAGACCCGACAAATGTTGTGCTAGATAAACTGGATTCTTTAGGTCACGTGTTGTTTCATCTAGGAATTCCAGACTCGTGTATTCTTGCCACAATCGCGGCAGAGACCACAGCTGATGTGCTGAGACGAATATACTGGAGGCGCTGGTGAGGCTAGAGCGTGATGCGTCTGGAGGGGAGGACAAGACTCGCTTTGCCTTTCCATGGGTATCGACTGATAGCTTCATTCTCTTCATGATAACTTCTCCGCCCACGTGTATGGAAGGCGCAGAGAAAGCGGCAACTTCAAATGATATTTGGGGTATACTCTTCATTTCACTGACGACCTTCTCGATGTTTTTGAACTCCCTTATGAGCGAGTAAGGTTTTTTATCGTTTACTTTCACCAACAAGCTCAGGATTCTCTCCCGCTCGGTGTCCATCACTTTCTGCACTTCACCTAGAATTGTAAGGTTGTTTTGTTTTGCAGACTGTATCTGAGCAGTTAGTTTATTTTTCTGAGTCGTTGCTTCTTGGATGATCCTGTCGTAGTATGCGGCCATTCTCGTGTCCTCGGACTCTAATGTCTCTAAAACTATGGAACACTCGTCCTAAGGAAACGGGTTTTACGATTCGCAATCTCAGATTTAATGACAATTTTCAGCAACATGATTTAAGAATTAATATGTTAAAACAAAATAATTTAAATTCAAATTATAAATTTTTAAAGACAAGAACCATGCACGATCAGTCGGTTTTAAAAACCTGTAATTGGTTGAAAAGATCGCCGAACTCGACTTGGAGGCTCTCAACATGTTCCGTCAGATATTTCTTCTAGCGGCAGCCTCAAGGTCCGGGCGAACTGAGGAAAATGGACAAATCTAAAGCAAACTGTGATAACCTGAGCAAGCAGACGAAGTGATAAAAACAATCGTACCGTATCATATTATAGAGATGCTGTGAATTAGATGTGGTCATACGGCGGCTTCTATTTTAAGACGGTTAATCTCGTAAATTAGTTGACCACTCAGATTATCAGCAAATGTTGCAACAGGTTAATTCATCAAGCATTATAGATAATAATTATAAAGCTTGCGAAGCATATCGGCTTTAACATTTTCGTGCAAGATAAAGGAATAAGATATGTAGACTATTTGGATATCTGCAATGCAAGGGCACATAACAAACTTGTTTTCTGCTTGAATGATAATTCAGAAATGTAACCGATAAGACTCAAAACAAATATCAGACAATAGCCTTGAACAATCAAGGAGAGTTATCGGTTTATATAATATTATGTAGTTGAGACGATGAGCAAAGCAGGCAGGCAGACAATAAAGTATATTAAAATTAGGTAGAATTGATAAAAAAGGGCTTCGTTCTTGAGAAACTTATAGCATTAGCGATAGTAAGTTAACTTAATTGTGCTAGCACTTTTATAACCTACCTTCGTTAAAAAGTTACGAAGTACAGCAATGAGTAGCTAGCAGCAACAGAGTAGCTCGACACTTAGCAGGGGGCTAAGATGCACAATATGCACAGTGTTTGATACCTAGCTGATGTCCTTGAGAGATGCACGTGTGCACGATGCACGTGCTGCAGATCAGTATGCTGCACTGTTGGCAGTAGCAGGCCAGTTGCGCGCCGTTACACATGTCACACAGACCGCTCAAACTATCCGTACTGCGGCTTTCCTCCTCCTGAAATGAAGGAGTTACACTGTAACATACTGTTTAGAGCTCTAAATTACATGTCACAATGCATGTTCTAGGCGGATATTACACTATAAGGTACCTTACGACATTAAGCCATTAGGTGATGATTCCTCCGTTCTTCTAAACGATTTTACTTAGATCAAATATTTTCAATCTTAATTTTCACAGCATCACAAGAAGATATGTTTGATATCCAAGCTGCAACAAAATGCAAAATAAAGACAAAGAATTCGTCAGAAAATAATACTGCATTATCAGACGGATTATTCTCGAACGATCTACGCCCGAAATTAATCTCATAAAAACAGTTTAGACCTCAACCTATCAAGCATTATTAAGGGCACACGATTTAGGACATTCATATACCGGATATAGGACATAACTCATTGAATATTGATATCATACCCTGTCCAAACCCAGGATGCACTACATGCAGAATTCGTAGTAACTTTGTTTAAAAAGCATTAATATACGACATACTTTAGTCTGCTTAATCAGTCGGATCAAAACAAGCAACGAGTGATGAGTATGCAAGAAAGCAATGCCAATCAAAACGATGGCAGTTACTAATGTGCTAAATCGGTCTCAACTCTCTGCAAAAAACAAATATTTTAACGAAAGTTGTCGGAAAAAAGTATGAAAGTCTGGAGTTATTTTTAAAATGTTGTAAAACGCGAATAACTACTGCTGGTTGAGGTGCAAGACATCAGACATGGTAAGCAACCGCAGAAAACAATGGTCGTTACATACGCTTCAGAAATACAATAGAGAAGTGCGAAGTGAGTCAATTTATTAAACTTCGTCGTGCATACAAGCACTCCGCTCGCTCACGACATCATGTAGGAACTGTGTTAGGTTGGTCAGATCAATAAATAACACTCCCACTATTCTACCGTGGCGTGATGGAGTCATCTAATTAGGTAGCTAGTCATTCTTCTTGATACGTCTATTTATGTACGTTAAGTTTTGATAGATCCGCCCAATAAAAATGTGCCACATTTTGTTTATTATAAGTGGCATGGTGGTGGCACTGCGTTTATATCGAGCATGATTCTGGAATGCAATACTAAACTTTTACTACCTGGCACAATTCCAAATAATTCAAAACTTTACCTGGGTTACTATGTCTAGAAGTGCAAGGTTCAGAGCCAATAAGTCCAGCTGACATGGCGCACTTTTGGTACAGATAGGACACTTTATGTAGGAACCCATCTGAAATGATTATCATTTAATCTTGCGGTTATGGCGGTACCATTTACCAAATATTCCCGAAATCCCTGTGAGCTTAACTCACAGTATGCTCTAACGATTAATTAGCAGACGTAATGATATAATTGGTCAAGATATTATGCACATAATGCGCCAACATGTCTGATATTTAGGTACAAAATATCGTGGCTATTTAAGACAAGGTAACTTTGTTGAAATAAAAGAAAGCTTTTAAGGCCAAAAGTGTATTGGCTGAAGGCAGTCTAGCATAACCAACCTGAGTCATTCCTTTGATGCAGCTCTCACAAAATGTATGTCCACACGGCACAATGAGGGGCCGGTGCCCGCCCGCGTCTCCGTACCCCTGCGCGCACAGTGGACACGTGATGAAAACCATCCCGACACGTGACACTCTGCTACATAGCTATATCGGGAAATTTAGTTAGTCAAAACCAGGGAGCTAACAGTAAACCAGGGAGCTAACAGTAAACCAGGGAGCTAACAGTAAACCAGGGAGCTAACAGTAAACCAGGGAGCTAACAGTAAGCCAGGGAGCTAACAGTAAGCCAGGGAGCTAACAGTAAACCAGGGAGCTAACAGTAATCCAGGGAGCTAACAGTAATCCAGGGAGCTAACAGTAAACCAGGGAGCTAACAGTAAACCAGGGAGCTAACAGTAATCCAGGGAGCTAACAGTAATCCAGGGAGCTAACAGTAAACCAGGGAGCTAACAGTAAACCAGGGAGCTAACAGTAAACCAGGGAGCTAACAGTAAACCAGGGAGCTAACAGTAATCCAGGGAGCTAACAGTAAACCAGGGAGCTAACAGTAAACCAGGGAGCTAACAGTAAACCAGGGAGCTAACAGTAAACCAGGGAGCTAACAGTAAACCAGGGAGCTAACAGTAAACCAGGGAGCTAACAGTAAACCAGGGAGCTAACAGTAAACCAGGGAGCTAACAGTAAACCAGGGAGCTAACAGTAAACCAGGGAGCTAACAGTAAACCAGGGAGCTAACAGTAAACCAGGGAGCTAACAGTAAGCCAGGGAGCTAACAGTAAGCCAGGGAGCTAACAGTAAACCAGGGAGCTAACAGTAATCCAGGGAGCTAACAGTAATCCAGGGAGCTAACAGTAAACCAGGGAGCTAACAGTAAACCAGGGAGCTAACAGTAATCCAGGGAGCTAACAGTAATCCAGGGAGCTAACAGTAAACCAGGGAGCTAACAGTAAACCAGGGAGCTAACAGTAAACCAGGGAGCTAACAGTAAACCAGGGAGCTAACAGTAAACCAGGGAGCTAACAGTAAACCAGGGAGCTAACAGTAAACCAGGGAGCTAACAGTAAACCAGGGAGCTAACAGTAAACCAGGGAGCTAACAGTAAACCAGGGAGCTAACAGTAAACCAGGGAGCTAACAGTAAACCAGGGAGCTAACAGTAAACCAGGGAGCTAACAGTAAACCAGGGAGCTAACAGTAAACCAGGGAGCTAACAGTAAACCAGGGAGCTAACAGTAAACCAGGGAGCTAACAGTAAACCAGGGAGCTAACAGTAAACCAGGGAGCTAACAGTAAACCAGGGAGCTAACAGTAAACCAGGGAGCTAACAGTAAACCAGGGAGCTAACAGTAAACCAGGGAGCTAACAGTAAACCAGGGAGCTAACAGTAAACCAGGGAGCTAACAGTAAATACGTTTACTATCATTATCAGTTTATTTTTCGGCTTAATTACAACAATTTCCAGATCATTTTCGTGCAGCAAGTTTAACAAAGATTGTGTCTTTAAGAGTACTCTATTTACCAACATATTGCCGATCATATATACTACAAATACAAATACCGGAAGTTATGCTCTAAGAAAGGCGAATCACTAAACGTTATACCACATGACCGAGCAATTAACACGGGAAAGACCTCATTATCGGATGAATAATCTACCACTAGCATCTAGATAAAATGTAGGTTCAAATGCAACACTCTCAATGACATGAGATGAGAGCATTTTAACTACAAATAACAAGGAAGAAACTATTTGGGTACGTGCTCAGAAGGTAGTAGGACTATAGTACATGCTCTGAGAAGGGGGCACAGGTGTTGGATATAATTGTAGAGGAGGTAATTTAATTTATCATAGTATGTCTGCAGGAGCAATCACCATGGTGACGAATCATACCCTAGTGACGTCATACCCTAGTGCACAATACTGACCACAACATTACACTGTAATAACTGGATAACCTTCACGACTTCTATTTAAGTATTTAAAGACATAATTAATTAAATAATTATGAGAAAAATTGTGAGAATCCCAGTTACTAACTTAGTCCAGATAACTTAATAAGTAACTTTAAGATGCTAAGCTATTTTGATAGTTTAATACTGAACAATGTGTGGGCAGATCTTCATACTGGAACAATCACAAGAAATCAAAATCCGGCACAAACAAGACTCATTTGAGTTAACATGTCAGAGCTCAAGAGTAAAATTAGAGCAAACCCTCTGACTGTTCGAGAGGGAGAAAGGAAGAACGCAGGGCTCCTACAGTAATGTTATAAATAGTTAGTATACAATGCTCTGTACACTATATTTCATGATACCGATTAAAGTGCAGCCCTCTAAAGGACCCGGAAGTGGGGTAGCTATTAATGTTTGAACCAAGCCTCCCTCCACCCAGCGCTACATACATCCCCAACACACACACACACACACACACACGGCCATTGCCATCCAAATAATACATGTTTACCAGATTAAGGAGTCATTACGTGATTACTCAGCCGGACTACAAGGTCAAATGTGTAGTGCAGTCCGAGCACGTGGCCTGAAGTGCAAGCAAATGTTAGGACGAGTTCTGGAGCGTGCTGCTGTTGTGTCCAGCTCACGTCTTGGATCTTGTAATTTTAACTGTTCTGATCTGTAACTTTAATTGTTGCAGGATGGAAACCGCATTTTGGAGTAATACACCGTACGTGGAAATGAATGGTATAATTATATATACAGGTGTTGTAAAATAACCGAACCTCAAATACAAATACATATTTACAAATAGATCACTTCAGTTCTGTGTGTCAGTGACATCTGAAAAACTTCACTGGAAAAAACAAATCCACCTGAAACAGTCACGTTTTCACCGACCGAATTGACTGAAAACTACAAAAACTATCCACATATCTAAGTTCTTGTCTACTCTCTATCTCCGGCTAAAACTTCCATTGCCGAGCAATGAACTGGCGCCACAAGCTGAACCATCTCTAACCATCTGTTCAGTAGAAGAAGACACCGAAGGCAGTAGCAAGACAAAACATGGTCTCGTTCATGTAGAGGTGCTGAGCGTAGTTGTCAGTGTCGGAGTCCCAGAAGCACCTGCAACCTACCTTAATACCCTGACCTCTCTGTTCGCCTATCACTACGTTAACTGCCAGCTGTAATACGGAGACATTTTGTTAACGTTTGAGTTAATAAATGATGATGATTATATGAATTTTAATTAATAGAGTGCTTATCTAACATTTTTTACAGGCTCTAAAGATTTAGTTTATTTACGAAGCATTCAAGCCTAACATTGTGTGTTTCCCTTCGTCTCTAAATGCAATATATTTTTAACGGAACTACATGTATGATAAACAGATCTGAGTCATATCAAAATGGAAATTTTTAACGGCACACTCTGAGTTTTGATGAGAAATGTGTTAGGCATCAATTCTAATATCAAGCTAAATTGATATGACTTACTTTGTAGCGGTCCATGCCAAGAGATTTAACTTTCTCCTTGACAGCCTCAGTGATGGTTTTACACCAAGCTGGAGCCTGTTCAGGATCGTACTCCTTTCCTTTCAACTGTTCCGTAACAACTCTGAAGGTTAATGGGTCATTACAAACATGCTTTACCAATTATCATGTTTATCAATTACATATATCAGTAATGTCTGGAAACTCAACGAATTTTATCCTCAATTTATGTTTAAAGTTTCAGCATTTACGGCTTCCTGTAGAGCAACTGAGAAAAAAAACACAGACGTTCAGTATTTATAAATAAGAACTGACTACTCAGCATAGGTTAACTATGACATATTGTCATATTATGTAATAATGTGGTATGACTCATCTGTGCCTAACATTTCGTATATATACAGCCAGCGATTTAGCGATCTTTCAGTTGCTAATTGAACTTGAAGGGGTTTCCATTAGCATGCTTCAATAACTATCACCAAAGCTACAACATGAAGTAATCTGTGATCTCATGACATTTATGCTAGTAGGTACTCAGTTTGATCAGAGTTTGTGCTATTATTGAGAGTATCTCACAGTATAATACTGAGTGGTAATTGTACAAAACGTTATCTAGAAAGAGAGTAGACATTGACCACAATACAATCATAAGCATTATCCTAGACACTAGCTTATCCTAAGGACACCGCTAAAGAATGAAGACAGTATACTTTAAGACAATAGTTGAAGATCCTTATTAATAGGAAACCTGTTTGAAGTTACTGATTGTATGCAATATACTTCTTTTAACGCTCCAGTCTTGGTAAATGTTTTGTGGTTACTTACCAAGCTCTTAAATAGTCAATATGATAACAAGATATCTTATGTTATTACGAACTGAACAACTTTACTGCGGTGCCCAAGCTGTAACTTTAGCTGTAACAGCAGTAGTATAGATCTTCAATCAAGTTTTTGCATTTCCAATATTATGGCAAATTTAATTAGGAGCAAGTGTAAGTTTGGACAAAGCAAACTAACTCTACAGATCCAATAAACATTTTATGTGTGAAGCAATTCCGGGGGATTGTTTTACACATGAAACTTTATCTTGGATTTATATATTTAGTTTGCTTTGTCCGAACTTATATCTTAAATCATAATGTTTGTTGTATACACTTACTTAGCAGTCAAATAAGGCAAAATGAAGAGCCTTTTCATTATCAATACCTACCTAGTACCTACACTAGCATTAATATTTTGGAATATGCACAGAAACTGTTAGAACATTTATCGTGTAATTTTGTCCTTCATGCAAAAATTCAACAAATAATAATCTTTGTAGAAAATCAATAATATTTGCTTATTTAAAACTTAGACACTTTTCCCCTTGTAAGCAACTACAAGATTTTCCAAACCCCTCCTGTACTGGGTTGCTTTCGTAATATGTAAAGGCATTGTAAAAACAAGATAAAACTGAATACAAATTCATTAGTAACACTTACTCTTGAATAGCTTCTTTCACAATAGCTGGTTTGAACTTGTCTTTGAAGTTAGGACGGATAATGTAGCTATTTTCTGCTGCAGAAGGCAGTTCTGATGGTGTTAATGCAACTTCTGTCTCAGCCATAGCTATGATAATTGTTTGTTAATAAATACTGCTTGATCTTCTGCAGGTTTTCAATTCAAACAAACCACTTTAAGTATCCAATTTTCCTCTGAAATAACATTTTAATTTATAAAAACGTCAATGTCTTGTAAACTTTGGTAAATCCGATCGGAAACTAAAATAAGAGCATGGTTAATGGGAACTGAAAAAAATTACAAACACTACTAAATCGATACATTAGAGACAAACTATAAATTACCAAATAAACCAAATCAAAAGCCAACTTCTTAAGTTAAATACTTTATGACGATTTAGACCCGAAATATCTGATCAGGATTTCACAATGTTATTTCTGAGGTCTACTGAGCTATTTGGAAAAAATAAAGACTTCTTGGTTAGAGCTTGAAATCTCATAAATTATGCCTGGGTCGGATGGTATAATGATGACATTTCTATGACCTCCATCAATTTCACAAACATGGGTACATTATGCTAATATAATCAGTTGCTAGTCGGGTTACCGTGATCCTATGATCATGTCTCACAAAGCAAATGTTCTAGTTTCAGCCTTACAAGGAATTATTTACATTTGATCCAAGCAACCCAACCAATAACTATTTAAAGTCAACAATATAATATCATGATGCTATATTTTCTCTGCTATAAATATGGGAAAATGACTGGAGTCAACATTGAAAAAATATGATGGTATTGGACTAAAGAGCTTCAGCCTTGAGGTAATCTTGAGAATGGTGACGATCAACTGTTTCGAAGGGATTCAGGCAGACTGCTACTAGAATATATATAGGATACAAGGATACAAGGACACAAAAGTGATAATTATTTTATTGAGTTCACAATAGTTATAATTCTGAAATAATTTAAAGTTACACAATTCTAGTTATTTACAAATGTGTAGGGATAAAATAGAAATGTTTTACAATACTATTTTTCTATGAATAGATCGAAATTGTAGAGTTCGATCTTATTTTGAGGTCCTATAGCATTATGCACTGGCCAGTATTTGAGTGGAAATCTGGGCTCTTATAGTAGGCTGTAAATTGTTCGTTCACAGAGAGAATTGAATGGATTGCTCTTGCTGTGGCAGTAAATTTTGTAGGGTCTAGAGTTTTATCGGATAACAAACCGGCTAGGTCAGTGATATTTTTGGGATGGAAGTTACATTTTTCTCTAACTGAGGAGTAGACTAAACAGTCAGTTAAAACATGAATTTCGTCCTCAATAGGCTATATATATATATATTGAAATCAAGACCTATCAAGTAAAACAGCGATCAGATGAAGGAAAATGAACTTTTGCATTTTGAACACTTTTATAAGCGAAAAACATATTTTTCATCGAACAACATGATTGATATCTTTTCGTATCAACCATCAGCATAATAAACTGCATTTTATTAGTATATTCTCACATTATTTCAACATTACAGTAACATCGGCTTCCAGCTTGGTTGTAACAGAACGAAACTTTTGGTCCAGACAGTTCAAAAAATATCGCAATCAACTATTATAAAAGTGCTACAGTTCGATTAATTTAATTTGGAATTAACAATTAAGCATAGCTCTGACCTCTAGAGTGGCTGACGCTAACAAACCTATTAATTAAAAGGTTGCAGCTCAGTTTCGAGCCCCACCATGTACCAATCCTTCAAATAATAAGCATATTTTCATTTAAAATGTTTGGTAGATGATACCAAAGCAAGTAGGCATAAATATAATTTTCAATTTTATGATTTTTACCCAAAACAAAATGATGATGGTCACTTTATTAATATTTGAAACACATGTAAATGACATGTCAGATCTTTCCATATAATAAGCATAATAAAAAAATGCTGCACCGTAAAGCTTGAAATTTCCGCGCGCGTCTTAACTAATTCCTATTTATGATTTAGATATCGTTATTATACTTTTTTATGCTAAAGTATTACTGGGTGGCGCTCAGACTGCATGTCATTCCGCCGAATATTTATTTCACCAAATATGTATAATTATAATATTCCGCCGAATCTTTATTTTATTAAAGAATACAACAAATGTATTCCTATACCTCAAAAAAGCCGAAAGAAAAATGCCCTGCAGTTTCTTTTCGTTTAAATCGTAAATTCGCGCGCAAAAATTACACCGGCGCGCCTTCCATTAATGATGCATTAGACGCATACATTATTAGCAGCGAGTGTGTTGAACGAACAGTCACTCGCGCCGCGCGCAATACTACAACGACTAATTTCAAATTATATTTAATTATTAATTTAAACTTCAGTTTTGCAATCTTGGCAATAATTGTTATTCAAATATACAAGTGGTCATTTCATAAAGGATTATATTGTTTTATTTAATGGAGCAGACTATTTGTAATTAATGATTGACGCGGACGGTAGTTTATTCTATTGCTAATGACAAATATTACGCGTTCAGTATTGATAATTATGTAATGGTATTGGCATGATTAATATACAATATAATTGTTACGCTACACTAGTATATGGTAGGCTTAATAAAGTTTTGGTCATTAACATTGAAATAAAACATTAGACATTTTATTTTTCAATGTAATTCTAGTCAAGTAGTCAAGCCGCGCATCCAAGCTTTATCCAAATTGCAAACTTTGTAAATGTTTGCGGAGTAAATATTTTCGTTTTGAGTATTGAAACTGAGTTTAAGGTAACCAGTTTGTAGAGTCATGCCATGCACGTAATTTAAGCTGATATCTTTCATTAACATTGTTCAATTGCAAATGGATACCGCTGGCACTCGCTAACTTTTAAGTTTAAAATGTTCAACCAACCCGCAACCAGAAAATAGAGGTAAGACCTTTCGTCTAGACACTTGATGATATTTGTTGTAGCTATCTCGTTTGATAAGTGATAATAACAATCTTTCATTCATCGAATAATTTTTGCAGTGAAGACAGGGTAACTACTCGATAATTATTTTTGTCCAGGTGAATTGATCTGAAAAAGAATGCCGTCCAGAATGCAGCATTCTCAAAATATGGTTGCTAAAATATGGACTTATGATCTACGGCAGTGGTAAGGGCTCCTAATTTGCTCATGAAACATGACCCGTTCAAATCAAAATAGAAGTCTGCTGTGTAATTATACTATATATCAATGAATAATATTTTTCAGAATGTGATGAAGAGTAGTGGAAATATTTTCTTCTCAAGATGAACTACATTCTGACGTCATGAGATAATAATACAACAGTTCTGTTCGCCCTCTCCGATCCCTTTGGCTAGGTGAGTTAGTTTAATCTGAGTACAGAGTATTAAATTGTGGGCGATTGTACTAATGATAATAATAATTCTATACAGTTTCATAATTGAAACAATTATGGCCCCTTATTGTGGGCAGAGTATGTGTCTTTGTTGATGTGTCCTGTTATAAACTTATCTGAGTGACTGCATTAAAATAATTTTTTGTAATTGCAATTGTACTAGAAACTAGTCGAAAGCATTCAAAATGTAATATCAGCTATAATATCCATGTAATCAAATTGAGGAAGCATAAGAGCGTTCTACATGATCCTACATAATCAATATGGTCCTGAAAGTTTAATAGGTTGTCTATCACCAGACCTAGGTGTTTCTGGGATTTGGTTTCTTCTATGTGAAGACTGCCATCTTCCAAATCAAGAGGGATCGACAGTCTATCAAGATTAGGACATTTGTCTAATACCATGAATGACGATTTTGAAACATTTCGTCTCAGCTTGTTAATTCTAAGCCATTCATATGACATCTTTATACTACTTCTACTACTATTGTTATGTAGTAAATTGACATAAATTTGTAAAATAGATACATGAGATCACAACTCAATATAGGATGATAATCTATTTGATGAATAGCATTAAACTTTTCCTTGATAATAAATAAAATAGTCAGATTTTCCATTTACGAGATAGTTAAGTAACAGTTCATTATTCATATGCAATGATTGACCTAAATATTCTTAGGAAATATATGAAATTAGTCTTTGTTAGCCTTTTTAGGTGTATTTCTTGAAGGTTTCAATGGCTGCTTTCTCTTAGAGTCTTAGGTTGAGTTAGGTGGGCCTGATCTGTCTTTGACTGTGTTGCAACAGATCAGTTTTGGCAGACACAATAAGCATAGCTAAGCACACCTTTCTTTGAGAATTTATATCTCCCGCCACATCTGTTGTCGATATCTTTGTTCTTACAGAAACATGTGACCAACATATTGGACTGGTCTTTGACGAAAGTCGAAAGACCAGTAATCTGGGGATGTGGCCCTTTGGGGATGTGTCCCCTTAGCCAGTGCGATGTTGGTGGCAAGTCAAATATATAATCATTATTTCTTTATTGATAGGCTCTTAACATGTCAAATGTGACAAACTCTGTTGTAAGCTTGAAAAACTTTCACCAAGTATTCCTCAAATTTCTTGATCTGAGCTTCATTTAGTTTTCTAAGACAATATAGAAACTGACCTTGTCTCACTGAATTTCCCTAAATTCAACCACTTGCCATAATAAAAATACTAACAACCAAATAAAGTTTTTAAAATAATTATATACAATCACCAACGAACATTTCTTCAAGTTTACCTCTAGTTAACTAATTCGTGGTTTAAGCTCTTATTTTATTTAGGGTATTTATGATTAAAGGAATGTAAAATAAAACTTATTGTTTCATTGTATTATTAAATAGCTCTGCTCCGATATTAAACTTGCGCCTAATTTACATCTAGTTCTTCCCAAGCTTGTTTCTTTGATTGAAGGCAGGTTAGTTTAATAACCCAATAAGATACTAGATTTTATTAAGCGCCATTATTTCGAATCTAATGAGTTTAATTTAATCCTTTCCTTACATGGTTCTCAGGTTATAAATGGTAGTACAGTGTATGGCGACACATTCTGGCGGTATTGGAATACTCCAACAGTTCTTGCTGTCTCCCTCTTGGGTGAGATATTACTTATTACACATGTAGGAAACAAGGATACTAATGTGATAATAACCGTATTGAATACACAATAGCAAATAGCAATCTGATTTAATCGTGTATTATTATTTAGTTTCATGATTTGTTCCTTTCATTGAAAGTTCTGACTGAATATTTGATAACTACTCGGACTATTAAACGGGGAGTAAAACTTCTGATCCATTAGTAGCTCAGTTGATGAACCCCAGAACCTCACGCCTGAGTGACAGTTGAACTTGATTGGGAATGAATGATATCACCAGACCATCAGCACGGTTTCCGCTAATTGACAATGTTTCCTTATGAATGGATAGGTCTGGTGTGTAATATACTATGTATACACTATTACACGTACACTAGTGTATAGTGTATTCCAGTAGCAGGAAGGAGTTGAGTGTGCATTTGCTACTAAAAGCAAAATTTCTTCGGCATCGGTCGCAAATCCTACCCTTGGTCGACCCTTGATCATCTGGCTATCCAGTGTCCATCCGTCTCTTTGAGATTCATTATTACTTCAAGTTCAGTTTTTGTGAGAGAAGGGAGTATAACTTTAACTCCCAGTCTGACATTCTCTCTGAACTGTACATCTAGTTCATTTGGACATATGGTCATGTTAGAGATTGATGGGTCCCTTTTTTTTCTACTAATTACCTACTTTTCACTGTCAATCAGTTATGACTATATAAAATCCAAACCATAGCTAGCTTGCAGAAAATATTTCACCACAGTATTCCTATGACACTTCTCTACAGATTCATGTCATCAGAAAATCCAAATATCAACTTTGGTGGAGCCAGTGACCATTAAAAAACACAATTAAAGTGCTCCACTTGTGGGAAGGTGGATGTGGCATATCTGTATTTATCAATGTCTACAGGTGAAGAAGGCATATAATGGGAACACGTATTGTTTCGGTTGAGACACTTTTGGTGTGCAACCTATGTGGAGCGGCCAGTGTAAAATAGGTCAACTTATACCAAGTGAAAACATGGTCATATTATAATTTCTACCAAAACTTCATTGTAAACTCAATGGCACATAGTTTTTAATACCATTTGCTTTGTTAGGAGGTCCCATAAGGTCCCAACTCAAGTGGATGGACTCATTCTAAAACTTGACTTGTTCAAAATCAGTCATTTTGCCATTAAACTTGTCTCATAATGATCTGTGAATATTATTCCAGACGCTAATTATCATAATACTATGGTGATTAAGACTGCCAAAAACTGCTCAACAAAGGTGGAGCTCGTATTTAAAAGCCTAAATTTTGGACGTTTAAAACCATCTTTTAAGAGTACTAAAATTAGAACTAATTGAACTTATAGCTTTCTAATATGTATGATAGTTCACCCCTAAGTGCTTTATAAAGTAGTGATACCCCTGGGATCAACCTGGTGGAGCAGAATTGGATCTTTAGTTACTGTATTTAGGAAGAAATTCGTGGACTTAAATATCCCTCTCATATCTTGTCCCCTCAGCTAGCAATCCTAGTACAGTGGTATGTAATAATTATATTGACCAATTAGATCAACCTGGTGGAGCACTGGGAGCTAAATCTATATTACAGAGTGTTGCGTGAGAACTTATGTAATACGTAATAGATTCTACTGTTCAATCTTCATCAAAACCATAAATTAGAGACGTAAACTAGTGATTTTCTATTTACTGCTCCACCATAGTTGATCATAATTTGGAATGTTTGATCATTAAAATGAGTTAACAATTATCATATCTTTCTGATGGAATCATTGATTGAGTTCAAAATGTTTGTATCAACCTGGTGGAGCACTTTAAACACATTTTTAGACGCTAAGTTGACGTTTGCTCCGGTAACACGACTCCTGTCCGACTAGTACTAGTTTATTTTCGGCCCATACTAGGCAGGCAGGCATGAGGAAACTGCGTTGTGAATGGCGAGCTCGTAGTCCATGAGGATGGATTGTGGTTGGTAGCCCCAAGGCCCAAGAAGCCCAGGTGTTTATCTCCTCGAACATGTTACGGTAGAGGGTCATCGATTTTCTAGGAATAATCAGTCCATAGAAGAGGGGGGAGGTTTAGTTAATGCAGTTTTAGGGCCATTTTGAGTTTGTATCAGCTTTGGTGGAGCCTCAGTTTTTGATATATTTCTACTGTTCAATCTGCATCAAAACCATAAATTTACTGCTCGTTGATCATAATTTGAGAGTTTTAATTATCAGAACAGGTGCTCAGTTATCACAACTCTCTTTAAATACAAGAATGGCTATAGTTTCGCTCCAGGTTGAGCTTTTAATTTCTTTTCTTTTTTATGAGGAGGATGTGATTTTTCGCTACCTAAGCTATGTATCCAAATGTCACAGTATAGCTCCACTAACACAGGATGATTTATTAGAAAAAAGTAAAAAAGGGACCCATCAATCTCTAACATGACCATATACCCTGAAGAACTTTCCACAGATGTATGATGGTGTAGCGTTCTCGGCGTCTTTGCAGTGATGTAAGTTTCAGTTCCTTCAGTCTATTCCAATAATCGGTGTCTCTGAGCCCTAGAATCCGTCTAGTGAACTGGCGTTGTATGCTCTGGATATCATAGATCTTGTTTGGATTCCAAAGCGGGCAGCAGTACTCCACTCTGGACCTTATCAGGGATTTGTACAGCTGGAGCATAACAGGTGTTGTCCTGTCTTTGAATACTCTAAGATGCCATCTGACGTATTCTCAACTCGAAATCTTTCCTTCATGATACTAGCCCGCTCATTGGATGTGAACTAGAGGCTTCGTTATTCGCCAGAACGAATCTAGGTTTATAACGCGCAAAAATTGTACACGCCGTATTTGTGATAATATGCTACAGGAAAAAGTTTGGATTTGGCGGGAAAATTGATTACGATCCTAAATCCTTGCACACTTTATAATTCCAGAACATTCCAGGATTTTAGGCAGAGTTTTATAACATGTATGTTGGTCACAGTTGTTTTTTTGCCGAATGAAAGAAAATTGTAAGCAATAATTGCGCTCGCAACACACGCGCATTCTTGAGCCGCGCGTCATTGAGCAAAGTTTTTTTTTAATTTTAGCTTTTTCAAGCTTTAAAAATCAACCATAACTTGACTTCTGACGATAACTTTACTAAGTAATTAATACTATTGTAGAGGTCATCGTTTATACTTCAATTCAGTTGAAAATTCAGTCCGAAAGAAGGTAAATTTTGTTTCAAATCGCTACTAAAGAGAAAAATACGGATTTGTGTATTTAAAGAAAACATTTTTGGACAACTTTCTGAGTCTTCAGCATTCTCTCTGGTATTGAACTGTTTGATTTTTCAGGTTTATACAACCCCCGGAAGTACAGAGAAAAGAGCATACACAGTGTGGAATCTCGAATCTCGATAGCCTCTTAAGAGGACGTAAAAGCAACTCTGATCTTGGAGGCTGGAATTTCAGGTCACGATTTTAAAACAGTAAGCCAAGTTTAGCAGTTTGAGATGCACTGGATTTTCTCTCGCTACTGCACACAAGTGTCAGATTTAATTTTACTGAAACTTAAGTCTCACCCGTATTATTAATTAGTTGCTTATATTAAAATCTGTTTCAGATGTCGAAGGTAATGGATAGCAGCGTCTAGAAATGCCCACTGTACAACTGAGAAGTGCTCCTTTGTTGCCCTCCTTCTCCAGACACTACATGTCAATAGTCCGAACAAAAAGTTTTAATATAAGTAACTGCTAAGGAGGGATTGTCGTTTAGAAAGGCATTTAAAAGACCAATCCAGAGCTTTCTGCCTTCAAAATGTTTTTTTCACAGCAGACCATCAAGTTTTACAACAGATAGAAACAGAATCCTTAAAGGACCAGTTAACTGAAAAAAAAGTTATCCTCATGTTTTGACAGATTGTGACAAATAGCAAACTAAGCAACGAGTCGAAATTCCTAAATCTCTAACTGCTCTCTAACGCGTGTAATTAGCGTTTGTATTATTTTGGCGATGACGTCATAAAGTCCCTCTTGCGCGCAGAGTAGCTCGTGAGACTGTATTTTACAGGTAAAAAATGGACATAATACAATCTTTTCCCCCGAATAACTCGAAAAGTAAGTAATTTAGGGTACATGTTGCTTCATAAGTTGTATATAAACATTGCCATTCTGCACAATTTGCACACATTCAAAAACCTCTAGGGCCTTCATAGCCCAATTTACCAGACACCCATAGTTTTGCATGATTTCTGGAACCGAAAATCAGTTTTTCGCCAATAACTGAAAAAGTAAGCACTTTAAGGCATATGTTTGTTCGTAAGTCATATATTAATATGCTAATTGCGGTTCTTTTGCACCCTGTCTAAAGACTCTATCACGATCCTATCGAAAATGGGCTTAGCACCACGCCCAAAATGGTTTTTGGCGAATTTATCGAAAAGTAAGGATTTTAGGCCATGTGTTGCTCAATAACTCCTATATAAACATGCATATGCGGCTTCGTTCAAGCCTATTTTGAAGTCTACGACCTTCAGAAGCATGGGGTCGGTTACGTTATTGGGTCAATATGGGCGTGGCCCTCCTGGGTTTTCTCCACGGTCAAAAATATGTCTCCAAACGAAAATCGTTTATTCATAACTTCGGGAAGGTCTGTGCAAAGTTTCGTGAGTATTAGAACATTTGCAGGTTCATTTCCATAAATGTCCATAAATGACTGGACTACACAACTTTAGAGTTAACTTTAGAGAAACTCATAAGTCATTTATCTCAAATTAAGCTGTTAGTGTCCATGATCAACCTCTGGCGACAATGTTTTACGTGAAATGTAAAAATCAGGAGTAATATAAAAAGTGTATTTTTAGATTAAAGTGCTAGCTCATAGTTTTAGAATTGTATAGATTAACGTTGGTCGTTTAGCCATCTAACAATCGATCGTGCCGTAATATATATGGCCAGAGAATAATAGGGTCTTGGAAATTCTATAGCTGTTCAGTGGCTCGATTGACTGAACACGTTTGCACTTGGTATTTAAACTTACCAGTAGTTTATTTATGTTATGTACCGATGATAATGCAATTAGGATAACAACTAGGTAAGCCGGAAGTCTAATTCAAAACACACCTCACACCGTACACTCCAATCAGTTTTACTATTTGGTAGACCGGGTATTTTTGCGGGAATTCTGTTCCCACGGCACTGTTCTGATAGAAGCTACTTCTACTAATGGTCCCAGAGGAACGGCCGTAAAGTAGCCAGACTTCTTGTCTCCTGTACTGGCTGACACTTACGGATTAAAGTTAGAAATTTCGCTATGCTATAAATATAATTGCTCTCGGAATTGAACCAACTCCTACTTATCTGGATCCTTTCTAAATTCGTTAGAGTTTCATGGACTGGGGAAAAATAATCGGTACAGTCTCCCTGCTTGTGTAATTAAGCAATGAAAACAATCCAAAATTATCACATATGACATAAGTTGTAATAGCAGAAACTGTCTAACCGTACATTCACCCGCCACTGTTCAAGAACCTATATCACTGTTTAAAATCATGACGTGAGCACTTTACATCCAATCAGCTATTCCTTTAGTTAGGATGATAGCCAAAACTATAAGGATTTTGGAGAACTAGGGTAATAGTCATTATTCTAAAATTTGAGTGAGTGACACGTGATTTATTGACGATGATAAACATTTGCAATGTATTACGCTATATGCAAGCGCGCACTGAGGGACTATATGACGTCACGAGGCCAGAGCTTATTATTGCAATAACACGCGTTACACGTACGCTAGAGAGTTGGTTCTTTCGGCGATACGATTCTTTACCAGTTTGTCACAGCTGATTTAAATCTTAGCCAAATTGGACACTACAAATTTTTCAGTTAACTGGTCCTTTAACAAACTGTGCCCAGCCCAAAACCTACCAAATCAGACTGATTAAAGCTGCTCATATCTGCTATAGCATCAATTAAAAATCAATGTTATAGCTGAATACAGCGACGACTCCGAACTAATCGATGAAGATGCGATGCTGGTCGCTTCTTGTATTATTATTAAAAATAATCTGAGACAAACAATGTTATTACTATAATATTGTAGCATAACGACGCTTTGCGTATAGCTGCTTTCCCATTTCTAATTATGCATTTCATCCTATAGTACAACTTGTAATATGATTAACTAATCAATATTAACCTAACACTAGGGAAGCTTTTTGATGAAAATAGTAAACAACTTGTTTCAGTTCAAACTAAATTAAAGGTCAGACCGGGATTCGAACCCTCAGCTAGCACGGTCAGGCGCCCTCTTGGCCAACTATGCTATGGTGCCGGCGGCCGAAAATCAATGTTAACTATCATATTGTCGTGCTCGCGCATTCCCTACGCAAAGTTATTCTCCGACGATGTATATTTTTAGCCATTTTGGAACTATTGCGCGGCGCGGAAGTTTTAAACCGTCATAACTCTGTCCAGGAACAGTCTCCAGAACTGATTAAACTTGTGATTTCCTAGTCAGAGGATGTACTTTACGAAGATATATGATTTGTCATACCTACGTCCACACAGTGGAATCACAAATGGGTATAGTCGCGAACGCTAAGAAACCGCAGGGCATGAAATACAACGGTGTATCAACTGAAGTGATACCGAAAATTGTATTTTACCTAACCATGAGTATTCATGAGCTCTTGTACGTGACGCGTTTTTTACGCGGGTGGGCGCTACTGCAATTGCGAGGGCTCTGACTAAAGCAAATTTTTGTTATTTACCGGAATGTTTGATTCACGATGTCAACCCTTCGCATTTCGCCGATCTGTGGTTGCAAGAATGGAGAAGAATTATTTGATGCGCGGCGCGGCCCAGTAGTGCATCGTGCTACAACCGGAATGTCAATGTAAAAATAATTTACTTGAGTTTACTTTATTATGTTTATTACTATATTTTTTAAATTCAATTTGTGCAAAATTGCGTAATTTTGTAGTAAGATCTGCACAATGCAATGCACCGCTGGGTCAAGCCGCGCATCAAATAATACTTTTTCTACCGTGTGCCGTGGTGGCGAACGCGATTAGATTTAAACTTATTTGACATCCGACCGTGTACTTGTATATACGTTTATTTAACTTGTCCTGTAAGCATGGCAAAAAGCTAAATTAATGTAATTTTGTGTGCTGATTCCAAATCACTCCATGACATAGGGTAAAAATCCATTCCTGATGAGCTTTTACCTAGCTTGCTATAAATCTGAAATTGGTACTAATTTAAGTTTCATTACTTTTCTCCTTCATATCAAGTGGGCAATGACACACGTTTAAATGGTCAAGGGAGCCTTAACACTCCCAATTTGACAGCAACATTATTATGATCGTTTTTAATTTGTACTGAAAGGCATTCCTAGAAGTTCTTATGGACAGGGCCCACTTCTGAGGCAAGATAGGCCTTCACATTTTTAAATAAAACTTAATAAAACCTCAGTTCTAAGTGTTATTTAAAGCTCTGTATTCTTTTCCTAATGACCCCTAATTCAGTTTGCCAGTCTTGAAATAAAACGACTGCTTCAGCTACAAATGGTCCCCTGGGTAACAAATAGTCTCCTCCGGGTAACAAAGCTAAAGCACTAATATCAATTACTGCTGTAATAACTCAGCAGGACCCATATATATAAACAGGTCCCTCTATTCCAGATAACATTGCCTGATGTGTAACAGCCTGCTGCTTCAGTAGGTCTTTCGAGGCAGTGAAGCTTTCGTTTGCCGGTGGCATTGCTTGTGGTTAGTACCACGCCTCTACTTATCTACATTCTGTTTCTACAGTTCTCATGGCCAACCATGGGGATTGTGCAGATCGAGACACTTATAGTCTGTAGCCCTCCTTCTATGCTTATTTGGGGTCGTACCCTCCAGGATGCGCTTCCCACTACTCTTACTGATAAAATAAGCTGCTGAACATATCGATTTATGATTTTGTAATAGTCTGGTCCAGGTCCAACTAGCTGAACTGGACCTTATTTCTGGCAACTCCTGGTCTCTTTGGCTTTTCTGAACTAATGGTTCTGAAGACACATTGGTCCCAAAACGGTTGAAAGTCACTATGTGTACATTCATCCAAGAATTCCATTTTAAAATATCTTTTCAGTTGTGCCAAAACTTGCAGTTCTGATTGGCAAGAGCTTCAAATCATGATTGCAAGTTTGTTATAGACATAACTGATTTTTGGGAAAGTAAAAATAAGGGTCTGGCCTTGAAGTTCTACACGCAAACCTAATTTAATTCAGCCCAAACTCATATTTACAAGTTTGAAGGAGTCTTTGTTGGCCATCTAAGAATTTGAAATTGTTGTATATTGTGGTATCCAGTCTTCGAAGTGCTCAACAGGCTTTGCTTTTTAAATACATCCCTCCTCTACATGGCTTCATTACTGATATCTGATCTATTCTTTGAGAATATGGGGTGGGAGCCCCAACACTAACTGACCAACTAATTATAGGATTACAGAATATTAAAATGTCAAAAAGAGTGTATGATCAAATCCAGCCTCCTGATATGAGTTTTGATGATGAAGACGGCAAAGGGACTCCTATAAAGTAAGTCATTTAACTTAGTTTTTAAAAAAATGTAATCACATCATTATGACTACTTATTTTTAGTCAAGTGGATAATCTTTTCCCCATAATTTCCAAATCTTTACTTTGAAAAAGGTTATTTTCAGTTTCATTAAAATGTTACAGGAGTATTCCACAAACAAAATGTATCTGGGATTTATGTATTCAAGCTACAGAAAGAGCAGAACTAAACACTACCAGAGAGGTTGACACAAAAGGTATGTTACGTCATTAAGTTGCCTGTTTTTATATTAATCAGTATAGAATTTGGAGCTCAAACATATTGATATCAACTAAACCTTTAATTCATTTTGTCATGATGATATATTCTGTTTTCTGGCAATTATACTGCTAAATACATCAGGTCCATTTCTAAAAGCATGTCTAATGTTTCCAGGTATTTTCACGTTTGTCTAATCTGTGATAGTGTACTCTTTCCATCTGTTGTACTGGCATGAACTTTGAGATTGATGTCGTCAGTTTTATATTAATGTCAAATGGTGCCCAAGAAATTATCTGTGTACGTTTTGTTATGCAGTATCTAGTATCTACTGCCCATGTCATGTAGTTTCAACTGTAAATTTCTGTGGATTATCTCAATTTCCATTTCCATTCTACTCATCTCTTTCCAAGTGAAGATGTAACTGTTTGATTCTAATTTTATTGTATTAATTCTATTAACTATAAAAATCAATCATAACCTGAAACTTATCTGTATATAATCATAAATAGACAAATCATTATATTTGCTTGTAAACCAAGTATACAGTAAAACCCCAATTTACCTACTATCTCATATTTTTATTTAAATAAATTACTTGATGATTTGACATGTGGCTTATAAATGGGTCCCTGATGTCAAACAAGCTTTTAAGCCTGTTACATCACCAATATACCCTTACTCCTGTGAAATCGAGTGCAACAACCCCTATTATTGAGAACCAGTACTGTGCAGAAAGAAATCATGTGATCTGTCTGGGACTATAACGAGAAAACCCTGATTAATCGTACACCCGATTAACTGTACACATTTCCTTCACCCTAAACTTTACAGTAAATCGTGGTTTAACTGTACCTAGCTACTGCACAGGTGTCCTGCAAGAGAACTCCAACAAGAGTGTTGAAAGTACCATGTTTGTTGTGGGCGCGAAATCAGCTGCTAAAACAAGCATCATCCTCCGATTCTTAGACAGGTAGCACTTTTACTTCTTGTTGTCTTGACTTTTATGCAATCTAAGAATCAGGGCAGTGGTCTATTTAAGGATGGCTGTTTTTTAATATCTGAAATGATCTTTAAATTGACAGAGATGAACAGCCCAAGCCTACGACTGCTCTGGAGTACACGTTTGGGAGACGATCTAAGAACAACAACATGCTGAAGGATGTAGCTCATGTGTGGGAACTTGGGGGAGGTATTGCACTGTCAAATCTCATTGAGGTAATTCCGGGTTCATTCATATAAAATTTCGCTATTCATTACAATTGAAATTGACCACAAAATTATTTAAACTCTTGATGTAAGATGAATCAAGCTTATGTTGCGACCTCCGAAATTTTCTAAGCCATAAACTCCATCAACTAAATTTTGAGAAATATTTATATATTCTATACCCTCCTCAGGTTCCTATTACGAAGCAATGTGTAAAGAACCTTAGTGTAGTTATTTGTGTGGATCTCAGCAAACCAGAGACGATTTGGACTACTTTGGAAAGCTTGCTAAACACTATTAAACTGAGAGCAAAGAAAGTGATCGCTGAGCTCAAACGTGATTGTCCAAGGTGGGATAAGTTTACCATCTCTATTACGATTAATAATATGGAACGAGATATGTAGAGAATCATGGCTGTTACGTAACATTCGGCTTTTTACCTATTCAATGAGCTACCCTTTCTAATGAACAAATTTCAGTGATGCTAACCAGATAGTAGCAGAGTGTCTGGCAAGATACGGATCCGACCACCCCGATAAAGATAACCTAGATATTATCCCCATACCAATCACCATCATTGGTACCAAGTATGACGAGTTCCAGAATTTTGACCCCGAGAAGAAAAAGATTATTTCAAAAACTTTGAGATATGTTGCCCACCATCACGGAGCTCATCTCTGTGTTAGTTCTTTGATAAAGATCTTTCTAGAAATATAGGCTTTGTAACTTTAAAATGTAAAACAATTGCTCACTTTGTAATTTATATTCTTCATTTTATTTATTATTTCTGAATAGTGTTGATCACAATGTTATGTAAGTTATTGCCAGCTGTTATTCTCCTGAAAATTAGTACTTACTGGCACATAATTTCAGTATTTTAGTTCTAAAATGGAGGCTCTGGTTATGAAGACACGAGGTTTACTTGGGCATCTAGTCTTCAAAACTCAACTCAGGTTTCTAAATCTCAATATTCCTCTAAATTTGTCTGTTTGGCCTTATTATTTAGACTATTGATCTAGAATATAAACCTGGATAATATTTAAAGTCACTCCACCCGTTGTTAACATGAATTATAACCAAGGTTCAAAAATTAGAATGTTAATCGAATTCTGATGGTATCACTGATTCTTTCAGCAAGACAATACTAACAGATCACAGCAAACCAATCTACGTTTTGGCTGGTATGGATGCTCTTAGTCAGATTGGCGCTCCTCCTGCCATTGTCGGATCTAGGTAAGTTATTAGTCAATTGCAGTAGTCAATAGTCAATGATCAAAATATGCTGATTTCAGTTATTGTTGTTGGCATTGTGCGCTTATGCACCGTCCGCCAATTTTAGCTTGAGATGTTGTGTTTCACACGTTCTTATTTTGTTGTGGGGATATATTTGTCCCTTTTGACAACATCTTTAACATTGGTTGCAACATAATATAAGGTATAACGGGAACGCTATAAATACTTCCTCTCCTATTTGATTGAAACCTAAGTTTGGGCATTAAACTTTGATAGGTAATTACGAAGTACCATCTTGGGTAGTATTGTCATTCATATCTGTGTTAAGGGCTATCAGATTAGATATAAAGACATTTTAACACTTTTACTGGGCTTGTTCGGAGAAACTACCGGTCACAATATGATTAAAGGATGGTTCGTACTTCTAGGAATCTTGCAAGCTCTTATAGAAATTATCGTAGTTAATATATTTTAGTTTCTATTGTGCTCACTGACTCACTCTAATCTCATTGTCAGGTCAACCACACTCGACAATTACAACATAAATGATTCATACTCACAGGACTCACTCCATTGGTAATTGTCATTTTTAATTTTATGCACTATTAAATCTTACTATAATATAATATAAAGCGAGACGATATAGGTATATCTGTTGCATGAAAACATATCAGTATCATGAAATATTTATTACATTATTTTAATAATTACAATGTGATACCCAACCTCCGCAAATTTCAAGAGAGAATAATGGGTAGTGGGTATACCCGCTTCGCACCTGTGTTATCCACTAACCACTTGCTAGATGTGTGGTCCGGGTTGGTGTACTGCCCAGACTAGTACATTCCTTAATATCATAATTCAAATACCTTAATTTTACAATAGTCTTCACATCCTTGTCATTCTGCCAGAATAACTGTACATACTTCACCGTATCCGTCCTCGTCGTAAATAATATGTGTATTATATCTAGTTTATATTGTAACTCTCTCTCTCTCTCTCTCTCGGATTTACACTGGAAATGTAGGAAGCGAATTAACATAATATCTTTGTATCTCTTGCTCTCTACTTCTGTTGTCTGTATAATGTTTAATCTTGTGATATTTTTCGTTGTCTTGTGATATTTTTCGTCGTCTGTTTATTCTTTAAATCGGGTTTCAACTATTTACTGTACTCCAAACCAGCAAAAATTCACTATTCGTTAATTCATTAATTAAATATTTAAGTCTTTCAAATTAAAATACTCCTGCATAAATTGTTTAGTTGTTTTATATTTCGACCTTATGATTATGAGTTATCACGCAGTTCCAACGCTAACATGAATACTGATGGTGAAACTGAGCAACCAAACAACCGCCCTACATACTGGGAAAGGGAAAATGTAAAAGGAACAAAGCCTCTAGTAAAAGAAGAATCCTCCCACAAATGTGAGATGATGCCTCCGTCCTCCAAGCTGTCCCTGATATTACTGTCTATTTTCAACTATGCTGATACGGTTACTGACATACTCGTTACTGTGGACATGTTTAGAAGCCGCAGTTATATTCTAGGGGTCCTGTCACTGGTCTCGCTCCTATACGTTGGTGTTATGGTTCCTCTTTTTCTTGGCGCTAACAAAGCTTGGACGAAAGGGCGGATTCTTGCAGCCTTTGGTTTTGCTTCAACACAATATTTTGCCTTCACTGAGATGTTAAGTCATCCGAAAAGGAAAGTATACTCTCGTCGGCAAGGAGGGACTGCTGGTAAAACGGTCAGTTTAACATCAAGAAGATCAAGTCTAAATGACGCTATATTCTTCGAGAAAATGTCTGAAAACCAAACCCAAATGTTTCTGCAGTTAATACATATCGCCCAAGTTTTCATCTCAACTACAATACAAATCAATAATTGGACATTGTGGCATTATATAAAATTGGGGTCACTAATCATCACTGTTGCCTCACTGACAAGAACGTGTTCTAGTTACGAGTTTAATCGCCATCACCTGAACCCTAGGTTATTCAGTTTCTACATAATCGGGAAAGGTTGGATGTCTTTACATCCCCAGTATTTGATACTCCTCTTAGTCCACTCTTCTCTGATCGCCAGCAAGTTTCTAACTCTGATATACCTAATGATTATTGTGGACCATGACTTTGTGGCTGAAACATCACCAGAGTCCTGTTCTGTGATCACTGCTATGAGAAATGGTGGAACTGGGTGTGGGTTTGTGGTTAGGGTGGGATGTCTGATCTTCCTCTGCAAGGTATCTTACTACGGTGTGGTCAGTGTCATTGCTCTACCCGGGTGTTTCTACTTAGTACGTAAAGATGTGTTTCAATTGTGGAGAGGTTCTGTGGGTTTGAGAAGACGGCTCAGTGAGAGTCTTAATGTGTGCCTCTTCCCGTTTCATCTCGTCTCCTCTCAGCGAAATTTCATGAGCTCACGAATCTTCATTAACCATCTGCAAAATGTTAAAATGACGACCGCTATCGTTAAAATTGGTCCATCAGTTCTGCATTCGATAGGAACCCTCATTTTTGCAGCGATATTCTACTCACGAAAAACTGAGGATTTTGTCAACATTGACGTAGGATTCAATCCCTTAATTCTTCCTTTTATCGGCCTAGGAATTGATTGTCTTCACCTGATCACACTCACAATATGGGTGTTCTGGGCTGATCCACAGCATTCCAAAACCTTGGCAGACGAAAAGATTTTAGACCTGTTACTGAGGTCGGGCAAAGTCCCTGATCTAAGCAACGTTACCTGCTCAAGAACAGCAAAAGATATTATCCGGGAGGTGATTGCTGGAGACGAAAACTTTGGTGTCAGTAAAGAAATGGTCGAAGAGGGAATTGTGGACATGAACATTCAGTTACCAACAACGTTGCCACAGCACTCATCTCTGGTTCAAAAACTGAGATTTAATTTTAAGGTGGCAGTTTTGAAGAAAAGTGGTGTCCATGACATTAATGCGGTTCAAGGTGTTTGCTACCAACGACTTTCTGAAGAATTGGAGTAATTTATGAGTTATTGCCGGCTTTTATAGATCATATAAAATGTACAATTATTAATAATCTTATTCAACTTCCTTTGTTCCCAAGAATTTGTGTGCCAAGACTTGAGGCTTTGAGGCTTGATAAATTTGAGCACCAACATTTTGGGCAGGAAATTCAGAAAAATTTGGGTGTTCATTTTTTTAGAGACGAGATAATTTTGCTCTCTAATTAATAATATTTTATCAGTCTTGGATTATCAAAATCAAAATCAAGTATCATTCTGAAAACAAAGAAATAAACATTAGACAAATTTAGTAGCTTATTATATAATTTAGATATCTAGTGTCAAAGGAAGTCAAGCAACTGACAGTGAATGACCAACTTATTATGACCAAACATTCGAAACAAATTAAATCAAATAGAATTGAACATATTAAGAATTAACTACAAATAAAAAAGTGAAAAATGTTAATGCAAAAATGTTGGTCAAATCTTTGGGAACTAGTAAGGTATTATTTAAAGCTTGTCGTGTCGGTAAATCCATTTTATCAGATTGGACGGATATGTCTGTACTAGTCGTCAGTTTTTTATATTAGCATTAACAACAAATTATAAATAAACATAATTACTTGCTATTTTTTGTCCAAAAATACCCTTCTTTATACTTTTTATTTACGACCCAACTCTAAAAAATACAATTTACGAGTTTATGCAAATATATAGCATTGCTGCAACCCAGTCCTACTGTGAAATCTGTATAAAACGGGAAAGACTTTGGCACACTGAAAAAGTTTATCATTTATTGTTGAACGTGCTGCAGATAGTTTCTCATTCTTTGTTGAGTGTGCTGTAGATATGAGAGATGAACACATCATCTACTTCTTCTATGTTTGGGCAGGTCCGTGTGCTTTCTGGTGAATTATTAATGACTATGTCTTCATAGTTACTTTGTATCATACTACCCTGGTTGATTCTTTCAAGCCTCCAAGTGTCTCCTGGCAGACTGGCACTTTCAATAGGCATATCGTGTGAGGTCTTCTTCTTTCGTTCCTTGATTAGAAGGAAAGTGAGAATGCTACAAGCCACAATCAGGACTGCTGTTAAGCATACCAGAAAGGCTTGACTGGTGGATATCTTAGGGACACCAGCAGGTCGTCCTGAGCATCCCTCCGCAGGGCACGATGGAAGTCGACCTGAGCATTTCAAAATGACATACCATTTTTCACCACATTCTGTGTGTGTTATTTCCTCGTACCTGCAAGATGACCATCTTGGTTCAGTGCAGATTATTTTCCATGGATTTTCCTTGGATACTGACCAATCTATTTGCCTTTCTGTGGCAGTTCCTCCTTCATATCCCATCTCTTTGCAGACTGCGTTTGCTGAGATATTACTAAATTGGTCGTTGCAAACTGGTTTTTTTTTGTAAATCAACTTTCCATCCTCATTATCGTCTGTTATTACGTCACCTTTCTTATCTTTCAGCTGGAAACAGCAATCTGAGGGAATATGAACTACTTATTTCTTTATCCTCTAATCCCTTTAATAAATTATTAATTCAAATTATTATTGTACTTGTCAGTTTAGCAAGAATGAGCACCAAATCGAACAGAAGTACTTCATTATAATTTCAGATTTAAATAAAACTCTAGACTGTTCCTAGATCACTCACCTCCATGATGCACTATCACAACAAGCACAACGATTTTAAAGAGGGAAAACATTTGCACGCACCAAAAATAATTACTGATCAAGTTTGTCGTTCAAAAGCCCAGCACCAAAGTAAAAAGTGAGGGAGTGATTTACATCCCTAGCAGCTTTGGTATTTGTGGACGTAAATCTTAACAATGAGTACCTTTGTAATAGGCGCATGGCCGGTTTTAAGGTCAAATAACATGTCGTCAAACGTGAAATGATTTTAAGTGCCAGTTTGTTACATGTACTACCCTATATTCGGAGGTACTTCTCCTTAATTTTATATTAATTAGTAGAAGAGAAATACTGTAAAAAATAATACAAAATTAAATTGGCCCACAGCCCAGCCACCTCTTCGGAATAGTTTTACATTAAATGTAAAACTATTCCGAATTTTGTTAAATACATGATGATGCTATGATGTGACGCAGCTATGTGTCGTGTGCGGCTATTTATGGTGTTAGAATAACTGTGGTCACATGATCGTAATTGTGATGACGTTATAACATGCATCATGCACATAGGACAGGATGTCGTCACAACTTTAAATCAGTTATCACGTTGTCAAACGTTCCCCCCCCCACCTGAAAATATTTTAAAATTTGGTAATGCTGTATCGGTTTGGTGACGTCACACGAATTTTAGGTAGACACTAAGATCTGAATTGGGTTTACATTCCAGGTCACCGCTGGAGCAATGGAAGCAGCTGTTCTTATCTACTTTTCCTCAAGAGGTCAGTTCGGAGTTCAAGTTTCAACGTCATTCTTGCTAACATTATTCCAAATGATGCAGATGTGATATTTTATATTTATTATATTCGTTCTGTCGGTGACTGGTGGGCGTTCAATCTGTTTTTATTTCAAACTTTATTATCTTGCATTGTATTTGTAATCTTGAAAGATTTGTCACCGACAAAATGTTACAATATCGCAAACAAATGTCTCCTTAGATCCTGTGTCTCCTTATACCTGTGTTTTAAACTGTCCTCTTTTGTCCAGGCGGAAGCAGTGCTCCCAGATGACCCTACCAAAGATACGAAGTATAACGAGAGTATTATTGACTCAGTCAGATCTCAGAAAGATGAGGTAAGTACACTGTGTCTGTCCAGCTGATAGGTTCATTCAGAACTCAAGTTTAGAACTCTATCTTGTTGCCCATGCTCCTTTCATAATTGTACAATCTTTAGTGTCCGAATTTTAATTTGGTGTCTACATTTTTACCTAATTCATGTTAAAGATGGAGTTTGCTAACATAATCCTCTGTAGGAGCTGGAGAGATTTAAGAAGTTACAGGAAAGAAAGATGAGAGAGGAGGCCAGGAGAGAAGGCAGAGTTATGTAGCGACCTCCATAAGAGAGAAAGAGAAAGAGAAAGAGAAAGAGACCTATGATTGTCTAAATCGTTATTTTCGGTGAACTCAGATTATTTAAGCTCGTTAAAGTTTGTACAGTTAAATCATAAGCTACTGGATAGCACATACTTGCCAATTGTTATAGTATTTATGTGTAAAAATATGTATTAAAGTATTTATATATTATATTGTGTCAGATACCTTTTTAAATTCAATGTAAATATTATCACACAGTAAGTTATTTGTTTTACTGCCAAGGCTTTTGCTTTGTTAAAAATACCTGTGTTTTTATTCTGTTCCCGATGATTTCAAAGTTTTAAATTTTTAACACATTATATAATGTGTTTTATAAATATACCCTTTGTGGATAATTGCATTGTCTTAAAAACTTATGGATTGGCGCTTCAAGTCCTTAATGTGTAAATTGCGCTAGACTAGCTGACTTTGATTTCTAGATTATCCGATATCATTAATTTCAATCAGATAAATTCAGGATGTTGAGTTTGTTGTCACGTAGTTTCGTGACTCCAGCTAGGTTGGGAGGTATCAGGTGTTTCAGTGACATAGGCTCTCGTTTTGAAGCAGCTCAAGTAAAACTTAACACTTTTACTGAAGACCCGGGAAATTCTGCTAAACTCAAAATATACGGGCTTTTTAAACAGGTAAACTTTACATCTATTTATAAAAAATCTTTATAATAATCTGTTGAGAAAATGGTAATGGCTATTTTTTCACGCTTAAGTGACCGCAATAATCAATCCAATTTGAAACAAATTTCAAATTCCAGGCTAACGTAGGACCATGCAACATTCCAAAGCCGGGCGGGTTCAACTTCGTAGCGAAAGCAAAGTACGACGTCTGGAAGGGTTTAGGAGATATGACTCAGGATCAAGCTAAAGAAGAATACATTGCATTTGTAGCAGAGCTGGCGGGAGCGGAAGGAGAAAAATGATCTTAAAATATTATAAAAACGATTAACAAATTTGATTATATACTGTAGCTGTGGGACGGTTAGTGGTTACTTAATGCTACATCCAGATGAACCTTATATTATTCAGTTCAATCAATTTGATAAACTAAAATACATATCCTGTAGCCTACTTATACTTGATTACATGAGAATTGGTATTATGGTTTATATTGGTATATGTTTGATACGGTGAATTGTTTTAATACGTTCTAATATTAGGATAATTTGTACCCTTTTTAGGCAGTCAAGATATTTATTGATTAATCGAGACAGAGAATTTATTTTATATGCTATATTATGCGAATATTTGTGTTATAATTTCAGATGAGATTTGGTTTCCTAAAAAGGTTTTGATTTTTGATTTTTTAATTGTAATTTAATCTATGTTCTGTCATTTTGATTTATTTGATTTTAAAAAATTTATAAATAAGTTGTTTTAATAGCAGTACTTTGAACGTGGAAACTTGTTTCGCAACTCATCTGAAGACTGAAGTATCTTGATTTATGAACTAAGAAAGCGATTGAATCGAATGAGATGGGATTGATTTAAATGTTCACCATTTGGTGTTAGTATCACAGTACAAATTTCATCCAATATTCGCATCTAATAGCAGTAAAATGTTATTGTCATTGTCACGTAGTTTCGTGAATCCAGCTAGGTTGAGAGGTATCAGATGTTTCAGTGACATAGGCTCTCGTTTTGAAGCAGCTCAAGTAAAACTTAACACTCTTACTGAAGACCCGGGAAATTCTGCTAAACTCAAAATATACGGGCTTTTTAAACAGGTAAATTTAAACTAATAACCAAATCCTATGATAGTATGATCATTCCTCCTATAATGGACTTCGTGAAAACAAAAACTTTCTACTTTCTAACATTTTACCATAATTTTTAACTTAATTTTTAGTATACCAAATTCCAGGCTAACGTAGGACCATGCAACATTCCAAAGCCGGGAGGGTTCAACTTCGTAGCGAAAGCAAAGTACGACGTCTGGAAGGGTTTAGGAGATATGACTCAGGATCAAGCTAAAGAAGAATACATAGCATTTGTAGCAGAGCTGGCTGGGTCAGAGGAACCAGCACCAGCTGCAGCACCAGCAGGCACTGTTGCAGGGTTAGATGTAACCACTGAGGAGGGTGTTTTGACAATAAGACTCAATAGACCCGATAAGCTCAACGCTCTGACCGGACCGGTAAGTGAAAGTTGTGATATGAATCTTAGTGTCATATGTGATACATCACGTGTCATACATCACGTGTCATGTTTTCTTGTTCTAGTGGAGCTACCTGAGCTGTTGCTGCTCTATGCTTTTAGAAAACGAGAAAAGTGTGATATTGTCAAGAGCTGACAGGTTCTGCTTGTTAAAGACATTTAGAAAGCTTGTTCCTGCAGATGTATACAGCAATAGGAGACGTTTTGAACGCTGTAGCTGAGGACCCTTCCATTAAAGTTGCTGTTCTTACTGGTACTGGAAAGTGGTACAGTTCTGGAAATGATCTCAGCAATTTTACTAAGAATATGCCTCCTGGAGGACCCCAGGAGATGGCCTCGACTTCACAGAAAATTTTGATGTAAGAGTTAATCCCTAATAGTACCGAATTTCTGATAAATTAGCATAGAATATCGATACACAGGTCACAAAACATCAGAACATTTTCTGTCATTCCTAATGTCTATTTAGATTGTAGTTCTTCTCTAAAATCTTGTCGCATTTCAGAGACTGCTGTAATGCGATAATAAAGTTCCCAAAACCTCTGATAGCAGCAGTGAATGGATCAGCCTTCGGATTACCCGTGACCGCACTTGGACTATGTGATTTAGTGTATTGCACTGACAATGCTACTTTTAAAACTCCCTTCGTCAGTCTCGGACAGTCGCCTGAAGGTTGCTCCAGCTTTACATTCCCCAGGATTCTCGGCTTTGCTAAGGTGAGGCTCGGACTAGAAATAATATTTCAAGAGAAGGAGAATTTGCTTGTTATCGTTTCGAAATAAAGTTACGTCAATATGAGATACTAAGATCTGCAATACTGAAACAGTGCTTCGAGACTTCCAATAATTATCGACTGATCTCCCTAATTGCTAATATGATGAACAGCTGACTGCTGAGTTCCCTAATATCTCCCAATATTACCAGGCTAACGAGATGTTATTAACGGAGAGACAGATCACAGCACAGGAAGCATGTGATGGTGGTTTGGTGACCAGGATCTTCTCTGAGGATAGATTTAGAGACGAGGTGGACAAGGTTGTCAAACACATGGCATCCCTTCCTCCACAGGTACCGATTATTTTCATCTTTTTATGTTTTGGGGTATATTTTTTGAAATGTATTTGTATTAATTGTACTATTGAAAATATTCAACATTTTCTACACTAGCAAAAAAGGGAATGATCAACTAATTTTGCAGTCGATGAGAATAAGTAAAGGTCTAATTCGTCACGAGCTTAACGAGAAACTCTTGGAAGTCAATGCTCGAGAATGCGAGATACTTCGCGAACGCTGGGTGTCAGACGAATGTATGACGGCCATAATGAAATTCCTCAACAGAAACAAATAAAGCGAAATTTAGAAATGTTTCTCTTTTATGTGCCATCTTTACAGCAAGATACTTCAGATTTTTGTGATTTTTTACATTCGGATGATTGGCCGGGAATTTATGTTTATATAATATATCATGCAGGCTGCATGAATATTGAATATGACGCAGCTATAATCTTCAATGCAATTATCAGTTAATGATTTCATGATTTTATGTTTTAAGATTTATATTAATTTTTATTGTAATATGGGGCTGTACATTTTTCTGTCATTTTTGATTTGTTCAATTTTATATCAATTAAGATTTTTGTCTGGAAACTTTTAATAGTAGCAAGTGGAAGTCTCGTCTTTCAAAGATGTAACATGAACTTCCAAGATGAATCGAATGAAATCAAAATAGCTCCTTTTTACCATCAATTATTTAATATTGATTAATTTATAAAGTAATGCAGTAAAAACCATCCAACATAATAATATAATAGCAGTAAGATGTTGAGTTTGTTGTCAAGAAGTTTCGTGACTCCAGCTAGATTTGGAAGTATCAGATGTTTCAGTGACATAGGCTCTCGTTTTGAAGCAGCTCAAGTAAAACTTAACACTCTTACTGAAGACCCGGGAAATGCTGCGAAACTCAAAATTTACGGTCTTTTCAAGCAGGTAAATTTAAAACCAGTGACCAAGTTCTATCATTATCATTTTCACAAAAATCCTGGCCCCATTTCTAGCATGATCTGAAACTTGATAAAAATGGAGAGCAACCCTCTGAATTTTCACAGTTCTTTATTAAAATCTCATAAGACTCCCAATTCCAGGCTAACGTAGGATCATGCAACATTCCAAAGCCGGGCGGGTTCAACTTCGTAGCGAAAGCAAAGTACGACGTCTGGAAGGGTTTAGGTGATATGACTCAGGATCAAGCTAAAGAAGAATACATTGCATTTGTAGCAGAGCTAGCCGGATCAGAGGAACCAGCACCAGCTGCAGCACCAGCAGGCACTGTTGCAGGGTTAGATGTAACCACTGAGGAGGGTGTTTTGACAATAAGACTTAACAGACCAGAGAAATTCAACGCCCTTACTTGGCCGGTAAGTGAAAATTGTGATCTGAATCCTGTCCCAAAATCATAGATATCAAGCGTGCTTATTTTCTTCTTCAAGGGAGCTGTTGCTTTGAACTCTTGAAAAGCCTTGAAAAGTCTGATCGTGTCATATAATATCAAGATTTGAAAGCTTCTACTAGTTTTGCATTGTATGAATTACTTTTTATGCTTAACGTTATTCGTCTGAAAGCTTGTTCCTGCAGATGTATACAGCAATAGGAGACGCTTTGAACGCTGTAGCTGAGGACCCTTCCATTAAAGTTGCTGTTCTTACTGGTACTGGAAAGTGGTACAGTTCTGGGAATGATCTCAGCAATTTTACTAAAAACATGCCTCCTGGAGGACCCCAAGAGATGGCCTCGACTGCGCAGAAAGTTTTGAAGTAAGAATGAAATCGTAATAATTCAAAATATGAAAAACTTGGATTTTAGCATATTATTTTATTAACGTATTGATTGATTAAGTTGTTTTAAATTATCGAAATATACGAAGTTTGTTTTCACATTCTTATTTTGTTGTCAAAATCATGGTACATTTCAGTGACTTCTGTGATGCGATGATAAAGTTCCCAAAGCCTCTGATAGCAGCAGTAAACGGACCAGCAATTGGAATACCAGTCACTACACTTGGACTATGTGATTTAGTGTATTGCACTGACAATGCTACTTTTAAAACTCCCTTCGTCAGTCTCGGACAGTCGCCTGAAGGCTGCTCCAGCTTTATCTTTCCCTAGAACTTTCGGCTTTGCCAAGGTGAGGCTCAGACTAGAAATAGTGTTATCGTGAAAGATTGAAACTTACAAAACGTTTGTCTGCTGTTCACAAGAACACAGTAGACTACCAATTACTATAAAACATTATCCCATCTCGTCTCCCTAATATCTCCCAATATTACCAGGCTAACGAGATGTTATTAACGGAGAGACAGATCACAGCACAGGAAGCATGTGATGGTGGTTTGGTGACCAGGATCTTCTCTGAGGATAGGTTTAGAGACGAGGTGGACAAGGTCGTCAAACACATGGCATCCCTTCCTCCACAGGTACCGATTTTGTATATATCTAGGGGGTTTTCGGAATTATTTTCTTTATTTTTTGAAAATTCAATATTTTCTGTACTAGGTATAGTTTTTAAAAGGAACTTATCTCGCAAGGAAGAACATTACCAATAACTTTTTGCAGTCGATGAGAATAAGTAAAGGTCTTATTCGTCACGAGCTTAACGAGAAACTCTTGGAAGTCAATGCTCGAGAATGTGAGGTGCTTAGGGAACGCTGGCTGTCAGACGAGTGTATGACTGCTATAATGAACTTCCTCAATAGAAAGAAATAATGCGATATTCAGAATTAGTTCTTTTTATGTGACGTTGTTGCGGCAAAATACCTCAGATTTTTGTGATTTATATTGGGATGATTAATTGATTTTTATTATGTTAAATACCATTCAGATGGTTTTTTTGTAATGACAAAGTTTATTTACATTTTTATAACATTGTGATGTTTAATGTTGATCTATACTGTCATTTTTGATTTAGTTGATTTTTATACAAATTAAGATAACTGAGCGAAGAATTTGTAATAATGGTAATTGGGATCTACGGTAGTTCTTAACATTATTACATTATGTATCGCGAACTTCAAAGGTGAATCGCTTGAAATCAAATTATAATCTTTTCACCATCAAGGTTTAGTATTAAATAGTTTATGTACAGTTATACAGAAACGAACCATCCAACAACAATAATATAATAGCAGTAAGATGTTGAGTTTGTTATCAAGAAGTTTCGTGACTCCAGCTAGGTTGGGAGGTATCAGGTGTTTCAGTGACATAGGCTCTCGTTTTGAAGCAGCTCAAGTAAAACTTAACACTCTTACTGAAGACCCGGGAAATGCTGCTAAACTCAAAATATACGGTCTTTTCAAGCAGGTAAATTTAAAACCAGTGACCAAGTTCTATCATTATAATCTGGGCACTGCAACAAAAGTCCTGGTCTCATTTCTAGCCTCATCTTAAACTTAATAAAAATAGATAAAAATCCTTATGAATTTTCACTTTTTTTTTTATTAAAATCTCATAAGACTCCCAATTCCAGGCTAACGTAGGATCATGCAACATTCCAAAGCCGGGAGGGTTCAACTTCGTAGCGAAAGCAAAATACGACGTCTGGAAAGGTTTAGGAGATATGACTCAGGATCAAGCTAAAGAAGAATACATTGCATTTGTAGCAGAGCTGGCTGGGTCAGAGGAACCAGCACCAGCTGCAGCACCAGCAGGCACAGTTGCAGGGTTAGATGTAACCACTGAGGCTGGTGTTTTGACAATTAGACTTAACAGACCCGAGAAGTTCAACGCTCTTACTTGGGAGGTACCAATTCTATCACCAAAATTCTGGTGGATTTTTAGAGCATTCTTTATCAAGTGCTTTACACAATTTGTATCATGAGATAAATTATGGTCAAACGAAACAGTACCCAGGTGGATTGATATAAATATGAGTTTTAGTAAAATATTAACGAAACTGCACTCAGATGTACACTGGTATTGCTGATTCTTTAATAGCACACGCTGAAGATCCTTCTGTTAAAGTTGCTGTCCTTACTGGCACAGGTAAGTGGTACTGTGCAGGAAATGACCTCAGCAATTTCACCAAAAACATGCCCGCTGGAGGTCCTCAGGAAATGGCGCTCAACGGAAAGAACGTTTTGAAGTAAGTTTTAGCCATTAGGGTTATAGTTTAGTTTTTTCATACTTATAATTATATAACTGCTATTTATATGAATATGTAGTTACAATATGACATAGCATAGTCCGCTCATTGGAAAGAAAAGGCTCATGAAAACCTCAGGAGCCGAGGAGCGGAAGGAGAAAAGGTAGGCCTTGCTTCTTGGCAGCAGGACTTGCCCTCAGGGAAACGCCTGCGGTAAATAACCGATCACATTGTGGGGGCTATGTTATGTCGAATATGATTCATGACCACGAATCTCTTTTTACTCTTGAAATAAAGTTTAATACAACAATGGAATAGTATCACACTGTCTGTACATTGCATCTGCTGATTTAATATGATTAAGAATGTGTGAACACGAGTCTACACTCTACATATTATTTTAATTTACGAGGCTACATGAAATGACCAATTTTATAAGCCCTTCAACTTTCAGCCATTTCTGTGATGCGATGATAAAGTTCCCAAAGCCTCTGATAGCAGCAGTAAACGGACCAGCCATTGGAATACCAGTCACTACACTTGGACTATGTGATTTAGTGTATTGCACTGACAATGCTACTTTTAAAACTCCCTTCGTCAGTCTCGGACAGTCGCCTGAAGGCTGCTCCAGCTTTATCTTTCCTAGAACATTCGGCTTTGCTAAGGTGAGTCTCAGACTAGAAATAGTGTTATCGTGACAAATCGTGACGATAAGAAAACCTCGGTTGTAATTATTTGTTGGAAATATAACTACGCTATATAAAATTCAGAACTTAAACAGTTCTTTGAAACAAACAAAAACATTAAACTGTGTCATGAACAGCAGCTGATCTCCCTAATTTCTAATATGTCCCAATATTACCAGGCTAACGAGATGTTATTAACGGAGAGACAGATCACAGCACAGGAAGCATGTGATGGTGGTTTGGTGACCAGGATCTTCTCTGAGGATAGGTTTAGAGACGAGGTGGACAAGGTCGTCAAACACATGGCATCCCTTCCTCCACAGGTATTTATTATTTTCACCTTTTTATGTTTTGGTTTTCAAGAACTTTCTTGATTTTTAAATGTTTCTGTCGAAACAATCAAAATGTATGTACTTTATCAAGCTTCATATAAAGGAAACAATTACATATTTTTGCAGTCGATGAGAATAAGTAAAGGTCTTATTCGTCACGAGCTTAACGAGAAACTCTTGGAAGTCAATGCTCGAGAATGTGAAGTGCTTAGGGAACGCTGGCTGTCAGACGAGTGTATGACTGCCATAATGAACTTCATGAACAGAAAGAAATAAGGCGCGATATTCAGAAACGCTCTCATGTTTTTATGTGCAATTTTGTGGCAGAACACCTCGGATTTTTGTTATAATTTACAAGTTCTATACAATTTTTGATCCAATTTTTGATTTTAGTAAGTTTTGATATCATTCATCCATTAATTGATGGACTTTCAAAGCTTTTAGCTGCTTCATCATTCAGTGTCAGCTAATAATATTACAATGTAATTTGAGTCTGAGTTAGGTTTGTAAATATGAATTAATAATAAGGACTAAGATCACAGATATAAAGATATTACAAGGTTTGATCTAAATTATATTGTGAAATAATTTAAATGTTTATTAATGAGATACTTCTGTTTTATTGGTGGCCCTAAATTCCTGACAACCATATCCAAACTGCCCTCCAAAGTCGGAAGATTAATTCTTGAATGCACGTGTCTCGACTCCTTAGGGTTAATGCACTTTATGATATCATTGGCCATTTTTCTTGTCATATTTAGTTTACACATTACTGCACACCAGATCTGATGCATCAGCCCATGTAATATGTTAAACCAGTCGATAATAAAATTTCGATAAGTTGAAAATTGAAAATTTTCTACACTCTAAAATTAGATAGGAGGTACCTTCATACATACATTTTAATTATAATAATATAACAAACATAATTGATGACAGCTGCACTATACTGCTGTACTATTCAGCTGCACGATTCTGCTGTATTGGTATATCGCCCATAAATTGTTGTAAGTTAGTGATTGAAAATAGCTCTAATGAAAAAATGTTTGTAGTACTTCAATAGCACAGGGCTTCAATAATAATTTTAAAGACTTAAATATCTTAAATTATGATATTATTGCACTAGGAACTTTAAGATTCTTAATGTCTATCGTTAAGTTCCTAGTGTAAGATAACTTTGAAGCCAATGACTGAGATAATTCTAACGATTCCTAATCAATGACTAACAAGATATTTCTCACAGTAGCTTGCTATGATGACGTTGATAATCCCAAAAGTTCAGGTACCCATGGATTTTGGGGTCCAATATCTAGGATCTCCATCACACAGTAATCTCAAGTTTCTTCTTGAAAGTGGAGAAGAACTTCTAGCCAACTCTATGATAATCTCTTACAACAGCCCAGTTATTGAGGATTTAACTACAAATCTTTTTCAATCCACTATTGAAGTACAAGATTTCTCCAAAGATGCAGTTCAATGTTTTCTTGAGGCTTCATATTCTGGGGACGTAAAGAAGATCTCAAGGTCTAATTTTCGTGAGGTGAACAAAATGGGCCATGTTTTTGATGTTGCTTGGATTGTTGACAGATGCTACAAATACTTCAAATCTTTAACAGAAACTGTAAAAGTGAACAACTATACTGAGCAACTGTTTGTGTTTGAAGAGGCAATGTTCATGTTCATTACACTAAAAAAGAGAAACTTTGTTGAATTAGTTATCACAAAGTTTACATCCCTGACCACGTTCACTGAACATTTTGTAACAAAGTATCTCAGTGATATAACATCTTGCCCTTCAACAACTCTTGATGTGATAATCGAGATGACAGGAAATGAGGAATACATTCTGATAAAAGTTCTAGTAAATAACCTAGAAAATAACAATTGTGTTATTGAACCCAAGACTCGGTACATACTGGAAAGACTGACTTTTATGTCTCGTCAAGCAGCTCACAAGCCTTTGTATCTGGAATTAATTGAAAAATTGAAGAGTATCGACAATCCATCAAAAGAGGATTTCAAGTTGATTCTTGGCCTTTTAACACGCTTTTGTAGTCTTTCGTTTGAAAATCAAGAAGTGGGTAAAAAGGCAGGGTCTGTTCCTTACTTATTCCACAATTTTCAACAGTTGCAAGATATTATCGATCAGGACACTCTTGCAACCTTCTTAGAAGAATCTCCACTTGTAATAAACAGCTACATTTTCTACGATGCTGTTACCTGCTGGTTGTATGATAAATATGATGCTCGCACTAACAATCCATTTGTTACAATCACAAACCAATTTGTGACTAAGTTTTCTGATATCATGACAAGTAGAGGTTGGGATCCTTTACCTCGTGAGTACATTGATACGGAATACAAGAATTATCCGGTATATGGTGGTTTCACTGCTAAGATACTAAAGAGTGTCCACATGGTAACTGAAAATAAGCTCAGCTATAATCGTATCGTTTCTACCTCTGAATACACACCTGATGCACTATTTAGTAGAGATCACGACATCAAGTTTAAATTTAAACAGGATAGATTGGGTAGATTTGACTGTCAAAGAGAGGGGCACTGTGGCTTCATCCTGCGTGTTACTGCTGCTTCGGGTGAACAAGATGATTCTTTCAATATACAGCTTGTTACTGATCCTGACCTCTACCCTGATGATCTACATTTTCACGAAGAAACATCTTCTGTGATAGGGGATTTTCACCTGGCTCTAGATATACATACAGATAGTTATAATAGGAAGGATTAGCCGATAACATGGTACGGTAAACCGTGTAAAGATACAACCTCCAGATACTGGTATTGGGGGTCAAACCAGTTTTATAATGGCACTCATCACAAAGGATATTCACCGACGGGAGACGTGAAGTTTAAACGGATCCGTTACCTTATGTCTTCTTCTAAGATAAGACTGGTTGTTTACCTTAGCTCAAAAGCGAGCAGTTGATCAGAGTGTTTGAAGGAACTAATTAAAGACAATAACTCTGATAACAGGGAGGATAAGGAAAATACTGCTGCTAATACTGAGCTGTGTCACTCTGTTATACAATACGGACACATAGAGGGGAAACTCTGACGTTAACTGCAGTAAAACTGGTATCTTCAATAAACTGTGTACTATTATAGAACATGATAAACACTACACACCACTGATACTTAAGGGGGCATACCCCAAATCTGTCCAGACCTAATGACCTCATAGGCAGTTCAGTGACCTTCTAGCGCACCGTTTCCACACCAGAAAAAATTATTTTGAGAATTCCCATTTTTGTAATCGAGCATTTCCTGGTTAAGAGTGCAATTTTCGGAAAAAATTATTTTGTGGTTGAGACGCTATAAGTTAATTATTTCTTGCGGTATCGGGTTGAAATTTTGCTCGCCGTTTATTCACATCTATGTCAAGGTGTGTGTAAAATCTTGATATCGTATCCAAAAAGGCTGGTGTGTTATGAATTTTTAAAGTCAAAAAGCTAAAATTGTCCTTTTCAGGCTTATTTTAACAAAAAGTCAGTCAGGGAAGATCGGATTATTTGATGCTTGACATCAAATTGTTCTCTGAATTCTGGCGCAGTTTTTGATGCCCTCAAAAATGTTTTTACTCATTCACCTTCTGATCTATTGGACCTCAAAGCCAAACAACAAATTTAGGCACATTTTTCGTTTTTAATATTTACTGATTTTTCTAAAATTTTGATAGGAATGTGCTAGTGACTTTTTGAAGTGTGCAAAATAACCGCAACTAGCACATTTATATATGAGTTATGAACAACAAAACACCCTAAAATGCTTCCCTTTGAAGTTATGGGAGAAAATGTGATTTTTTGGCTTTGCAGATAAAAAATCACGCAAAATTTCAACCCGATACCGCAAGAAATAATTAACTTATAGCGTCTCAACCACAAAATAATTTTTTCCGAAAATTGCACTCTTAACCAGGAAATGCTCGATTACAAAAATGGGAATTCTCAAAATAATTTTTTTTGGTGTGGAAACGGTGCGCTAGAAGGTCACTGAACTGCCTATGAGGTCATTTGGTCTGGACGGCACAAACCACTGTTTTGGGGTATGCCCCCTTAACACTGATCAATACACTAAAAACCAGCGCTGTGGTATCGTGATCTTAGTACTTTATGTCTTTATCAATTTCGTCAATACAATAGTAATGATAATTTTGTGTCTGTGAAGGGTTTGGATAATGTTTCTTTTACCCATTAATCGTTATTAATAGTTATATGACTATATTATTTTAATGGCTCCAATGTAACGCTTTTTAACCTTTGTTTATCTTAATTATTGATTGAGCATTTATGTCTGATGGAGAGGCGAGTTGTCGATGTGCAGTAGTGTGAATCTACCATTCATACACGAATTTTTCAATCCACTAATCAACGAGTAAGCTCGACTCCCAAGGGTGCATGCACTGTGAGATCAATTCAATTAGTTATGTGATTCATCATTTATCATAAAACGCTTCTTTAGTTAGCTTATCTTAGTTACGTAATCTTTGTTTTTTATTTTAAAATTGTTTTTATCGATTTTTTACAAATTGTAAGCATCTATTTAATACTGTATATTTTAATGAAACAGTAATAATTTGATTAAGATTAAATTTGTTGGTATTGGATGCTCTTATAGTCTTTTGAGGTATTCGTTGTATGCTCATTTTTGTAAAACAAAATCTCTCTTCTTCTTCAGTTTGTAAGTTGTTTCTTGATGACATTCATTGCAAGCCAGGAGGTGACCGGGACATGATTTTAGGCCTGACCGGAACCGGGACCGGGACCGGGATACAAAATGTGACTTGACCGGGACCGGGACCGGGACTGAGATTATCAATTTACCGTGACCGGGACCGGGACCGGGACCAATAATTTCTGGGATTTCTATCTTACCGGGACCGGGACCGGGACCAACAATCCAATTTTACCGGGATGACCGGGATTTGACCGGGATTTGACCGGGATGACCGGGATGACCGGGACCAAAACTGTTATTCTCATATTGAAAGCTGCAACTTTCATTTACATTATAATTGAACAATTTGAATAAGTAATAACTAGAATATTAAATTAGAAAAAACTTTTAAAAAACCGTCAATATGGGGCATGGGCCTAATGTACTACACCAATAATGTTCATGTACTGATTACTCAAGTTCACGCTCATTCCTCAATCAATGATCCCTCAAATTATCCAACAGTTTCATTCTCCAATTCCAATTGACAATTGGGCGTAGCCCGAGTTGAAAACTTGACGTTAGTTTGCACTTATGAGTTATGTAACGATATTAGTTAGGGGGGAGCCAAGTGGATATTTGTAGATATTTGGATAATGTCATCCACTTTTTTCGTGAATTATCCATTACAATAATCTACAAATATCTACATTTATCTACAAAAAATGTATATCTCAAATATATGCCCAGAAATTCTACTGAATTTTTGGAGATAAATGTATAAATTTGTAGAATTTGTAGAATTTTCGTGAATTATCCATTGACAATAATCTACAAATATCTACATTTATCTACAAAAAATGTAATCTCAAATATGTGCCCAGAAATTCTACTGAATTTTTGGAGATAAATGTATAAATTTGTAGAATGTCATCCACTTTTTTCGTGGATTATCCATTCTACATTACCTAATCTACAAATATCTACAAATATCCACTTGGCTCCCCCCCTAGTTACCTAAACTTGTTTAGCAATTTTAACCATTGTTTTATTTGGCTCAGAGGTTGTTTAAAGATGAAATTCACAATGAATGAAAGTAAAAACTTAAAATCACAGTGAATGAAATTATGTAAAAGATCCCGGTCAAAATCCCGGCAAATTTGAGTGATTGACCGGGACCGGGACCGGGACTGGGACCAAGAATCCTGAATTAACCGGGACCGGGACCGGGATCATAAATCAGCATTTGACCGGGACCGGGACCGCGACCGGGATGAAAAATGTGACTTGACTCGGTTGACCGGGACCGGGACCGGGACCGGGATAGCTCAAAATTGCCAATCCCGGTACCGGGATTCCCGGTCACCTCCTGTTGCAAGCATTGACTTACTATAATTGTATGAAGCATTTATCACTTTGAAATCGAATTAGAAATCATTGAGTTATGCATTCATGTGCAATATTTAAGGGCCAATTCTGACATAACATGGGCAATACCCCATCTGCTAGTAATAGTGATCAAAGATATAAGATATTTTGGAGCGAATAATGATTCAAATAACGATTATTTTATCAATAGCTCATAATATATCTCCAGGTGTAGCCTGCTATGATGACGGTGATAATCCCCAAAGTACAGGTACCCATGGATTTCGGGGTCCAATATCTTGGATCTCCATCTCACAGTAATCTCAAGTTTCTACTTGAAAGTGGAGAAGAACTTCTAGCCAACTCTATGATAATCTCTTACAACAGCCCAGTTATTGAGAATTTAACTACAAATCTTTTCCAATCCACTATTGAAGTACAAGATTTCTCCAAAGATGCAGTTCAATGTTTTCTTGAGGCTTCATATTCTGGGGACGTAAAGAAGATCTCAAGGTCTAATTTTCGTGAAGTGAACAAAATGGGCCATGTTTTTGATGTTGCTTGGATTGTTGACAGATGCTACAAATACTTCAAATCTTTAACAGAAACTGTGAATGTGAATAACTATACTGAGCAACTGTTTGTGTTTGAAGAGGCAATGTTCATGTTCATTACACTAAAAAAGAGAAACTTTGTTGAATTAGTTATCACAAAGTTTACATCCCTGACCACGTGCACTGAACATTTTGTAACAAAGTATCTCAGTGACATTTCATCTTGCTCTTCAACAACTCTTGATGTGATAATCGAGATGACAGGAAAAGAGGAATACATTTTGATACAAGTTCTAGTAAATCACCTGGAAAATAACAATTGTGTTATTGATCCCAACACTCGATGCATATTGGAGAATGTAACATTTTCATCGCGTGAAGCAGCTCACAAGCCTTTGTATCTGGAATTAATTGAGAAATTGGAGAGTATTGACAATCCATCAAAAGAGGATTTCAAGTTGATTGTTGGACTTCTCAAACGGTTCTATAGTGCTTCATCTGAAAGTCAAGTAGTGGTAAAAAAGGCAGGGTCTGTTCCTTACTTATTCCATAATTTTCAACAGTTGCAAGATATTAATGATCTGAACACTCTTGCAACTTTCTTAGAAAAATCTCCGCTCGTTACAAACAGCTACATTTTCTACGATGCTGTTTTCTGCTGGTTGTTTGATAAATCCCTTTTTCCAACAAACAATCCATTTGTTACAATCACAAACCAATTTGTGACTAAGTTTTCTGATATTATGACAAGTAGAGGTTGGGATCCTTTACCTCGTGAGTACATTGATACGGAATACAAGAATAATCCGGTATATGGTGGTTTCACTGCTAAGATACTAAAGAATGTCCACATGGTAACTGAAAATAAGCTCAGCTATAAGCGTATCGTCTCTACCTCTCAATACACACCTGATGAACTATTTAGGAGAGATCACGACATCAAGTTTCAATATAAACAGAGTGCATTTGACTGTCAAAGAGAGGGGCACTGTGGTTTCATCCTGCGTGTTACTGCTGCTTCGGATAAACAAGATGATTCGTTTAATATACAGCTTGTTACTGATCCTGACCTCTACCCTGATGATCTACATTTTCACGAAGAAACATCCTCTGTGATAGGGGATTTTCACCTAGCTCTAGATATAGATGTTGTTGGTTTTAAAATATGAAGGATATGCCGATAACATGGTACGGTAAACCGTGTAAAGATACAACCTCCAGATACTGGTATTGGGGGGCAAACCAGTTTTTTAATGGCCGTTATTGCGAAGGATATTCACCGACGGGAGACGTGAAGTTTAAACAGATCCGTTACCTTAGTTCTTCTTCTAGGATAAGTATTGTTGTTTACTTTAGCTCAAAAGCGAGCAGTTGATCAGAGTGGTTGAAGGAACTATTAAAGACATTAACTCTGATAACAGGGAGGATAAGGAAAATACTGCTGCTAATACTGAGCTGTGTCACTCTGTTATACAATACGGACACATAGAGGGGAAACTCTGATGTTAACTGCAGTAAAACTAGTGTCTTCAATCAACTGTGTACTATAGAACATGATAAACACTACACACCACTGACACTAAACAGTGACCAATACACTAAAAACCAGCGCTGTGGTATCGTGATCTTAGTACTTTCTATCTTTATTAATTTTGTCAATACAATAGTAATGATAATTTTGTGTCTGTGAAGGATTTGGATAATGTTTCTTTTACCCATTATTAGTTATACAGTTGTTAGTTCTATGACTATATTATTTTAATGGCTCAATGTAACGCTTTTTAACCTTTGTTTATCTTAATTATTGATTTAGCATTTATGTCTGATGGAGAGGCGAGTTATCGTTTTGTAATGTGTAGTCCTGTGAATGTACCATTAACACATAATATTAATGTTTTTAGTCCACTAATCAACGAGCAAGCTCGACTCTCAGGGGTGCATGCACTGTGAGATCAATTTTATTAGTTTTGTGATTTAGCATTTATCATAAAAACAGCTAAACAGTCTTAGTTAATCTTTATTTTCTTCTTTTGAAATTGTTTTTTATCGATTTGTTATTAAAATTTATTAATTCAGTGCATGCAAATTGTAAGCATCTATTACAATAGTATATTTTACTAAACAGTAACAATTTAAAAGATTAGATTTGTCGGTATTGGATGCTCTTTTTAGGTATTCGTTGTATGCTAATTTTGTGACACAAAATTTCCGTTCTTTTTCAATTCATGAGTTGTTTCTTGATGATACTCTTTGCAAGTGTTGATTGTAGAATTTAGAAAGCATCTGTCACTTTTAAAATCAAATTATAATAAATCATCGAGTTATGCTCAATTCATGTGCAATGGGGTTCGCCCATTTAACATGGGCAGATACGATGCCCCATTTGCTAATTTAAAAGTGAACATAGGATTTTGGAGCGAATTTAAATGATTCAAATAACGATTATTTTATCAATAGCTCATAATATATCTCCAGGTGTAGCCTGCTATGATGACGGTGATAATCCCCAAAGTACAGGTACCCATGGATTTCGGGGTCCAATATCTTGGATCTCCATCTCACAGTAATCTCAAGTTTCTACTTGAAAGTGGAGAAGAACTTCTAGCCAACTCTATGATAATCTCTTACAACAGCCCAGTTATTGAGAATTTAACTACAAATCTTTTCCAATCCACTATTGAAGTACAAGATTTCTCCAAAGATGCAGTTCAATGTTTTCTTGAGGCTTCATATTCTGGGGACGTAAAGAAGATCTCAAGGTCTAATTTTCGTGAAGTGAACAAAATGGGCCATGTTTTTGATGTTGCTTGGATTGTTGACAGATGCTACAAATACTTCAAATCTTTAACAGAAACTGTGAATGTGAACAACTATACTGAGCAACTGTTTGTGTTTGAAGAGGCAATGTTCATGTTCATTACACTAAAAAAGAGAAACTTTGTTGAATTAGTTATCACAAAGTTTACATCTCTGATAACTTGCACTAAAACTTTTGTAACAAAGTATCTCAGTGACATTTCATCTTGCCCTTCAACAACTCTTGATGTGATAATCGAGATGACAGGAAAAGAGGAATACATTCTGATACAAGTTCTAGTAAATCACCTGGAAAATAACAATTGTGTTATTGATCCCAACACTCGATGCATATTGGAGAATGTAACATTTTCATCGCGTGAAGCAGCTCACAAGCCTTTGTATCTGGAATTAATTGAGAAATTGGAGAGTATTGACAATCCATCAAAAGAGGATTTCAAGTTGATTGTTGGACTTCTCAAACGGTTCTATAGTGCTTCATCTGAAAGTAAAGTAGTGTTAAAAAAGGCAGAGTATGTTCCTTACTCATTCCACAATTTTCAGCAGTTACAAGATATTAATGATCTGAAAACTCTTGCAACTTTCTTAGAAGAATCTCCGCTCGTTACAAACAGCTACATTTTCTACGATGCTGTTTTCTGCTGGTTGTTTTATAAATCCCTTTTTCCAACAAACAATCCATTTGTTACAATCACAAACCAATTTGTGACTAAGTTTTCTGATATTATGAAAAGTAGAGGTTGGGATCCTTTACCTCGTGAGTACATTGATACGGAATACAAGAATAATCCGGTATATGGTGGTTTCACTGCTAAGATACTAAAGAATGTCCACATGGTAACTGAAAATAAGCTCAGCTATAATCGTATCGTTTCTACCTCTGAATACACACCTGATGCACTATTTAGTAGAGATCACGACATCAAGTTTAAATTCAAACAGGATAGATTGGGTAGATTTGACTGTCAAAGAGAGGGGCACTGCGGCTTCATCCTGCGTGTTACTGCTGCTTCGGGTGAACAAGATGATTCTTTCAATATACAGCTTGTTACTGATCCTGATCTCTACCCTGATGACCTACATTTTCACGAAGAAACATCTTCTGGGTTCGGAGATTTCCATCTAGCTCTTGATATAAAATCAAGTGGTAATTACCACAAAGACACACCGATAACATGGTACGGTAAACCATGTAAAGATGCAACGTCTACATACTGGTGTTGGGGAGCGAACATGTTATTTGCATTTAGCGAGGGTGGGCGTCCACCATCAGATTACGTGAGTTATGTTCGGTACCGTTTTCTTGGTTTTGCTGATAAGGAAATGCTCCCGCCGTCAAGACACGGTGTCCTGACATATAATAGTAATCTTAGATTTGGTACTCCTCCTGAGATAAGTATTGTTGTTTATTTTGGATCAGAATCGAGCACTTTATCAGCGTAGTTGAGCTGCGTTGTGAGGGCTGTCACACTGTGACGTCACTCTCTGTTATACAATACAGACACGCATCATGACAGGAAAAGTTCGACATTAAATTCACTAAAACTAGACCCTACAACGAACTACATGACACAGCACTTTCAAACAATGATCAATAGACTCAAAGCCATCTGGAGGTACAATTGATGTCATCGTCATAGTTTGTTGACTTAACTAGATGATTAAATGCATGCAGATTTTTAGTGCCCATAAGTTTTGATTAAAAATGTAATATTTTTGTATATAAAACCACAACGATTAAGCTGGTTAGTATAGGACCGAATATTTTTTTGGATTTGCCTGTTTACTCCAGTAGCAGGCAGGGGTTGAGTGTGCACTTCACTGCATAGAGTTTTTTGCTACTGAATCGGGTTAAATAGGTCATTGGTAACTCAAATCACCGAGGGGCACAATTTGAATCGCTAGTCCCAGTCCTACAGGGCGAAATTTCTAAATTGCCCTCAGTCGCAAATTTGGGATTTTTGTATCTCGGCTTCTAAAAGACTTAGAGACTTGAACATTAGCTTAAAATAACCGCAATAGCCTTATTTATATACAGGTTATGAAGCAATATAAGGTCTCAAGTGCCTAGTTTTAAAGATATTCACGAAAAACTGTTTTTTGGCTCATCGCAGCCTGAATTACCGGATCATTTTTGTATCTCGAGCTACAAAGGTCGCAGAAACTTCTCTGATATTGAAAAATATTCGCACTGAAGCACTGAGCACATTTATATAAGACTTATGAATTATTATATGCTCTAAAATGCTTATCTGTAGAGATATTAGCAAAAATCGGTAATTTTGGCTATACCAATTCAAATTTGGTAATTCGTTTTGTCTTTTTGTTGCAAATTTTCACGTTGCAATTTTCAAGATGCGGTTTGTGGCTATCGATAGGGCTTTATATGCTATTGTATGGTTTTGATACGATCCTTCAGCACCTGACATAGGCAATAGGGGTCACAAACCCTGAAATTTCAGGAACTGCGTGCAGTGGCCGAGATTAATATTTGATAATTACTTGAACTCTTGACTCACATACATCTTTTCAACGGTTAGTTGGACATCTTAAGCCAGTATTTAACGTTCAGTAAAACTTTTGATGTATTTGTAGCTCAGGTGATGTGCCCCATAACCTCACGCCTGAGTGACAGTGGGCCTTATCGATCATGAGCCACAAATCACAATGACTTTGGGCCTCAGTGACAAGGGCATTCGTACTCTTGGCTTAAATTGGCTCTTTGTTAGTATCATCAATCAGGTTTATAACTTCTATAGAAGTTAGATATAGATATATATCTATATCTATATCAGATGATATAGATATCATCTGCCGGTCCAGTGTCCACCTGTCTCTTTGAGATTCATTATTACTTCAAGTTCAGTCATTTCGCTTCTGTTTAACTGTAGGCGTAATAAGGGACTTCAGTCCAGCAATATCTCTAGATTTAGCAATATCTGGTTTCGCTATTAATTGTGTTCAACAAGCAAGATTGTAAGTTTTCAGTCCTACTGCCCCAAAATATTGGCCCCCAGATCACTGGTAATGCTGGAGTACTGGTAATGCACATTGTACATGGTAATGCTGATTTTTTGCTTAACATAGCTCTTTTTTAAGTTCCTTTTTCAGCAGGACTTTTCCCTGTCATACTGGCATAAAAACAGATTCACCTCCTTTATCTCTAAATATAATCTTGAACCTGGGCTCTACAGGTTATCGAATGTCTACCAACCTCGTGCCCCAATTATTGTAAGCCCCAGGACCTGTGGCACCTGCAACTTTGGGTCCTAGAACTTCGGGCCCAACGATACCTGTCCCTCAGTGACTCTGTGCCCCACATAAATCTAATTTATGACTCAATTTAAGTTGTATATATGCTGAGATGGACATTCGGTAACCTGTAGAGCCCAGGATCAAGATTATATTTGTATAGATAAAGGCCAGTATGATAGAGAAGACTGCTGAAAACGAACTTAAAATTTTTAAAAAGAGCTATGTTAAGCAAAAATCAGCATTACCACATGTGCAATGTGCATTATACCAGTACTCCAGCATTACCAGTGATCTGGGGGCCAATATTTTTGGGCAGTAGGACTGAAAACTTACAAACTTGCTTGTTGAACACAATTAATAGCGAAACCAGATATTGCTAAATCTAGAGATATTGCTGGACTGAAGTCCCTTATTACGCCTACAGTTAAACAGAAGCGAAATGACTGAACTTGAAGTAATAATGAATCTCAAAGAGACAGGTGGACACTGGACCGGCAGATGATATCTATATCATCTGATATAGATATAGATATATATCTATATCTAACTTCTATAGAAGTTATAAACCTGATTGATGATACTAACAAAGAGCCAATTTAAGCCAAGAGTACGAATGCCCTTGTCACTGAGGCCCAAAGTCATTGTGATTTGTGGCTCATGATCGATAAGGCCCACTGTCACTCAGGCGTGAGGTTATGGGGCACATCACCTGAGCTACAAATACATCAAAAGTTTTACTGAACGTTAAATACTGGCTTAAGATGTCCAACTAACCGTTGAAAAGATGTATGTGAGTCAAGAGTTCAAGTAATTATCAAATATTAATCTCGGCCACTGCACGCAGTTCCTGAAATTTCAGGGTTTGTGACCCCTATTGCCTATGTCAGGTGCTGAAGGATCGTATCAAAACCATACAATAGCATATAAAGCCCTATCGATAGCCACAAACCGCATCTTGAAAATTGCAACGTGAAAATTTGCAACAAAAAGACAAAACGAATTACCAAATTTGAATTGGTATAGCCAAAATTACCGATTTTTGCTAATATCTCTACAGATAAGCATTTTAGAGCATATAATAATTCATAAGTCTTATATAAATGTGCTCAGTGCTTCAGTGCGAATATTTTTCAATATCAGAGAAGTTTCTGCGACCTTTGTAGCTCGAGATACAAAAATAATCCGGTAATTCAGGCTGCGATGAGCCAAAAAACAGTTTTTCGTTAATATCTTTACAACTAGGCACTTGAGACCTTATATTGCTTCATAACTTGTATATAAATAAGGCTATTGCAGTTATTTTGAGCCAATATTCAAGTCTCTAAGTCTTTTAGAAGCCGAGATACAAAAATCCCAAATTTGCGACTGAGGGCAATTTAGAAATTTCGCCCTGTAGGACTGGGAATAGCGATACAAATTGTGCCCCTCGGTGATTTGAGTTACCAATGACCTATTTAACCCGATTTAGTAGCAAAAAACTCTATGCAATGAAGTGCACACTCAACCCCTGCCTGCTACTGGAGTAGTTGTATTGATTTTACGATTTATCGTCCGCTTACGAAGTTGATTTACAAGTGAACTCTTAACCAGATTTGATTACCTCCTGAGAAATAAATGGAGGCCAATCTGATATTGATTATTTTAAAGTTTTAAGACAGTTTCCACATCAGGATTATTGAATTACAGCCCAACACAATCTTAGACGGTTTATAATGATGAAACATTGACGTGTTTCGATTTCGCCCAGTTTGCCATTAATCAAAAGAAATTCCAAAACGTGGAAATGTTCGCCACTTCACTGAGCACTCCTTCTCATTAATAAGTGACCATCTGACCAGTACCAGCATCTCCGCTGAGTGTCTGATTGTAGTTTTACTCACTCTTTTTACTTCTCGAAAATGTGTCTAATTTCTAATACAATTTATAAATTTGTTTTTGTGTTTATGAATTATGATCAGCTGACCTGTTAACCTCTAATTTATAAAATTGAAGTCTAAATGTTTGATAAATGGGTCTCCGACATTCTCACGTGATCTTCTTCGGCTGCTCAGCATTCTTCCTCACGTTCAGTGGATACGTCTACATCACTGAGAGATCAGATAAAAAGGTACTACACTGACTACCATTTGTCTTCTGTAACTTACAGATTCTATTTAGACGAGTTTCTGGAGATAAACTTTAGCAGTTAAACTTAACCCTTGTGTAGTTCAGTTATTACTGATATGGCAGATAAAGTTGTTCCAAATTTGTGGACCTCTATTGACTGTCATGATGTATTGGGTCTGGCTGTGGGCCGAATGTGCTACATTTAATTTTGATTATTACACCTCATTTCTTCAGAAATTAAAGACAGGTGCTGTTCGCGACATCGACCGTTACCAGAAAAAGTTAGCTGACCGTCTACAAAAGCAAGCAGAATTAGATAAGAACGGTATTATTTCCACTACTAGTTACCTTAATGTTTTGAATCAATTATCGTGTTAAGGCCAGAGGGGGGGGGGGGTAAATGGCACTTTTCTAGTTTTCACATATTTGATAATAGCTGCTGGAGACGAACAAGAAGAAAAAAACCAGATCAAAATCTGACCTTGCGTTCCTGAGATATCGCACGCTAAATTTTGAGGTTTACCTGTAATTACATGTTGAACTGGATCTTTAAACGGCTGTAACTTTTTTGACCTTTCGATATCTTAGTTTAGAAAACCGGCCAATCCCTGATCTTGAGGTTTGGTACAGTGGTTCCTTAGACAATTATCCTCATTTATTATGTGAGCGATTTTTGTTATTTGACTCGGTTCTTGAATTATGAGGTTAACCATGTCAAAAATTCGGAAAATTTAGCTGGTTAACCTCATAATTCGAGAACCGAGTCAAATAAAAAAAAATCGGTCACATAATAAATGAGGATAATTGTCTAAGGAACCACTGTACCAAACCTCAAGATCAGGGAGTGGCCGGTTTTCTCAACTAAGGAATCGAAAGGTCAAATTAAGCACAAATATTTTAAACGCAATTTTCGGATTGGATTAAATATTGGCTTATAAATCAAGAGGCTTGCATATAATGAACATATTGACACGGGTGCAGAGTTGAGTCTGTACGGAACCTAGTAGTTTCAGATCCTTGTTTAACTTGCCGTACAGCAAGGTCATCCACTACTTTAGCCCGGCGAGGCACATAACTCCCTCTACAACTCCATGACAAATGTTTCATATATACTAGCCGAGTTCACAAGAATATATCCTTGTGTTTGAGAAGAGCTCGTTAGAACTGCTTCCTTTCCCTTCAGTATCCCACAGTCTCTCGAGTTTCGTAACTGCCAGAGAACTCTCTTAAACAATTACTAGACTCGGTGATTATAAATCAAGAGGCTTGCATATAATGAACATATTGACACGGGTGCAGAGTTGAGTCTGTACGGAACCTAGTAGTTTCAGATCCTTGTTTAACTTATATACGACGATTTCGAATATATTTCATTGAACTAATTGAAGATATTATGTAGATATTATGAACAGGAAGGCAAACCTTGTTTCACACTTCTTCATTTCAGAAAATGGTGCGGAAGAGACAAGCTAACATGGAGAGGTTTGCGGGCAGTATTGCTAGTCTTGTTGGCGGAGAAAAGCAAAAGAACCGATCTGGTCAAAGAATCGGCAAACCTAAGTTTCAACTAGACAGAAAAAAGGAAAGAAAGCTTAAGAAAGAAGCTAAGAAGGAGAAAAGGATAACACACATTCTCCTGAAAGCAGGAGCACAACTTCCTGAAGCTGGGGAGCCTGGCAAAGCAGTCAATAATAATGATAAGGTGAGCAAAGAGAAAAAGAATAAACCCAAAAAGACCTTAGTCGTCAGCAGAGAGAATATTCAGTCGTTACAGTCTAAACAAGACATGATTTACAAATCTGCTGGAAGCAGTAAAATGACTCCAGAAGAAGCCGAGGTTGCCAATAAGAAAGAGGATAGAGTTATTAAAGATATGGGTAAACGCTTGGGTTTTAGAAAGAAAGGAGACGACATAACACCCAAGTCAATAGATGCAGATGGTCTAGGCTATGTCTTGCATTTCAAAGACGACAGCAAGAAAAAGGAGAAGCAAAAAGAGCTAGCGGAATCTGCTGCTGACGACTTATTTAAAGATCTTGATGACTCTGGCGATGAAACCAAGAAACCTGACGAAGGTGAAGATGATGATTCTGATTTTGATGATTTCGGTGAGGAGGATCAGGTTGATGAAGAGTTTTCTATGGATGAGGAAGGTGGGTTTGATGAGGACACTCCCATGTCAGGAGGAGAAGAAGATGCTGAAGAAATACCTCCAGAAGATGAAGAATTCTCTGATGAGGATTGCAAGATGAAGCAGAAACTAACGTCGAGAAAGACGCAGAAGGTGATGCTCTTAATAACGAAGAGGAAACAAATTCATCTATAACGAAGGTTGAAACCCCTGCCCCCACAACATATTTACCACCTCACCTTAGAAACCTTGATCCTAACGCTATCTTGAAAAGGAAAATACGAGGTTACGTCAACAAAGTCTCTACCTCAAACATCAAACAGATTTTAACCGACGTTGAACTCGTGTATCAAGACTACCCCCGAGGAGAAGTGAACAGGGCAATCCTAGAGGCTGTCTCCCGGTCACTCCTCATCAACACCATCATGCCCGCTAGGTTGTGTGCTGAGCACATATTACTCATCGCTTGTATGACGGCTAATATTGGTCCCGAGTTTGTTAGTCCATTGCTTGAGGATCTAGCTGAGAAACTTACCGAAGAGATGACTGAAAGACACGGAAAACTGCTCAACAACATTGTTTCGATGATTTGCTTTCTATATGCTTTGAAAGTCGTGTCCTGCAACTTGATATTTGAAATCATTAGAACTCTGTTGAAATCTTTTACTGAGGCTGATTTAGAAGTTCTGCTTTACATCTTCAAATCTGTCGGGCTCGATATCCGCAAAGATGATCCTCAAGCACTGAAAGACATTGTTCAGATTGTCAATGAAACTGGTGCCAAAATCAAAGAAAAATCATCGCGATTCATTTGGTTTGTCGAAACACTAACCGCAGTGAAGAACAACAACGTCAACAAAATTCCAAACTACGACAAATCTGATATTACTGAGATCCAGAAAGCGTACAAAGCTGCAGTAAAACAAGCTCCAAACAACCTCCAAGTCACATTAAGAGACCTGCTGGACGCTAAAACTAAAGGAAGGTGGTGGGTTATAGGGGCCGCTTGGACCGGGTTGGAAGAGAATAGAAAGGTGAAACAGGTGGAGTTTGATAGTAAGTTGCTGGCACTTGCTAAGAAGAACCACATGAACACAGAGGTTAGACGGAATGTTTTCTGTGTTTTGATGTCCTCAGAGGACTACGAGCATTGCTTTGTGAAGATGATGAAACTCAATGTCAAGGACAAGCAAGAGCGAGAGATCATTTATGTGACTGTTCTATGTGCTTTGAAGTGTAAGACTTTCAATCCTTACTATGTCAATGTTATCAAGAAGTTTTGTGAACATAGTAAGAATTATCAGATAACCATGCAGTTTTCAATTTGGGACAGGTTGAAGGATCTGAAGTCTCTGAATGCTACCAAAACTAGGAACTTTATTTTACTTTTGTCATCCTTGATCTCAAACAAAACTATTTCATTATCAGTTCTTAAAATCGTAAATTTTGCAGAGATTGGCACTGATGATGTTGACTTTTTCAAAGAATTATTCCGTAAGATTTTGAATGTATCAGAGGTTCTGATAACTGAAATATTTGGACGTTTACAACCGTTACCTCTAGACAATCTTAAAAATGGGATCAAAGTGTTTCTGAAACATTTCCTTAAACCTGAGTTAAATGCAGAGGAGAAGAAGAATCTTAGAATTGCTTTGAAGTGCTTTTGATTTCGTGTGACTGGGTCGACGGACAGATAATTTATTAAGTCACTGAGTAGCTTTTATTCAAATGTTATTCTCTAAGAATCCAATAATTTATTTTATTTTTACCCATGATGTGTTTCTGTCTATTATCCTAGCTGAACGAACGATTACCATGATTTTAACTGCGTTTTGTTAAATTGTGATGTTTGATTGGTTACTATATGTTCGTCTGCATTGATTACATCTTTACCAGTTCTCTACTCTTGCTGAACTCTATTGCATATAACCTTATTTTCAATACTGATCAATCAAATATAAATCAGGATGTCCGTTTAGCTGGCACAAGTATGGATGATTTGGAGGATGAAGAGCCCGCGGAGCCCAACTATTTTGACAAGTATAAAGAACTAAAGGTACGTTCTCCTGGTGTCACACAATCACATTATCTTATTGATTTTATCGTTATAATTATTATAACCCAGTCTCGATTTAACAATTTTTTGAGTAGATTTGGTTTCACTCATTGACATTAACGATGCTTTCAGAGGAAGTTACACTTTCTGTTGTACGAGAACCAGACATACCAGGATGAACTACGCCAGGCTCAGAAAAAGATGCTTCAGGTTAGATTTTAGCGAGAAAATTATTTGACGAATTGGCAATTATATCCTGGCGGAAAATTCCAAAATTATTATAAGAGGCCGGGTCTGTAGTCGCTTAAACCCAGATTTTCCACTGTGCATCTTTACTTATCACTGACGGGAAATCGATAGTATACAGTACACACAGATGGTCTTTTCAGAGCTTGCAAACTTAGTAATTGTGACTTAAAATTGCTGCTAAGTGTTTCCCAACAAGAACAGTCGTCAGTAATGTTATAATAATATGTATCCTGACAGGTGACAAGAGATAAGAACTTCCTGCTAGAACGACTGATGAAGTACGAAGGAGTTACAAGCGAGTCAGACTCAGATGACGAGGCTAAACTAAGCGAGACAAGAGTAGACAAGGCTTCTCTCCTGCACCTCCCTCCTTCAAACGACCAAACGTGCTGGCTGTAACACCGGGCCACACTCCGGCTTCCATCACCATGCCTTCACCCAGAGGCATCATGATGCAGGTGAATTTAAATTGTGCTATTATGTTTCATGTTCCAGATGGTAGGTTTCGTTCGCGTTGTATTGATCGCACCTGTTTTTAGTTCTCAAATTTCATAATTTTGAAATTTTAATTTTAATCGGAAACTCGTTTAAAACCCACGAAAAAAAGAAAATCATTCTTTAACTGACCTCATAAATTTTCAGAGCCCAAACAACGAAAGTCCCCGACCAAACCACAGTCCGACAGTACCCAGTCCAACAAATGCGACCTTCCCCAGTCCAGCTCACACAGCGACCCTCACAACTACTACCAGCAGTCCCAAGAATAGCCCTCGGTCAAGAAAAGCAAGTTCGAACGACACAGGAAAACAAGCACTGCCCAGGAAGATCCCTTTCCCATCATCAGAGTCTAATATCGGTCCTGGTTCCAAACAGATCACCAGATTACCGTCGGTTAGTCAGGAAGAGCCCTCGGTTTCATTCTGCTCTCATGTTGAAAACGGAGTTCAGTGTACTACTGAGATTACGAAAAAGTCAAAAACAAAACTGTGTGGTGCACATAGAAGGATGTTGAACAAAAAGAAAAAGCAACAAAATGCCGGTGAACCTGATAACATCGTGTTAAATTCGCCTAACCCTCACACGCCATCATCAACTCTGGCATCTTCTCCTGCTTCCCTGACCTCACAATCTCCTCACCCCACCCCAAATAACTCTAACGATGGGATGATGTCACAAGGCATGCTCCATTCTACTCATATGAACTATAACCGACCACCAAATGCTTCAGTTCCTCCTCAAAACTTCCCTCGACCTCCTCACATGTTCCCTCAAAACCCTCAGATGCAACACCTTCAGATGCAGCAGTACCAGCTTCAGATGAAACGGATGATGTTTCAGAATCCCAAAGAATACTATGCTCAGCAACAGCAGTTTCAGCAGTTTCAGCAACAGCAAGCTCAGCATTACCAACAGCAGCAACAAAGAGCACAGCAACTCCACCAAGGTGCAAATGTGCCAACTTCTTCTGCTGCCGGTCCTAGTGGTGTACCAGCTCAGCCGCCAGCTCAACCTGGTAATCCAACCCAGTCTGGTAACCAAAACATGCTGCCTCCTTCTGCTTCAAAAGAGCAACAGCCTGAACCAAAGAGCAAACCTCCGGCTTCTAACAGTAACGCTCCTTCTGCACCAGAGGTAACTCAACCACAAGCCACTTCGACTCCTAAACATTCTCCAAGTCAGAAGTCAAGTAGCTCGAGCCAGAAGTCTAATTCTAATCAACAACAACAGATGCATCAGATTCAAGTGAATTCACAGAATACATCTGCTAATCATCCGAGTTCTATGCCTGTGCAACCAATGCTAACACAACCTAGCAGCAGCTCAAGCCATTCAACTCCTAGCCAACCGAAGCAAGGATCCAACAATTCACAGCAGCACTCAAATCAGCAACATAAATCAAGCAGTCGTAAACAATCGCCCTCAACTCAAAAGTCTGAGGGAACTCATTCAAACAGACAACCCATTGTCCCGGTTTCCCTGAATCAGCAGTCTAGCGGGCCAAACAATGTGAATCAGAATATGAGTCACCAGCAGCGCCACAATTCAGGTCCTATTTCAGCAGGCCAGCACCGACCTCAAATAACCAGTCCACGTCTTCAACAGTTCCCTCCAGGTGCGCATCCCTTGCAAGTTACACAACAACAACCTTCACCTGTGTCCCACACTCAACAAGTACTTCAAGCTCAGGCCATGAACTCAAGAAATGCCACCTCGCAAAGTCAGATGCAGCCTCCTCAATTACCTGCCAGTCAAGCTCAAAAAGCTCACAACCCAAATACTCAAGGACATCAGATGCCGAGCTCGCAGTCTCATCAGATACCGCTGTCCCAGCATCAGCTTCACCAGCAGCTCACTCCTAAACAGCTGGCACATTTGCAGGCACAGCAACAAAGACAGTTCCAGCTCCAGTTAGCAGCAGCTGCTCAACAGCAGAAGATAGCTCAGCATCAACAGGCTGCCAGACTTGCACAGAACCAACATTACGCCAACATGGGACTCAGTGCTTCTCCCAGATTCCCGTTGAACATTCCACAGCAACAGGCTCAACAGCAAGCACAACAACAGGCACAGCAACAGGCCCAACAAGCGCAAGCACAACAACAACAACAGGCACAACAACAAGCACAACAACAAGCGCAACAACAAGCGCAACAGCAAGCCAAACAGCAAGCGCAAGCACAACAGCAAGCTCAACAAATTCAGCAAGCTCAGCAACAACAAAAATCTGCCATGGCTGCTGCTGTTACGAGCTCAAACCACCCTCCTAGTGTCCCTTCAAAGAAGGAGCCAGAGAAGGCTCCAGAACAGCCGACATCTGGGGGTCCTGCTAAACCACCAGATCTGGGGGAGCTGCCTCCAGAACTACTAGCCGGATTAGACGCTTCATTGGAGGGTATGGAGGATGTGAGCTGATAGAATATTTTAGATCGTTCTACTGTGTCGCTGGATCAAGATGTATTGTTGCCGACGCTTGATAACTTCAATTCGAAAGAATGCGCATCGAGTCGCAAAGAAGACAATAGACACTTGGCTACCGTTTTAGTTTTCAGAGGAATTACGTGTGATGGATATTTAACTTTTGTACGATAAATTTCAATGAAAATTAAGCTAACGTAATATGAATATTTGTTGATTGATAGCCATAATATAAAATGCTTAATCGAAACAGTAACTTCCTCTTTATTAATGAATCCAATATCATTCGACGGCCAATATCTTTTGCACACGCAACTGTGTACATTTTTATTGAATAGTTGAATGTATTACTATGTTGTTATTGGATCAATTTTATAGTAATTATCATAAATACTTGGTATGCTTATGATATGAGAATTTAGATATATTGAGGTAATTTGATAATTTTTAACCTACTTTTGAGTTGTTTGTATTTGTCGGATAAGAGAATATTTACATGATGTTAATTGCAAGGGCCCAAGTCTTACCTGACTATTGATCCTACTTACAAGTTTAAAAGTAGGCATGTTCACGGTCAGAGTGCAGTCTGTGGACCACCTCCTTGACTGCACCAGTCGGTTCAAAAACTAGGATGAAACCTGAAGTTCGAAAATTCTAATAAAATTACAATTCGTACTTTCGAGCACATTTTGATAGACGCTTTAAATAACGAACAACATTCTGTCCTAGATGGGGGTCTATGTAAAATTAGGATGTGTGGTGGGGTTGATGATATCTGTATACGCACTTTGGATCGAACATCAAGTTTCCACCCGGTCAAACTACCTGGCTTTCTGTGATCTACATCAATATGCCAGCTGCTCCAGAGTTTTATCGTCAAAGTAAGTATTCATTTGATAGTGCTTTAGAATTTCAAAACTTAAATTAGATTTGCTTCGATGACCTTGATATTGTGAATTGCCCCTATACTATAGGTAAACTACTAATTGTCGCTTATATTTCGTTTTCATCCCAGGTATGCTAAAGGGTTCGGAATTATAGGTCCATTGCTTGGTGATGAGAGTCCTCTTAATCAACCAAACTGCTTATTTGGAATTGTATTTTTCCTTTTCTACCTTACGCTTGGTAAGTGTTTGCACGCTTGCAAGTAATGTTTATATTTGGAAAGGTTGATGTCATTGATAATGTTTGTAAAGTTTTCTGAATCACTTTTGACCCTTTGATAAATGGTCAGAAAAATTTCTACGCGAAATTGTTACAACACTTATCACCCTCCGTTATACTTTCAGATTCGGTCGCTCAGAAGTTCATTGTTATACAGTTGAAGTTCACTCTAAGTGCCTCCTCCCTTGTCATGTCCCTGTACCTCGCTTACATCTTGGCTTTTGTCTTAATCGACCTATGTCTTGTGTGTCTAGCCACATACGCTGTTAACTTTGGCTTGGCAGCCCCTGCTTTTGAAAACTATTTCTCTGCTTTGGATGAACGACGTAAAATCGCTGAAAAGAACGACTGATTGCAGTCTTGATTTGTTTTATACGCTATTGGAGCCTAGAATATCTCTATCTATAATCTATTCAGTATTAAATTGTTTATACATTTTTTGGATTTCTCTGCTATTTCTCTAGTCAGGTATTTGATCTTCCCAATTTTCGAAATTAAGAGTTGTTTCTGTATTTTTAAAGCTTTCTTGGTTTTTACTAGGTTATGATGTTTACTAATATTCTAGTTTTTATTTCGTTCAGTTTGTTATGCGGCAACCCGTTGGCTGTTGTAACTAAAGGTGTTTTATTTGCCATTTTAAAAGTGGTCCAACTTCAAACATCATAGTTTGGTAGGCGCGGAGCTTCGCAAAGGTAACAAACAATTCTTGTCAGTTTAAAGTCACGTGATCAAGCGCGCGCGCTTTTAGTTTATCAGAAGTCCCATTGGTGGCGCCAGAATCATGCGTCAAGAACGACAGCAAGTCTGTAAACAAAACACGATTTCTTTATTATATAAGAAAATTCCACTGATTAAACTTTCATCATCCTTTAGGTGATGTCAATGATAAGCAGCAGGGAGCCCCCAATATGGTTCATGGAGGGCATGTCGACGCTGACGCCGTACAATGTTGGTTTGGTCCTGCTAGTTAATCATTACTTTGCAGAACCGTACAGAACTAAATTTAAACTCGGGGTTATTTTATTGGAATGTATTAAGTTCAAGAATTTGTCCTTAAACCAGCTCATAGCTCTACTGAATGATCTTGATGACGGTGAACTGGGAGGAGAATTTCTGGATTATCTCGAGCGAGTTTTCAAGAATGCTTCGATAGGTAAGTGAATTCATTTGACTCGACTTGAAAATTCCAAGCCTATTTTCGGTTTTAACAGCGTCAAGTGGAATAGCCCTTTCTGAGATTTGTATAATCACGCTAAAATGTTTACTCTGCTCCAATTCCCTTACGTGTGATAACATTTCAGTGGTTCTGAAAAAGCTGCTAGGTAATCTAGGATCCACCCACGCACTGATGATGAACCCTGAGGAACCTATCAAACCTAACAGCCCTTTCGGCCTCTTTTTAAGACATATGATAATTTCCTTCGAGTTGGCATCTTTTGAGCAGCTCTCCATGTTTCTTCAGGTACGAAATTCTCGTTAGTTACAACTCGAATGATTATTATTTATTCCTTCTCAGACTTTATCAGATTGCTCGATTAGTCGATTAGATTGACAAAAGTTTATTATTTTCAGGACTTAAAGACATATATTGAGAATAAGGACAAAGTCTTTCCTTTAATCTCAACGAAACAGCAAGAAGCAGTGTTTTGTCGTGAAGTTGCCAAGTTTCAAAGCAGCTTGTCTCTTGATCGATCAAATGCAGAGATTCATGAGATGTGCCGTGTAATGCCGTGTAGTGGGTCGAATGAAAAGAGAATCCAACAGGCTGAGATTCTTCAGTACTTGAACTATTTATCAGTAAAGGAATACAATCTTGCTAAGAAACATCTCCATCAATATTTCACCATGATGATGAACTCCAGAGATGAAATCAAAAATATACGCCCCTTTTCTGCTCTCAGTCTCGCAGCAATGCACACCATGTTCCAACATAACGATCTCGCAATGCAGTACCTCAAGGTTGGTAAATTTATCAATTATGTAACAAAATCTGTGGAATACTTTGTTTAAATTAATGCCACGTATTTGATGGCTCGATTTCTAAATTATTCCGCATATCAAATTACATGTAAATGTTTAGAAAATATTGCATTTAGTTCTAGAAAGCCGGTAGTATGCAGGGAATAAAGGGTTTAACTTTCAATTTATTAGATCACCATTCAGGTGGCTTAGAATTCCTTCAATCCTCTGAATTGGCTGTTTCTACAATGTTTTATTTTACTTGACATTCCAACTAACCAGTACCCCACACCAGGAATCAATACATCTTGGTCAGTTGTTGGGTGAAGAGTCGTGTCTGTCCCAATGTATTGCGTGGACTAGTTACCTACAAGGGGCCCCTATAACTCGACCAACTTTATCAAAAGACTCTGACGCCGTCCCCTCTGAGCTGGAGGTATTTTTGTTCGTGCCTTGTTAGGCTTGTCGGTTGTGTTATTCGAGTGTATAATATATCACCGCTATTCGCTATTTGTCCTGAAAGTTTTTTTGCCATCAATTCCAGATATAATCTCAAGACTTGGACAGTAAATTTGACTCATATGATTTGCTCATATGATTTAAGGGGAGATACACCAAAACCGTTTTTGCTCCGAACATCGATTTTATTTTATATTATTTTTAAATAGACAAAAAGAATAAGATTGTACACCTTCAAAAATTTTTAAAAATATTCCCTCATCGAGAAAAAAAATATTTTTCTTTTTCGAAAATTTTTAAAATTTGGAGAAGTCTGTCACTGTAATACCGATAGTTCGGCCATTTTAAACGTTTTTTGGCTGATTTTTTTACTGAACATTACTTACACTCCGTACTAGAAGCCATTGAAAGGATTATATAATTGAACAATAAATAACCAAGTTACAGACCGAACAAGGTGAAAAAAGAAAAATTGGGATTTTTGCCTACCACCAAAGTTGTACATTTCACCACCCGCCCAGGTCATCAGATATCGCTTCAAAAATTCTTGTGAGTGTAGTTGATGATCATGGCAAGCTTTTTGGAACCGGATTTCTCTCAATTTTGAGTTTTAAGCTATACAATGTGGCCTCAAACGACTTAGTAAAATTCATCGTAAAAAAGGGCAAAAAAGGCAGATTTAAGGCTTAAAATGCCTATAACTCAAAAAGTATCAGTTTTTTTTTTGAAATAATTTTTACAGGATCGTAATCAGCTTGGTAAGACGAATCTTTTAGTACCAAATAGGTGCTTTTAGAAGACAAATTGTCTTAAATAATTTTCTAGCTCGAACACAAGGGTCCCCCCTTGTATAAATTTTGTACAAATTATACACATTTTTTTACAAATTTTGTGGCTTTGAATATTATAAATGTCGTACTAAAAGATTCGTCTTACCAAGCTGATTACGATCCTGTAAAAATTATTTCAAAAAAAACTGATACTTTTTGAGTTATAGGCATTTTAAGCCTTAAATCTGCCTTTTTTGCCCTTTTTTACGATGAATTTTACTAAGTCGTTTGAGGCCACATTGTATAGCTTAAAACTCAAAATTGAGAGAAATCCGGTTCCAAAAAGCTTGCCATGATCATCAACTACACTCACAAGAATTTTTGAAGCGATATCTGATGACCTGGGCGGGTGGTGAAATGTACAACTTTGGTGGTAGGTAAAAATCCCAATTTTTCTTTTTTCACCTTGTTCGGTCTGTAACTTGGTTATTTATTGTTCAATTATATAATCCTTTCAATGGCTTCTAGTACGGAGTGTAAGTAATGTTCAGTAAAAAAATCAGCCAAAAAACTTTTAAAATGGCCGAACTATCGGTATTACAGTGACAGACTTCTCCAAATTTTAAAAATTTTCGAAGAAGAAAAACATTTTTTTTCTCGATGAGGGAATATTTTTTTAAATTTTTGAAGGTGTACAATCTTATTCTTTTTGTCTATTTAAAAATAATATAAAATAAAATCGATGTTCGGAGCAAAAACGGTTTTGGTGTATCTCCCCTTAAGTAGCCAGGGTTTGGAGTGGCTTTTCCGATTTAAAACATTTTCATCACGTTACATAATACTCAATAAATGTAATAGATCTATAGTGTTTTAATAAGTTGATGATATAATTTGAGTATGTGCAATATCGACTGATTTAGATAGTCGGACACATCCACACCTTGGAGTCCATGTGCAAGAACGGGGAGAAATCAGAAGAGGTATTAAAGTACATGAGTGTGATAGCACCCATTACTTCCCGGGCTCAGTACCACACTAATGCTACTCAGGTCTTCAGGTAAATATTAGGAATAGTCTGTCATGTTTTGTTTTAAATGTTTTTAATGATTTTTCATAATAAACTTGATGTCATACCCATCCCCGAAAACAATTTTGTTCCATATTATGATATGATTAAAAATGCATTTCCTGGAATTATTGACGATTGCATTTAGGTGGTATGGAAACAGTCTCCTCAGCGAACTACACCCCTTCTTCATCGTCCTCCAGCTCTGCCCTGACTGGCTAAAAGATGGTCACATGATCACCCTCTCAAACGACACAACAGCACTCTGTGCGGCACTGTGCAACCTAGCCCTCGCTCTATCCCAGTCTCCAGCAGCTCCTGTCTCCTGCTCCGAACTTTTGAACTTCGCACTATCTCTATTACCCTGTTTGTCATCACACAGACAACTGCTCTACCTAACTCTGAACAGTATCCACCTCACCCACAAGCGAGCAGCTCGACAGAAGACTGACAGCGAGGAAGCGCTCATCAGATCCATATCAGCCAGCACTTACACTGCACTCACAAGCACTGATGATACGGTAGAGGGGGATGGGGATGTGTATATCACACGTGAGGAGCTCAAGGCACGTGTCATGTACAACTCAGCTAAAGTGGACTTACCCTCATCACCTAGTCAGGCGGTGCAGAAACTCTTGAATCTCATCCTGTACTCCAAGACGTACAATTTGCAGGAGCACCTGGTTAACGCCCATCTGTTATTAACTGAAGCTCAGATATTACTGGAACTGTTTGAGCAGGCCCTTCTTACCATCGAATCAGTTTTTGTTCTTGCGATGTCGTCAAATAGCACCTATACCCAGTCGACCGCACGGTTCTTGTACGTTCAAGCTAAGTTAGCCACTTGTTCAAAGGATCGTAGATATCAAACATTTCAGAACTTAGAGAACCATTTAAAGTTATCGCTGGACGGTTTTCTGGCGTTGACTCACGCACGCCATGTCGGCGAGGTGTTCTATTTTTTAGCCAGGCTATATGACGAATTTGGTCTCAGGGACGATCGAAACAAATGTGCTAAAAAATTCAGAAATTTTCATCAGAATCTGACCGTCCATGATCCTTTGTAGGTTTGTGTAATGATTGTGAAATGTTGAAGTAATTATGACATTTTTTATTTTTACGATAACGGATTATTATGACATATGTATTGTGTTTTAACATTATTTGTACAACAGTTAAATTTCAATTATTTAAATTACCTTTTTGCATATCACACAGTTGTGAGTCTTTACTCGCTTCTCATGGCGTCTACCATCTACGCCTACTTAAATATTCATAAACACCATAATAGCGTAATGGATCCCTTTGTTGGGGATTAAGACCTCGTTAATTAAACACCGAAAAGAGTGTATGTGGTTAACAACCACGTACTACAAGTTGGAACAGTCACCCCGTCTGCACTGCCCCATTGTAAACCTCAGGCTCAACCTTACAATGTAACGGGGTACAATGTAACCTTACATCATGATGTGTATTCTAGAAACTAACTCCTTAGGCTCTTGTATTCTGCACAGATCTAGATGGTTTGCCTTGTTACCAGTATTCTAGCCACGTACTGGATACTGATTGGTGTATTAGCGCGGAATACCGCTCATTTCAGAGTTTTTTTTCTCTCCTTTTTTTCTAACTTATATAGTGTAGTAGTACTATAATATATCATATACTATAATATATTATAGTAGTATATACTATTAACTATAATATAGGTCAGTAAATGTTGTTGATAGTATCACAATTTTACCCGGAAAAAATTTATGTAAAAGACGACTAATAATTGTATGAGAGCGGACTTTTGGCCTATTGTATTGTTTGCTTAATAGCTTCATTAACCTAGGCAGGTACAATTTCACATCACAATTCTATGTGACGTAATTGTGACGTAATTTCTTAGCAAACTTACCCGACCTCATTCTAAAACCTAATCTTTAAGTTTGCCAATTACTAGTGGTGACACTCAAGTATGTACAAGAGCAACGAATCTACAAAGCAAGAACCTGGCGGTTTATTTAAAACTGAATCTTCGGCAACATATTTGGAGAATGTCTTATCAGCGACTGATCAGCTTCTCAAATATTTCCTTTCTGTGGATGGTATTCAAAATCAGGTGACTGGGGAAGGTTCGCAAAAACTGAATCATGAATTATTGATCAGTGCAGATAAATATAAATCGCACCAGACAGTGGGGAATGAAAATTGCACATATGGTTCGGATAGTACCAGTGTAATTCAGGCCAGTCATGTATTGACTATTAAAGAATGTTACAGTTCAGTACCCAATGATACTGATACCAATGGAAGTTTGCCGCCTCAAAACTCTCCCGATCAGCAACTGTGTCAGAGCAGTAAAGTTCCGGAAGATTGTTCCCCTTTTGTTACTCTAGCTTCTGAGGAACAAATTAAGAAGTTCATGAGTTTCCAACCTGAAATAAAATCAGAATCCACCGACAAATCATTCAGCCCTGATTATCAAAATAAACAATTGTTTATCAAAATAAACAATTCTTTCAGTATAGTTCCTGAAGATTGTCCTCCCTCTGTCACTCCAGCATCAGATGAACAAATTCAGAAATTCATGAACCTCCAAACTAACATACGATCAGATAACAACACTGAGGATCAGAATGAACAGTCCAGTCGCAAACGGTTAGCATCACGAGACGGTAATGATGATATTCAGCCGGATCTTCAGCCGGATCAAAAAAGAATACAAAAACAACCTGAACTCAGTATATTCGACACGAACCTAAGCTCTTTTTCCTGTTCATTCTTCCATACTTCAAAAGGAGAACAACGTATGGAATTATACCAATGTAAACAGTGCAGTTTCTCTACAGTAGATCGTACAAATATTGAATACCACAAGAAGCTTCACGAATCCAAAGACCCTTTAGTTTGCAGCTTATGCAATTACGGTACATTCAGTCAGCCCCTATTTCATCAGCACATTTACATTCACCACCGGGAGAAGTATTACAAATGTCCGATGTGCAGCTACTCTTGTGGTTTAATGAGGAGTATTGCCAAGCACACACAAGATCACCATCCTGATGAAAGCGTTTGGAAATGCAAGGACTGTAACTATGAATCTAACTCTCCATACTACTTAAAAAGGCATGTTAAAGTGTATCATAGTGGGAATAAACCTTGGAAATGCCTTGAATGTGCCTTTGAGACAACCCATAAAAGTTTTCTCAAAAAGCATCAACAACTACATGCTTTGAATATTATTTAAGGTAGAATATGATCGCTGCAATTTCATCTCTTATTTCTCATCTGAGTAGCTTATCCAGGATGACTTATGTGATAGCCCCTTTGATAGCGTGCATTGTGTGAAATGTGGAAAAACTGGAGTAAAATTTGCTATGCTTACCAGTTTCTTAGGTAACACATGTGCCATTTCCTGTAAGGGTAACAATTGCTAACGACGAGTGGTCTTCGGGGTATATATCATAACCACAGGTGTAGCCTTTAATTATTGTTAGCCCCAAATAAGACGCTCAATTTCATTTTATCCTACATATTTCATCCTACATAATTTCATTTTATCCTACATTTTATCGTACATATTATCTTTGTCGTCTTTTTATGTAGATCGCTTTCAAGCCTGTTTTTCTGCTGTGTAATGGATGCTGTTTGCTAAGATTGCAAGTCTTTGTCAAACTATTTCATATTTTTATAGCAGCTGGAGAATACACTTCATGATTTTTCTTCATCTATAACAGCCTTTTCCTTGTCGCAATAAACGGGAACTCTACAAATTTTGCCCCAGAAACATTACAAAAAAGCGACTAATAAATAACATGTTCCTATCCCGATATTACACAAGTTGGGAAGGGTCACAAAAAATGTGTTACATGACCAGATTAGCGCTGAGCGAAAGAACAAAATATGGAGAATGAAAGTTGAACTAAATGCACGTTTCGGGCTTATCTCTAAAGGTCGGGTATTGACGGTTAAAAAAATGTACAGTTTAGTACATAATAATACTTTAATACCTATCAAAGTGTGCTGTCTCAAATCTCCTCAAATCAGCAGCTGATTTGGAGCAGTTAATTTCCTGAAGACCGTCCTCCCGATTTAAAAAGACAGGAAAGAGTACATAATATATTATATAATATTAATAATCATGGAAGGAAAAAAACTTGGAATTGCCTTTTCTGTGCCTTTGAGACAACTCATAGAAGTTTTCACAATAATTATTTTCTTATTCCCACGTTTTCCCCTTCACTCAGTGTCAGGCTCGTTCTTGATCTTTAGAGATTATCCTTTAATAAATTCACGACAGTATCCAAAAATCCACTATCGTTATCGGGCTGCTAAGATAGTGCCAAAATCAAATTCTGACCACACATTCCACCTTTTAGGACAATGTCACTCAGTTCGTGCCGGAGACTCCTCTCAGCCATCCCACTCAGAGTTGTGACGTCATCAAACAGACTTGTGACGTCATGTAACTCAATAACCCCACCAAGATGCTTAGCATTATCAACCCCACGATCTTACATGTCAACTACTCCTCTTGAAACGAGTGAAGTCACGATTACATCCCTTAATGAATCTGGTGATATACTGGAGACTGTCTCGACTAATATTGATCAACCTGATGCGGACAGATTCGCTGTCGTTCATGTTAAAGGGGTTCAGTTTAAGGTATAATTGACTATGATTATCATCCCTGATTATTGACTAACAGATATTCGAAGTTTTAAAAAGCCATAATGCTCACTATACCGGCGATTGCTTCGATTAATGATTATTGTCGTGGTCTACTCCAGATTAGATAATATGTTTAACCGCCCTGCTCTTGTTCAGGTATCAGTTAATGACGTCATACAAGTGGACACTCTGGATCTGGAGCCTGGAACTAAGATAACTCTTGACAAAGTCTTGTTGGTTGGATCTTTAAATTATACTCTTATAGGGAGACCACTTTTACCGGCATCTACTGTTACGGTGAGTACCAACATTAAGTTAGTGGTGAGCTTGCCAATGATAAAACTTTTGTAAATTATTATGGTCACTTCTTACTTTTTTTTTTCATTATCATTTCTCATAATAATTTGAGTTTTAACGTCAATCTCATCCCGATTTAGACGCTAATCTAATTATATCCAGGTAACGGCAATGGTGATAGAAAGAGGAAGAGGCCCATACCTTCGAGTTTACAACTCTGGCAAACATCACACTCGTCAGTTCTTTTGGGGTAAGACCTGGCACCATATGCATTTCCACGAGTCTGAGACCACTATGTTGAGGATCAGAAGTATTGAAGTTTCGAACTGTGACCTCCAGGATGCTGGGGATAGTTGATCTGTTGGGCGAGGGTCTTGTTAATTTATTGAGTGGATTCGAGTTTAAAGTTACATTTACGCTTCAAGCATTAAATTATCGGATAGTAATATAAAAGTTAATTGAGGTTGAGTAAAAGTTTCGTGACGTGGATTTTGAAGTTAAAACTGTTATTCAGCCGAGCTCACGGCGAAATAACATCAAGAACTGTTTTTTATTTTCCCTTCATTGATGAGTGATGTTAATATTTTTACAATTTTGAAGTATTATCAAAAAAGTACATAGCTTCACTGGCTTTCTCGTGTTACAACAAAGATTACGTCCTTTCGTGCAAAAATTATAAAAGCATGCCCAAAAAATGTGTTTTATGAACCTGATTTAAACCTCTCACCTCAATGCTTTGTCAGCTGTATGATACGTCAGTTACAGTGTATCGTTTTTTATTTCCAATTTTGGTGGACCCTCTACGGACCCTGGGACTGTCTCAACTGTCGCGGACCATGACGAACATCAGTCAATACAAGCACTGGGAGGAAGTTGCTAACCCCTCTACTCGATACATTTATGATATTTTCAAGAAAAAAGGTATGTCGGTATGATATTGTATCACTTGATCGTTAACTGGCACTACACCTAGCTATCTAGGGTGGGTCTAGGGTTTCTATCACTGATCACGTTATCATAGACCAGCTTATTAAATGGCTGTTAGAACTAGACCTAGCAGGTGTAGATTAGGATTGAACCTTAGGGCAAATAAAACCACTTTCATCACTGTGCTAATTAAGACCTCAGCTTCACGAACTGGTCCGCAGGTTTTGAGTTGAGGGTGGTAGGAGGGGCTGTGAGAGACGTTCTGCAGGGTAAATCTCCTAAAGATATTGATATGGCAACCAGCGCTACCCCTACTGATATTGTTGATATTTGCACCAGCGAGGGTATCAAGCATATCTTAACAGGTATTTAACATATCTAGCATATCTTAACAGGTATTTAACATAACTAGCATATCTTAACAATCATATTTACGTCCTGACCCTCATAATCCATGAATTAATTTATTAACTGCATTTAAAGCGAAACCTGCACATTTGTCATTTACCCAAGTTTGAAAGTTCGATATCCAGGAATACAGCACGGCACAGTAACGCTGATGGTTGATGACACGCCCTACGAAGTGACGACACTCAGAGTTGACACGGACACGGACGGAAGACACGCTGAAGTGGAGTTCACTACTGAATTCCAGCTAGATGCCGCTCGCAGGGATCTTACTAGTGAGTCTTTTAAACCGCATTTCGACTACCAATCACAATTTTGATGGGACCTCCGACCGGTTTTATCATGAATCTCGTCAGCAGATTTAAGAATCAAAATTTTACTTATTATTTCAAACTGTGAAATTACTTACGACTTTTTTCAGTAAATGCTATGAGCGCAGATGTTGATGGAACACTGTATGACTATTTTGACGGAAAGCTTCACTTACAAAATAAGCAGGTTTGTTTCAAAGAAGTCTCTTATATACGTTACGTCTACACCTACAGTTAACATAACTAGCGCGGCAAATAACTTCGAATACACCCAGAATGTCTTCAAATATGCTAATAATTTAGAATATGTTAATTATTCACAAAAATTGTCTTTAATAGGTATTGTTCGTTGGTGATCCTGTTGAACGCATTGCAGAGGACTATCTCCGTATACTAAGGTTACTATCTTCTTTCATGTTTTCTTTGTTTATCATGGCATCTACTCAACTAATGCAAATGTCTTTAAAGGATATAATAATATAATTTAGAAATAATTAATTAGATAAACATAACATCTTGTCTCTACAGATACTTCAGATTTTACGGACGTATTGCTAAGGAAGGCGATCAGTGGGATGCTCCAACAATTTCTGCTATCGACCACAATAAAGCTGGGCTCAAACAAATATCTCGGGAGCGGATCTGGCTAGAAATGCAAAAAATGATTGTTGGGAACCATGTCAAAGAAATTCTGATTAAAATGAAATCGCTAGAACTGTTTCCTTTGATAAACCTCTCAGATAAATTCAATATAAACGATTTAAGCTCTCAGCATTCAATAGCCAGTATCAGCGACATTAGATCAGTTACCCTACTCAGCTATGCGTTCAAATCAGTTGAAGACTTCTCCAAACTTCGGAAGGCCTGGAAGATGTCCTCAGATGAGGAGTATATCGGACAATTCGTTATCAAACACAGGAAATTAACGGAAGTGAAATATTTCAAGGATTTGCTGGTGGACACTCCGAAACATTGCCGGCACAAGTTTCACATGGCCTTTAAGGAACTTTGTTTAAGTCGAGGCTCCTCAGATGACAACTTGTTGAAGACGTTATCCGAATGGAATGTTCCAGAATACCCATTGCGTGGAGACTTAGTTATCAAACATCTGTCTTTACCCAAGGGTCCGTTAGTTCATAAGTATGTCAGTTTAGGAAAAAACAAGTGGAAAGAAAGTCATTACAGCTTGTCGGCAGATGAAATTTTAACTTATCTTGCCCTGGAATTTAATAAATCAAAAAGATGATGATTCATCATCGTTTCTATTTGATGACTTGTTTTAGGTTTGTAAATTTATTTCATTCAGTTTTCAATATCTAAGTTCACATTTTCTTCATTCGTTTACGATTTTGATGTTTTTATTTTGCGTGAACAATAGTTATCTTGACTTGAAACATTGTGAGTAAATTGCGTTAACATTATCAAATTTCTGAAATCTCTACTTGAATTTATACAGAATTGAGAATAGATGTATTCTTATCATAAACTATTTGCATCACAAAAATCCTCATTTTAGGATGGTGATAAGCAAAGATCCCGTGACTCCAGATACCCTGAAACAACAGACATTAGACTCACTCGTCAGGAAGTCTAAACATGGCAGAAGCCTCACTAAAAAGTTAGACAACGCAGAGAGGCCAATAGTAAAAGAGGAGGAGCCCACACAAATTAACAAGAACACAAAAACTGAGCCAGTTTCCCATGAATCAGATCAGAAACCGCCCCGTGGTAAGTTTAGGGTTCGAACACTTTTGTTATTTTGTGCTCCTCAGATAATTTCAAAATCTTTTTACGGGTATCGGCCTTACAAAATGACACGAAAAAGGAGATGGCTCTGAAATGCACAAAAATGAGTTTTTTTCATGTTTTATTATCCAGATAGGTAGTTCAACAGGTATATTTTTCTTCCCGGGGGTTGATTTGATTGAAAAACCGTAAATTTTGCGATAAAAATTGTCATCTTTGAAATCTTCCAAAAAAACATGCCTTACAAAATGACAATTTCGTCACGGCTGTCATTTTTTAACAGCAGCCTATAGAAATTTGATTTCACCGAGGACAGTTAGATAAATATAATAGATTGAAGATTAGAATAGCTTTTACAGGAAAAAGGATGATTAAAAAAAGTTGGGCAATTTCGCGTGAGATAGTGCCTTACAAAATGACAACCCAAAACGGCATCACTTTAAATCCGATTTGGGAAAAAGTTTCATTATTCTTTCACGTGTTTTACTCTTAGATATATATGTTGTTTATATTATACCAGTTCTGTTTTTACCAGAATATATTAAAAAAGGAACATTTTTTATACTTTGAAAAAACTTTAAAAATGTCATTTTGTGAGGCGTAAAAATCATTTTTTGTTTTCATACTTGAACACAGTATTTGGTTATATTTGATATTTTCTATGACTGGATAGATCACTTTTCAGTGTTTAGATAACGTTTGACATGTTTTAGGAGTTGTTATTACTCTCTGCTTTCACAAAATAGAAGCTTTATTTCGTTGAGTTTTGAAATCAGAGTTTGAAATGAAAGAGTTTGAAATCAAAGTTTTGATATCAGAACTGCACTTTTTTAATGCTACTTGATTGTTAACTGTCAGATTATGATTATTTTTAACTCCTTCTTGTATTATATTGACTGTTTCTGATCCATTTTAGATGATGAAAGTAATTCAATCTGAAACATTGTCATTTTGTAAGGCTTTTCGGTGTCATTTTGTGAGGCATTTTGATCAAAATTGATGATCAAACAAACACATTTAGGCTCATCATAAGCTTACTGGGTTTAAGAATACCAATAATTAGGCAAGGGGCATCCAATATAAATATGCCATCTTTGTATCATAAAATAAAACTGTCATTTTGTGAGGCATAACACTGTCATTTTGTGAGGCTAGGTCATTTTTTTGTCATTTCTTCTACCAAAGTCACTAAATCAGTTTTTTTATTTGACCAGAGTAGTCTTTGATTGACATAAGTCATGGTAGTACCTGGTTTTCTGGGGTTAAATTCTAAACTTTGGTCTCCATTCTGGGTAACAGTTAGGCGGGGCAATGACTGAACAGCAAAAACGTCCATATTTATGTAAGAAATATAGATTCTATGTCATTATCATTCCTTGGGAAGTGTTAATTAATGCTTTTTCTTTCATACAGTGAAAGGAATAGGGTTCAATGTATAGGGAACCTAAGCTACAGCATGGTCTATGTGGGCTGTCATTTTGTGAGGCCTGTCATTTTGTAAGGCCGATACCCGTACGTGCCTTTTACAGCTTTACAGTTATATCTCATTTTACCAAACTTCTTCCCACAGTTCAACCTAAAGTAGAAGTAAAGAGAGAGTCTAAAAGACCGGTTACAGATAAGATCAAACGAGCTCCCGTCAAATCAGCGCCCACCTCCAGATCAGCTCGAACCAAAAAGGAGAAGGAAGTGAAAGTCTCTCCGAAGTCAGAAGAAAGGTTTGAATTTGGAACTTGAGCGGGATATATCTTTTTAATCAAATTATTGACTATTTAATTGTTCGATGTTTATATTTAGTTTATGTTTCCGGCTCCAATGAGGGCCCCCTCCGGGTTGTGTGTCACCGCGACCAATAATGTTTAATACCGGCCTAGTTCTTACCTCACTACTCGTCCCTAATTCCTCTTTTGGCTACTTTGTTTATTCTGTCGAGTTGTGTGTGAATGTACCAATACCTTTGATGAAGTTGGGAATGCATGCTAGAAAGATCCTGATTTTTAGTGACTTGTTTGGTATTAGTCTTTGTTTGTTTTTCTTACATAAGCTATCTTCATAAGTGGGCTGATATCGATAGCAAATTAGCGCTGATTGGCCTCAATGGTGATCAGATGTTTTGGTAATTGGACCGACCATTTAGCCTGATTTCATACAATAGATTGCTTGACCTATTGACACAGAAAGGGTAAATAATCTGGGGCTAATCAGGACATATCACTCTCTCGGATAAAATTCCGATCTGGGTCCTTTCCGAACACATCACTTTCTGGAATGAATTTCTGTAATTATTCGTTTTTTTTAATTTTTTTTCCCGTCGAATTCACTGTTTTCTGTGTGGTGTAATTTTTCATTTCCTTTAAATTAAGTGATGAGGTTTCGAGTTTTGGTTAAGTTTAGATATGATGTTAAGTGTAACTCTATTGTGTCATATGCTCACAAACTCTTCAGATGATGACTAGTGAAACAGCCATTTCCTTGACTGAGATTTACAGAAACCAGCGGTCTGCAATATCAAACCATCTGCCCTATCTTGTACGTTCTAGTCGTGCCAGTGGAACCTCCATGCCATCTCTTGCTGGACCATATCAAGACCAAAGAGTTCTCTCAGAGTTGAGAAATCCCCCCGAGTTAACACCTCCTGAGTTGAGGCATCCTGGATTGAGATACGTTTTAATGAGAAGACAAATTGGACAAAACCACAGTGGCTATCACTTATCGAACCATGCCGAAAACAACTTCAGCAATAAAACTACTAGACCAGTCAAACAACCCAAGCTCAATGTCAACTATTCTAAAACTAGAAAATGTCTGCATGTTCCTCAGCTCAGCCTTCGAGTCGGCCAATTTTCAGCAAATAACAGCCCTCAAAACGTAAATTTAAGTCATCTCAAGAACAACCTTGGTGGCACGAACAGATTGTGTCACCTAGACATCCCTCTATTAAACACCCAGCAAATCCAAACAGGTAAACCCCTCAGAACTCCATGTGCAGCCATTTCAACCCAGACAATGTGCTCCACTGAATCACAATCCACGCAGACTTCTGCCCCCTGTTTTATGTTTCCACAAACCAGCCCTTTACCAAAAAGGAATACTCAGAGCTCACAAACTGAAGGAATATTAGTACCTGTTTGCCCTGTACGATACTACAATACTGGTTTTCCTAGTCAGAAACACCTTGCCAATACCCATTCGAACAAGCTCAATGTTCAGCACACTAGAGTTCACCAAATAGGTGCTCAACCGGACGGACACCGTGTAGAACCTCTATATCCATCAACAACACAGATAGACTGTCCTGTTGATTGGACCAGACCTCCTACGCGCCCTCAGCTGTGTCAGCCTCATACAGTCCCTGAATATCAGCCTCCATCTGTCACCCCAGTATCAGAAGAGAAGCTGCAGGAACTGATGCGATTAAAAATAATACCAGAACTTATTTTGTCAGATATCAAGGAAGAGCCTAGTGAACAATCTACTGAAAGCTTTACCGGAAACTCTATATTAGATACTGACCAATCTATTGTAGACCTTGACCATAACTACGCGATGATACAGAAAAAGGCTTGTAACGGCTACTCTCTTAGTAACAAGAATGCTGAACTCTCAGAATTTAGTCTCAAAATCCTTCCAAGTGTCAAAGAAGAAGATCAGCAAGCCTTAAATAAAACAAAAGTTGACACTTGTCCAGATTTGATGTCTAATGCAGGTCCGAACTCCTTAACATCTAGAAGCGATATACAATCAAGCAATAGCACCTCACCCAGTGAGTCACTGTCCCACATTTGTGATCCCCAGTCACCCTACAAAGTGACTCCTTCTTCCCCAGTTTTGGATTCCTTGTTGCCTGCGACCGACATTCCTCCGGTCAAAGGGCCAAAACTTGGAGAGATCGATTGGGATTCAGACGACAGTATGACTTACCCTGTAGTAATGTCTCGACATCTTATAAACCAGACAGCAACTCAACAGGGGTACATGAGTTTCTTTGGAGACATTCTCAAGTATCATTTACTGGACAAAACTCCCTCCTCAACTCGAACAGGCACCGCTCGGATGTCGTGCTGTGAACCAACCAAGCCACTTCCAAAGCGACAGAGACAGGAAATTAGAGTTGTTGATAATTCTGAAGATTTGGATAGGTGTGTTTTTATAACGATTCGCTGGCACCATAACTATAAGTTACGTCTGTCTCAGCGTGCATAAACATTGTTGTAGAAGTTGCAATCCTCAATTTAAAAAATGTTAACATGTTGTTTGGACAAAATTTGCCGTGAAATTCTGAAATTCTTAACAATGTATTATTTTCAGATGTCAAAAGCTTACAGATTACTTCCCGGTCCGTAGAAGTAAAAGACAGCCGCTCTCCAAGATAAAGGACCTAGAGTACGAACAGTTAAAAGATAAGATCCTCAGCAAATCCACTGACGGGCTAGAGGTTTAAATATGCCTTTATCAATGCTTTTTTTACTGATATGTTAACAAAATTTATAATCTGGCTCATTTGTATTTACGCCAGTTATTTTCCCCCTGTTTTGGCATGTTATCGACAAGTTTCTGACAAGTTTCTAACGGGTACCCCTCCAGATCCGGGTGATAGAAGACAAGGGAAGAGGAGTGTTCTCAACACGGCACTTTGCCAGAAAGGAGTTCATAGTGGAGTACTCCGGTACTCTGATATCGTACGATGAAGCTAAACGCAGGGAGGCGGAGTATATCCAGGAACCAGAGAAGTACGGGTGTTACATGTACTACTTCGTCTTCAAGAACAAGAAGTACTGGTGAGTTCTGGGCAATGGTCCGGTTGGAAAATGGGACCGAGCAGGATTTTTTAATTGCGGTCCAGTATTATTATGACCTGTCAAAATTGTACATGAACCTTGATTCTTTTGCTATTGATTTGAATCTCGGTATTGGATCTAGTTTTAAAATGCTTTGTTTTTAGTGTGGACGGTACAGCTGAGGACGGCAGCTACGGCCGACTCTTAAACCACTCCAAGAACGGGAACGTCGAGAGCAAACTCATCAACATCAACAACAGACCAGTTCTGATACTTGTAGCCAAGGTGGATATTGAACCAGAAACTGAACTGAGTTATGATTACGGGGAAAGGAGCAAGGAAATAATTGACTCCCACCCCTGGTTGAATCAGTAGTTAGTTCTTGTGTGACAGGTTTTTAAATTGTTCCTGTGAACTGTTCCGTAGTAAAGTTTAAACTTAAGCTATTATCAAATATCAGTAAGCAGATGTTGGCTTTAGTCTGTAAGACACTTTGTTGTAATTTTTAAATTGTGTCTGAACCTTTTAGTCGTGTTTATCAAGTTTGTCGAGTCGAGTTATAGCAAAATTTGGGGCTATCGAAGAATGAAGAAATTGTATGGTAAGTGTGCAGTTATGCAGTATGCTAGGAAAATTGTTTAAATTTTGTCTGACTAGTTATAGTATTCAATAACAAGTTAGACGATTGTTTTAAAACCTTTAGTGTGAATTTACACATATTTGATTGTTTAACAAACTGTAATTGAATAAATTACTCTCGTTTTAAAGTTGCTAGTTCAACAGTTTGAATTTTTGGTCAAAATGTACACAAGTTGACTTTAGGCAATATAATTTATAAAAACACTTGAATGGTGACGAACATGTTACCAAGAGTTGATTAATCTCCAAAGCTAAGAAACTGATTTACAGTAGATTCTGCTCTTTCTTGTGATACCCATAGCCTGTCGCATTAACAGTTTGATTAAGGTTTATCAAAAACATTTGTGACTTTCTTACCAGAGTCTTCTATTGAAAACTTTGGTTCGGAGCTATGGTACAGTCAAATCCGTCCTAATTTAAGCCTTTGTCGGTCAAAATTCGCAACAAAGCGATTTTAACGGGATATGGTCGGGACAGGTCCCAGGAATCATTCCAGAGAGTCCCCAACATTTTTGACTTAAGGAAAATCCACAATTAACACTTTTTTACCACCTTTTTACCACTTTGGTTTTCCGCAAATAAGTCACGTTCTGAATATCCTAGAAGACTCTAGTTTAAAGCAGTGTGTTTAGAAAACAAAGAAGAACAACTTTTTCAAAAATAAATTATTTAATTAATTAATTAAATAATTATAAAATTTAATACTATAGCTCACTGAAATTGAATCAATCCTGGTTACATGTTCGTCACACTATAAAGATTTATGTACCATATTCGTATGGATTATGGAATTTATGCTTTTTTTTAGACTAAGACGGACCAAGTTTTACAAAATTTCCAGGGTATAATTATAAACTATTTGTTAATTTCCGCTGTTTTATGTAAACTTTATTAATTGATTATGTAATAAATAACACATCAGTTAACAGGATATTAAACGTAACTCGTATATCATTCGATCTAGATAACATTTTCATTCTTTATTATCCTAAGTAGTGCGACACTTGTTTTCGAACAGGGTTAAGGTTGGGTTAGAATTAGGATTAACCTTAACCCTAACACACGTGTTTGCGAACACGTGTCGGGCTACTTGGATACTGCCCTAAGTTGTTCCACTGGGTCCTCTTCTAAATCCAACCTCTTTGTCATTTGCTGAACAGTTGGTATTTACAATTGTCCAGACCAACGCCACAAGGTTATTGATGAGATGTTTTGGAAAGTAAACAAAAGATCAGTTTAGTCTTAAATCAAATTAACTTGCGGTTATAGATATTTGTAAATTACAGCAACTTGTTCAAACAAAAACACGGTAAGCTTGTAGAAAATAACTCAGCATACCAGAAATGCTTCACTCTGGTGCAGCACATCTTGTAATAGCCAAACAATCCGTACAAATGGTATGTAAGAATGATATGTACAGACTGTAGAGATGATTTTGAATTTATCAGCCAAAGTGTTCTAAAAAATTTACAATAGATTCATGAATTAGTCGTTTTCTGAACATAATATTATGGAGGTTGTCAACATTTGCCGACTCTGACACCATTGTGAACAAAACCCAGGAATGTGGAAACCACATCCTGTGCTGTCGATCTTCCTGATCTCAAGCCTTATTTGAGCGAGTCTTATCCTGCTTTCATCAAAGGTCGGTTTGGTTAGCTGTAAGTAACGCTTTGCACATATAAAATGTGACACCAAAAATCAAGAGGGCATAGCAGATGGTCAGGACTTAATACTTCGATTGTTTGCTGAGTCATGGAGTTTTTCGGTTCTTAATTGATCTCATCCACCTCACCCTTCTAATTCCTCCAGTTTCTTATGCAACATATCATTTTCTCCTTTCAGTTTCTCATTCTCTTCTTCCAGTATAGTAATACTTTTTTTCAGTTTCTTAATTTCTTCCTCCTTCGCCGTCGTTATTGATAAGATAATCCCTGAAAACAATAATGAGTTCCTTCAAAAATTATATAATTTTATTGTAGTTATATGTAATACATTTAACAATAAAAGTAAATCATTTTGTCCGGCTAGTTTATCCCTCGAATGTAGCACTGAATTACTAAGAAACGATCAGCAGAAGTAAGACTCGCTTACCGTTAATGATTCTAGCTACTCTCCACAGCCGGGCTATAATAACAAGCTCGGCAGCTGAGGTGTGGACACTTTGAGGTAGAACGTCCAGGATAAACGACACTATCACCACAACTCCATCGAATACTTCGAAGTATTTCTTGAAAAACTCAAGTCTGAATACTGCTAGCTTCAGGAATAACTGAGGATGCAAAAGTTTTAATTAAGCAAACGCATCAGTGACATTTTTAACAAACTTCAACAATCTGCATAAAATATCTTTCACATGCATTTTCATTTCATATTAGCCGGAGATGACCAATGCTAACATTTCTTTAAACGGCCTCTAAGGTTCGAGTGTTTGGAGGACGTCTTACTTCCCCGAAATAACTCAAATGTATTACCTCAGCAACAAATAATGCTAAAATAGCGATGCTAGTCGTATGTAACCCGTGTTCTATCGCGTGTTTCTTATCATGAGGAACCTCTGAAATGTCTTTAGGGTATAAACTGCAGACATTTTCCAAGCTTTAAACTGTAGAATACAATTCTTTAATATCGAATATTCTTAGTTCTAATTAAGATACATGTCTACTCACTGATGATATCATGGTCGATAAGAAGCTGAAGAGTGACAATAAGGACGTCCAGTACAACTAGAGTTATCACAACCATGTGGAATCTGTGCATTTCCAACACGTGTTCTATGTTTTCTCTCCAACTGCCCCAGTCGTTCCATCTGAAAAAAAACACATTTAGCTGTAGTCTGGGTATACTATCTCCTGTCTCCTACCAATTATGTGATTTATCATATTAAATTTGTATGATAGGATACATTGCTATATTTGTAATGTACAATATCGTCCATATATAACATTAACTATAAGACTTTTATACTTCTGGCTAATCAATATCTCAAGAATCCGAAAAGCAGCTGCATAATTGGGGAAACCTTATTCCGCCGTTATTATTCGGAGATCTTGATTCAGAAACTTCGACCTCGACAGAGTCTTTCCTCTCCTCTGCAGTCGAGTTGGCCATCGCATTCAGTTAATTCTTAATCCTGAATTTAGAGACTATTCGCAATTCGATCGAGCACACATTTTTAAAATAACGACGGAATTTATTGGCATTTATCTTCAAAACGCTAATACTAAATTACTAATAGACGAAAGAAACGTGTTTCACCGCTGAAAACATGCGCCCGATACTCAACTGCAAGCAAAATATAACGTGCACAATCGCTAATGAAGCTATACAATCTGTTTCAGTTGCCAACAAAAGAATTTAGTTGCTATTTCACAAAACTCGTTTAAATCGAACAAAGGGTTGGAGATATCTACAGATTTTTCATGCATTATACCCTATTAAGATGGGATCAACGAAGATAGGCGAAAATAGTTAGAAGCTTTACATCCGAATTTATTCATAGGTCATACTTACTGGGCCGCGCTCAGCCTGTCATTTCGCCGAATCTCTATTCGGCGGTTTATGAACATGATAGCCTGAGGTCCCCAGGTAACCTTCACTTTGATTCGGACCGTAAGAGAAAAATAGATTGGATGGTGAACAACAACTACGCAACAAAATTTGTTCTGCATTATCTTAAAATTCAATATGACGAGTATGGAGTAATATGACGCTTGTGATGATAAAAGATAAAGTAATACAATCTGACACTCGAGGCTGAATTCGGATCAGAATTTCTGTCGTTATCAATATACAAATTTGATACCAAATTTTGTCCAGTTTCTTGTGTCACGGTCAATGTGAAACATTTGCAGTAATACCGTATACTTTTCATTCTGCTTTTTTCTTTGGTCCGAACATTGAACCGCAGTAGTAAGTTTAATTATATATAATAGTAGTATAGTAGTATATTACATATTAGTAGTACAGTCAAACCTCTAACTATATTTTGCTACAGTTGCATTATGCATACCTCTCGTGCACGCGAAGCGTGCACTCCGGCCGGCCATGCGAAAAGGGGTTGCAGCGTGTGAGCGTGTGTCAAAATATATTATAATTATATACCGGGCCTCTCGGGAGAAACGAAAAGTGCACGGTATAGAGAGGTTCGTGATCCTGATCCCCAGTATTATATCTGTAGCCTCTCGAATAACCTGTCAAGCGTCTCATATACCCATTAGGTCCTTATATCATATATTGTATTGTGTCGTTTTATGAAGATGAATACACTATAGCTCGATATGTGCACAAATCACCAACCAAATGCGTTATACTTATTATTATATGAGCTGTGGTAACTATAATGTATAAGTCACATTTGACTGTAACACAGTTAATAGTTATTATAGAATCAAGAATAGGGAGTGCCATGCAATGTGAGCGTATTCTTTCGATCTTAATTGACGATGTCAATCCTTCGTAGCGGTCGCGGAGGCCCAGTAGTTTTGACACTCGTTTTTTTTGTTGGTGCAACACTTACACTGATACTCGTTGCAACCCCTTTTCACGCGCGGCGGCCTCGGCCGGCCGGAGTGCACGAGAGCAGAGAGAGGTAATGGGTATATTGACCATTGTTAATGGTCTGGCCCGGCGCGCGCTACTTCGTAGCACTTGCCATCAGGCCATAATATTTCGAGAAGAAAGCGGCGCACGCTACTTTGTTGAAAGAAATTTAGACGAGTAACATCCGTCAAATGGGTATACAATTGTCATACATTGTATGACCCGCCGCGCACGAGTGCGCGGCTCCCCCTGTATCGTCGAAACTCTACAGTGAAACTCTACAATGAAACTCTACAGTGAAGCGACCGTGGGGGTCACCACGTGATACAAGTATACAACGTGTAGCGACAGTAGTTGTAGTGCATCGCTACAATCTTGAGGAGTTATTAAGTAGTGCATCGTGCTACAATTATAATTACATCAATCTTGTAGGTTATAACTTGACACACGCTGCATCCCCTTTTGATCGCGCGCGAAGCGTGCACGAGAGGTTCACATAGCCATGTGTATACGCGTACTGCGTGACGCGCTTGTTTCACAAGCCTTCGGCGGTCGCGCGCTACTGCAAGCGAGAGGGCTCTGGTTAGAGCAACACGAGAGGTATACAACGTGTAGCAAGTTATATAACCTACCAAAACTCGCGTTGTCCATTGTTAATGTACTAGCGCAGTAGCGCTAGCCCGGCGCGCGCTACTTCGTAGAACTTGCCACATTTCTTATAGGTTTAATATAATAACCAACCTAATCCTTAATTGTATCACGTGGTGACCCCCACGGTCGCTTCACTATAGTAGAGTTTCGACGATACAGGGGGAGCCGCGCACTAGTGCGCGGCGGGTCATACAACGTATGACAAATCCTTAACAAAAGCATATGCTGAAATTGATTGACGATGTCAATCCGTCGAGATCGTTGCTCTGCGAAGCAGAGCAACGATCGTCGACGATGCGAAGCAAGAATGCTAGTTTGCGCGGCGCGTCGAAGCGGCGAAGTCCTCCAAATGCTGAAACCCTAACCCCAACGATAAATTCGACCAACATCCATATACGGTTCACCTAGCCATGAGTCTACGCGTACTGCGTGACACGCTATACTGCAAGCGAGAGGGCTCTGCAAGTGAAAGGGCTCTGGATAGAGCAACTTATACGGTCTTACTAGGCCGCGCTCAGCCTGTCATCCCGCCTAATCTCTATTATGTTTATAAACATAATAGCCTGAGGTCCCCAGGTAAATACGGTCATATCATTATCACGTGATCAAAACAGTTTTTCGCCAATATCTCGCCAGGGCACATGGGAGCATTTTAACCCTATGCCATGGGGGAGGTGGTGATTTTAACGGGTGATACTCGTAAAATATTTGTTTTAAATATTAGCAATTAGGACCGTCGACGAGTCCAACTCGGCGCGCGTCCTGCATGGTAGGTTATAAACCTTGCTCTAACCAGAGCCCTCCCGCTTGCAGTAGCGCGCGACCGTGAAAACAAGCGCGTCACGCAGTACGCGTATACACATGTGACATGGCTATGTGAATTATAAACCTACAAGTGGTGATTCTGAATCAGTGTCCGAAAATACATCGATCCAAGTTGGTTTCAGTTAGCTACTACATGATATCATTATATATATAGGATAAATCCGAAGGTAATCTTATCTGATTATCTGATTAAAATCGCAGAATGCAGAAATCGTCCTTCTGAACAGCTAGCTGGCCGGCCGCGCCTGCGTCGCGCGCGTACGTTACTTATATACGTACGTGCGCGCGACTGGCATTATCTAAAAGTACAATGTCAGCTAGTAGTGTAGATACGCGCTGCCCACGGTACCTATCTGTTGGAATATGGATTATTAGGGAGCATCGCTGACCTAAGTAAATTAGATTTTTCACCAGAATTCAGCCACATCCACCATAATTAGATTAGTTATTGGAATTACTTGTTAACTAAGGTACATGAAAACTGAATGTACCTTATACCTTTATTTCACAATGTTCTACAGATGTAATGTGTCGAGTGATGAAAAGACAGTATTCCGAGGATGTATTTTCTTGTTTAAATCACGAACTTAACTCGACTAAATGAACTCGAATTATAAAATTTTAATACCAGAAAGATTGACTGGTGGATTGTTGCAGTGCATTGACAGAGCTTATTGGGACAATTGTAATACTCTAGAATTTCAATAAGCTCGCACATGATACCATGGAATTTAGGAGGAATTTAAGAGTCATTAATTCGGGGACCTCTGCAGTGGAATTTGAAGAGCACATTACGTAAGCAGAGGAATCCGTTGATGTGTACATAATTGCGTTATTTGATACGTAACGGACTATAAGAATAATAAAGTAGCGTGCAAGATGCCACACACGACACATTTGGTGGCAAAAAGAGTACATGTTCAGACATGTTTACATGTTATCACTTCAGGGACACTGTACGCTCAATCCTCATTTTAAATTTATAAGCAGCTAATAGCTATTGACTACTTTCAATTTTAGTAAAAAGGAAGCATGCGCAAGTTTTAAAGTCGATACATTTAAAAACCGCCATCTCAAAATACTGAAGTATGTGGAATTTAACGTTAATGCAGATTATTCACATTACATTATTTTGCATAGCGAATTTCGGATGTTGTGCACGCGAAAGTGACATCCTACTTGACTAACCCAGAAACCGGTGCTTAAGTAGTATTACAACGGTGCAGCAACACCGGTGCAGCAACACCGACCACAGTCACCTTGTTCCCGGGCAATGTCTAAGTATTATCAGAAAGAAAGCAGCAACAGAAAGTATGATGTGTGGAGGAAGCGTCCATTATCAACAGTTAACAAATTTTATAATTTGTTTATTAAAACTCCTATAATTGTGAATTAAACAAGCCTGCAGTCCAAAATAAAATGTAATTTAAGATCGAAACAATAAAGACTAGACGTTTATCACGGATAAATTGCGGATATATCACAGAAATACTCTTTCACTTTCTGTTAACAAATTTCTACAAATTTAAGTACAGTTGGATATATGTATCATGAACGAGATAAACAAATGCCTCAATTTTCTGAGATTATTTTCACAAACGGTAATCTGTACAATGTACTTATTTTTTCTCGTATAATTAACTCATACATTGAGAGGTGGAAGTGGTTATAGTCAAGGATCTGACGACATTCCCGTCTATATAACTTCCGCCCCGGGGTTTGACACTTGGAATACCTCAAGGGACCCATTAGAAACAAATTTGGCTTGGGTAGAAATTTTGGCTATGGTGCAGTTTTGTGCAATTGACCACGCCCTTTTTTGGCGCTTTTGCAACTTTAGAATCAAAATAACTCCGCTTCTAATTGGAATTAGAAGCTCAGCTTGGCCTTAAAGTTGTTCAGAATCATCACATTTAGGGGGGTAGAGCATAATTTTAAAGTCAACAGACATCGGGTTGTTGAGTTATGTGACCACACCCTTATTTACCCTCGCGAGTCGTGATTTTCACACTAAATACGAGATATCTCGGCTTCTGATTGAGCTACGTGCTCATCCTGGGCATTAAAATGTTCAGAATCATCATATTGAGTAGGGTAGAGCACAATTTCAAAGTCCTCAGATGT